CAGCTTTGACACTTTTGACCATGGTAGACCAGACAGATGGATCCAAACCATTTCCAATCGCTAAAGATGGTGTAATGTAGCAGATAAAGTTAAGTGCCCTAAACACAATCACATCGCATTAGCTATTCAGGGTCTTTTAATAGTCGATTTGTACATGCTGAATTCACACACAGACTTACAATCTATCAGCCATCGATAACAATTCGAGCTCCTTTGCCTCTTTCACGACACCCGACCGATACTTTAAGAATTCATCTACCAAATCCATATCCAAACTGATCCACTATTTAACAGAGTTAAGTTAGCACGAAATATATCTCATGGGTTTTTCGAGAGAGAGGATAGAAGTATACCAACCTTTTTGCAATTAGATGGGCGATCATATTGTTCCAAACCACCACCAACCAAGTAATCATAGGCAAATTTTTGCTTTCGACGGATTTTTGTACTTTCTGATGAACATTCACTTTGACTATCAGGGTTGTAAGAGCCATCTTCGGTTTCCTTGTTAAAGATCTAAGATAATAATAGAACAAGAAGTTAATATTAGATAATAAAAATGAAGTATATTTAAATATGGAGGATGTCACATCTCACAATTTTGAAAACAATAATGAAATGGTTACATACTGGCTCAAATGCTTCTCCACAGAATTCATAAAATGTTCTTTTTGCTTTCAAGATCGCAACGCTTTTGGTCGTTGAAACCCAATATGACTTCAAATCAACATTACTCAAGATCTAATAGTATAAAGTATGTAAGAGCTTGTTGACCTTTACGTTTTTTGTCTACTAGTATAGTCCTTACAAGGAACTTGTTACGAATTTGTTCTGATGCCCACGATTGAGCTGCGCTTGGTTTCCAAAATGAAACAGCCTTGACGGCTTTCTTGAATTTTTTTTCTGCTGCTTCCTGATCTGTCAATTTCGATGCTCGAAAGCAGTCAACAATATTAAAAGAAGGACCTGCATGATCTCGAATGTAAGAAGTAAAAGTGAATGTCATGATGATAGAAAATGAAAGTGATCGTTGTTGATCGTTGGTGCCTCTGATTAGAGGGCGATGGAAAATCATGCACCACCACAGTGCACCACCACTGGTGCAAGGCATATATGTCGCAAACTGCCGTACTTTGTAGCGGTGACAGTGGTGGAAAATCTTGGAAGCAAGTTGATGTAAATGTTGATGTCTGTGGCTTCCTTGTTTGTTGATGATTACGCAAGTTGTCATATTTTCGGAGCGGATCTCGATGACTTGCTGTTGCCACTGCTCGGCGTGTTGATCGATTTGCAAGCTGTACTGCTCAAAGCTCGCGGCCAATTGATTGCTGCCTGCGATGGTTCCAGGTGCCGGAGGCCATGGCATAATGCTCGCTTGAATGTACTTCTTTGGCCGCGACGCCCCATCCGGAGTCGCTGGCGTTGGTATAAATGACGACGTTTGGCTTTAGTTGAAGCATGGAGCGTCCGTTCCAGGCATGCAAGTTTTTTACCCACCATCGCGCGTCTTAACGTGTTGCTGCCGATATCGTCGTGCTTTGGTTCCATTGCTGTTTTACCGGTAGACGTGTCCCTGCTGCAAGTCGCGCGACATGTTCTACATGTGATGGCGGGCTGGATAAACTGCTGCTGTTGTCGCTTGTAAGTAGCCAGAGATAGCTGCCAGCTTGCGATTGGTGAGTTGTTGTTTTTGTAGTAGCTGATGCATGTCGCGGCGAATTCGAAGCATTTTGGGTTGCGGCAAGGACAGCTCCATCTTGCGTGTATTAACTTGGGAAATCCAAGAAGGTTGCCAATGTTTCGGTTCCCAACAGCATTTGTTCTTGCTCAGACTGAAGCCCAACTGAGTCAGATGTGCCTTGAGCAACATTCCTTGTTGGAGAGCTTGTTCTTTGCTCGACGCCATCAGGCAGAGGTCGTCCAAGTAGAAAGTCAGCCGAAGGTTTGCTTGTTCCAAGAGAGGTTGTAGAATACGAGACATCATTTTTGTCCAGAGTATCGGCGCATGGGCAGCTCCACAGCATAGGCATTTAAAACGGTGAAACTGGTCCCGCCACTTGAATGCCAGGTAACGACGGTCTTCTCGATGAAGAGGAAGACGTAGATAGGCGTCCTTCAAATCCACCTTGACCAACCAATCGTTCGGCTGCACCATCGCTCGCAACATCGGCAGACCCTCCATCTTGGAATGTTGGTACTGTATGTATTTGTTGATACCCGAACAATCGAGCACGACGCGTACCTTGTCGGGTTGTTGAATTAGAAACGAGTATGATTGATTGTGTATATCGGATGAAGCTACCTTCTCGATCGCGTTCTTGAATAGAACTTCTTGAACAGCTTGATCCATCTTGGCTGCTTGCTGGCGGGACATGTTCAACCGATACTTTTGAGTGCCGATTGACTTGGGTGGTGTTTGGCAAAAGGGCATCTGGCCCGTACCGTTCTTGTGTGCCGAAGTCCACAGGTCTGACATCCCGCTGAATCCGAATGCTGGTTGGTATCGAGGATTGTCGATAGTGAGTTCGGCGCGAAGCAATGGTAATAATTCTGCTTTGAGGGAAGACGTTGTCTGGTTTTCAATCGTGGGTTTGTGCGCGCTAAGTCTGCAGCGCTTTTCAAACGGTTAAAGAGAGAAGAAATAATAGAAATTTTTATTATATATGTACAAAATAAAGTTTGTGCGCTCTTCGAGCGGCCGTTACACCGAAACGAGCTCTACGAGCACGAAGGATAGTGGCAGTTCTGGCAGAGGGGATTTCCCGCTCCTGCTTATTATGAAAAACCCCAACGCCAAAGAGAAAAAACACCCCGCGCCGTCATGAAAAAAAAAGGCTCGCCAATCATTAGTATACATTATACGGCTTATCAAAAAACGAAAGTTAGTGTACAAGATGATGGCGTTACCGCTTCATTTTGCGCGGGCCAATGGCTCTCTGGTTGTGCGACTCCTTTTGGTATACAAATCAAACTTGCTATCTATGCAGTTGGCGCATTCTATCAAGCACACCTACACTTAAAAAAAGAGAGAGAAAACAATAAGAGTCAGTGGTTGTGATGTTCATCTTTTTTCCCTTCCGTGTCTTTCATGAGCTAACTCATATCGTCGATAACATATAATCAAAGACTATTATACATACGATAAAAGCTTTTTGTGCTGTGTCGTACCTGACCCTCGAAGACGGTAACTTTTGAAACTATGAGGTGCACCTTGCTTTCTCTCCTACTCCTCCAGGAGATATAGACTATCTCTCTTTTACATTTAACCGTACGTTACGGGTTCGTTCATTTCTCGTTTTGGTAATATTAAGTACTACTGTTAATCGCTGAAACCGAGAAGGATAAGAAAAGGAGTTAATAATAGTCTGGATCATTCGATGGAAGAAGTTGGATGATTGGCACACAAATGCTAGTAAATAACACAGCGGGTAATATATCTGCAGCAAAGAGAGGAAAAAGTGAGGGTGATGACTATGCAGCAAATTCTTTCTGGATCAGATACAGTAACAAAAACAAACAACTTCCAACTCTTGTTGTTGTTACTGCTGTTCTCGTGTATTACATGCAGTGATCCCACTGACAGTGTGAGCTGTACTGCCATAGTTTACATATGATTGACTTGCAGCAACTACAATTTCAGCGTTCTCGTGACAATAGACATGGAGCAGTACATAAATCAGCGCATAGTTCAAATGAAGACTTAATGACCTTATGTAATTGGTCGCTTCCTTGCGGTGTAAATCAGCGCATACAACGTAGCAACAATTATTTGTTTTAGCTAGTCGCTTAGTTTCTCCTCTCTATCCTGTTTGTTTATATTACTCCTCTACAGTACTTTCTTCAGTGAGTGACCCGATACATTTACAGACTTGTATATAGGCAGGGACTACACTCCCTTGCCTCATATAGCGTCATTTGCAATAACAGTCTCTAGTTTGTGAGCTTCATTCTACGAAAGAACACCTAGATCAATGTGTATTTGACGCACATAATGTTAAACTCGTTTGCAGCAACAACAGCACTGTAATAGCAACAATTGATCTATGATGAATGCTATACATTATACAATATACAATATGCATGCTGCTGCTTCTGCATCTCTTATATTAGTATGTGACTTCCTAGAAAGCTTTTTAGAGTTGCTGTGTGCTACCCGGTAGTTGTTGTTTATGCTTCAAAAGATTGTTTCGGTTATGCACACACATATATATGTACTATCTTAGCGGACCTCATTCTGTTGTTTGTTGTATGTATTATGAAGCAAGCTCTTGTCACCATACCACCTCCCAAACATCATGCACCGAAAAAGAAAAAACATCTGCCTTGATCGAATTTCGGGCTTCTTGTTCATGCATACAACAAATACAGAAACTTTTTTCACCCGATTGATCCCTCTCTCCCTCTTGATAGTAACAACTAGCCTGAATTTAATATCTGATATCACATTATGCTACAGAGGCACAGTAACTGAATTGTAATAACTAAAAACAGATTGATTGAATGGCGTGTACAGTATTTGTACATACCGTGTCCCTGTACCTGCAGAGACCAGACCATGTATATCTTTCTATTATTTAACCAAAACGGTATAGTCTGGAGTTTCTGTATTTCATCAAATCAATGATATATGGTAGATTCATTAGCACTACCATCACTCAATAAATCGCCTGTAAGAATAAAAGAACAATAGCTTATAAATGAACAGTGGGGAAAGGTGTCATCAACCCGTCGGTTTTTCTCGGCGGAAAAGAAACAACTCATAAAATTGCTGGGTACTGTTCTGTGGTGTGGTGTTGCACTTATGATAAGCTGTCTTTACTCGCTGTATAAGCCGAAAGTCTTTTTTTTATATGTGACGATAATAATGATGACTCCTCTTCTCTCTCTCTCTGTCTATCCTGTCCCTCAGTTTTAACACACATAAGCCCTCTGTTTCCGGCCTCCGCAGTCATTTTTCTTACCTTTCCCCCACCTTTCCCCCTCTACCCCTTAATGATGTACACTGATGAAATATTGATGATGATGATAATTGCTTATGTGTAGTGTAGAATCAGAAATGATGATATGTCAATTCAAAATATATACATGGTAATACTCGTAATAGATTTTACATATTTCTTAAAACTATATGTACTATAAATTTTTCTTTTTATACTACTCTTTTTGGCGAGTGTGAGCGATGCTACAGCCAGGATCTAATGCAGCTAGTTGTAAGCGTGTATATACCATCAGCAACAACCATCATCACACATTATATATATAGCAATTTTTTATACAGCACCAAACATGTACCAATGTACTAAGGGAATGTATGTTGATCGAGAAACACAATTCATGCATTAAAAAAAGATTTGTATTATACATACGACTTTGCATGATGCATCGCCGAAAGTTCATATTATTGTAGTGATATATAACTCAATAACAAGAAGGTCATTGGACCTCTGGTTCCAAAAGATATTCTTGGCTGGGCTGAGTGAGATTTAAATGATCATGTTCGTCTCTTTCTTCTTTTTTCTTACATGGCCTTTGCAGGCATAAATTAACAATAATAATAATGCAATTTATAGAAAAAGCTTTAAAAGCGGGGAAAATGTTGATCTTTGGCATTTCGTTAACATTTATGAGAGGTGCGGCATAGGAGATATTATTACTGCTTCCGCTAGGTAAACCAGTAGTTGTAGCATAGTATAACCCAAATGTGATCACACACTACTGATACAGATCATTCAGTTTATGTTGCTGATGTATACATGAGCAAAGAAAATTAGTTTTAAGGTTCTCTTAATTCCATGATGATTTTCAAGGACACCCAGGGGATATAAACAAAAGAACTTCTTCATGCATCCCTGCTGTGTTCGCGCATTTGTGTTTCATGTATAGTAAAACCCATCAGCATGTCCGCACCACATACTCGTACATACATAGCGTCCAACCTATAACATTTCTTTTTATTCATGGGCTCCTTTCTATCTAACACACAGTATCCATCTATTTCGTTGTAGCGTATCACATGGCCGTGCTATTTATTGTATGTTACTCTGTTGTGTCGAAACAGCATAGATTTAAGTAAGATAGATGGTCAGGTTTGGGAAGAGAGGTTACAGGTCCCTTGTGCTCGTTCATGAATATCAGCAGTGGTGGTACACATGTAGTTATTATGATGTGTCAAAGCAACAGACGGATGCAAAAGAAAAAGAGAAGGGAGAAAAAGATCGCCAATCCATTTTACTGCGACTGCGTATGAAAATCACACACTGCCTTGTTTCTTATTTTTGCTACGGAAACGATGGACCCAATATACTCACATGTGTTTAACCAGACGATGTGATTGTGACAATGATGTTCTGGGCTTCTTGTTTGTGGGTGTGAGCGGAGATGGGTTGATGTGTGCGTGTGTGTGGTCGTGGGATGGATTAGTTTGGGTCAGCAGGCGGGGTTGCTATTGATGTTACTGGCTGCTTGGCTGATGGATGGTTGGTTGGTGAAAGGGCAAGTCGGAGACAGCCTGAAGGGATAGCATGCTGGGGGACAGCTGAAACGGGTTCCACGCTTTTTGCATGATTGTGTGTCGCTTGCTGCTTGTTAAAGTTGAGTTGGTTGTGTGTGGAGAAAGCAAGCAAGCGAGAGAGTTAGAAAAAAAGGGCTCTTCTATTTCATTTTCGATCTACGCGCATTGCCCATTTTGAGCGAAGGGCCTCTCTTCTTATTCAACCAACTTTTGCCGGCCTGGGATCGGGTCCTTTGCTTCTACTTTTCTTGGGCGTTGATCTGGAGAAGAGTGACCGAGTCGGTGCATGCTTTCTACTACGCTCTCTCCCCCACCCCCCGACACCTTTCTTGTTTCCCCCAACAGCATACACAGAATCACACATCCTTCCTCCTCCTTGAAATATTAGCCAAGGCCTAAAACTGCCCTAATCAGGGATGCTCCGCAAATTTCACTCACTTGGACACTTGTGCACTAGCACATCATGATATAAATATGATCCTCATCAGCACTTTTAGAAAATGCCAGCCTTGCTCTCTTCTCTCTTTCACTCGCTAACTCACTCACTCATTCCTGTAAGCTCACCACTCCGCATATTTTCCGCACATACTTTTCCTTCTCTCCTCTCTTCCTCCCATTAATTGCAATAACTACTATTTCTACTACCTCTACTATTACTACTCTACTACTACTGCTTCTGCTACTACTTTTACTACTATCACAAGCTGCTACTACTGCCATTACTTAACGCTGCCTGCAAATTCGCATATTTGCCAAGTCCCATATTTCCGCAACAAGCATGATGATGATCCACGACAACAAACCTTTCATCACACCCACGACAAAGGCGATGGCCGGCGGAGGTGGTCGTCAAGCGATGCATGTAGAGGAAGAAGACCGCTCGCTTCCTTCACTCGTCAAACAACTGTTCACATCATTGTCATGCTTGCATCCTGCAACATCACAGCAAGCGCTTACGAAAAAAGACGAAGATGAAGACAAGCGTGCGGCTCGTATGTACTTGGCCACGGCAGCCGCTTCGTTTCCCGACAGTCTCTTTTTAAAGATGTATTTTTCATTCCCGGCCCTCGAAGAATTTGATAATCATGCTGGACCTAATAGCGGTAACACCCATCAGTACGGCTACAGCAGTAGTAGCCATCACAAAAGAAAAGTCATCAAAAAGCAACAGCAACCGTCATCAGCAGCAGTTGAGCAATGCAGGCGTCTTCTGCGATAAGTGCTGCCCTGCGTTCATGTCATGCGCAATTGTATAACAACAACAACCCCCATCATCAGCATATTGTGTATTTCTACTATATAGCACATATACTTCATACCTTTTACACCCAATTATTTATATACCAGCCCATCTAACTTGTACTTATTGCCTCCTCTTTGTTACCCCTCCTACCCAACTGTACATATTGCTATCTGTTCCCTCTCCAACTGTCTCTTTACCGTCATCATTATCCTTATTATAATCTATCTGTCTATATTCTTCCCCCCTCTTCTCTACGATTAAAAAGCACAACAGTAAATAGTGTTTATACACATTGTTTCCTGAAAAAAAGCAATTGTAATTGTTTGACATGACTACGGCTGGACATTAGTTGCTCACGTTTACTTCATATGCAACCTTTGCATGAATATTATGGTGGGGCTTTTCTTTTAGCATACAGAACTAAAAGAAGGTTGAGTCCCTGCCTCCAATGAGAGAACCTTGCCGTTTTCCTGCTGTTGTGGTGTGATACAAACGGAAAAGGGCAAATTGTATCTTTTGTTTACAATATTAGGAGAATCAATTTCATGATGCTCTCTGAGAGGAAAGAAAACCAGAATGGGTTGATGGCGTTTTCATCGTTGTCGGTTGCTTTCCATCTTTTTTTTACCATTGTTAAATTGATTTGCCAAAAGCCAAAGCCAACGCCAACGAAAATGAATCGGAGAGAAACACAGTAGAGATCGCTTATCGTACAGTTAGTGTTCATTGCCGATGATAGGCAACGACAACAATGGTATGATACACGTGGCCTCTTTGTGTGTTTTGTGTACATACGTGGCTCTTCCGGCGACATGTTTACAAGCCGATGCAAACGATGTTTTTGACTCCGTAACGAATGAATGCACTTGCCGTAGGTTTTGTATAAACAAAACGGAGTTGGCGCGTGTGGCGATGTGCATTTCTGGTTATCGCATCACACAGGAACAACACTCAATTCGACACTGTTACTGCCACTACTGGTACCCATTATTTCTTGCTATATACTGCACTAGAAGCAGTAGTGCTTCCGTGAGAAAAGATTGGTCTGGAACCCCAATCGCTTTACACCCTTTTTGTCCTGAGATGTGTGTGCCAGTCCCATCTCAAGGATTACATGCTGTGTGATACATTAAAAATTCCTATCAGTTTGAAGATGACTCAGGAAATACCCAGCTCGTTCGCAGGAACGATATTAATTTGCAGGACTTCTTGAGAGGCTTAACATTAAATACCACTTTTAAGTGTAACGATTCGTTATACATAACATAACTTTACATTATACAAAATATTCAACCTATGACGCAATCCGTGGTTTTGATAACTGGCTGTACTGAAGGCGGTATTGGTAAGAGAAACAGAAAACCAAAACACTACGCGTCATTTTGTGTTTGTAATGCTTCGTTTGTTCTGATTCACTCTCCTTATCTGGCCCGCGCTGTTAGGCTATGGTCTATGCGAGGAATTTGTAAAGCAAAGATGCAGAGTGTATGCGACTGCAAGACGTGTTGAAAGTATGGGGGCACTTCAAGGTAAATTTATAACAAACTGATCCCAACGGAATGGCGGAAACGACATTGACTATAGAGGCGTCATGGGAATAGGCTGCGAACTGTTGGCTTTGGACGTTACGAATGCTGCGTCGATTGAATCGACTGTTCAGGTAAAAAAAAAAAAATAGAAAAAAGGATATTTTTTGTACTTACACTAGAAGATCAATAATTATTTCGTAGAAAGTGATTGACGAAGCTGGTCATATTGGTATGGTTCTTAACTTCATTTTTGGAAAAAGGGGTTCGTGAGGAAAACAGAAAGACACAATTATTCACCGTAATTTATTTCGACAGATATTTTGATTAACAATGCTGGTGCACCGTAAGTCTTAGAAACGAAGAGATGGCTGTTGGGTACCGGTTGCCAGCTACACTATTTGTCATGGAAAACTCGTCGCTAGGATGAATGGTTGTCAAGTAATAGCTCCCATGGCAACCAGTAAGAAAAGGTGGAGGGTAGTTAATATCTTATTACTGATCAAAAGGGCAATAGTGGTGTGGACCCATTGTTGGACATCGACATGGATGATGCACGCCAATGCTTTGAAGTCAACGTATTTGGTCTGCTTAGCATGTGCCGTGCAGTAGCTAGACATATGGCCAAACGCGGATCAGGCAAGATTGCCAATGTTGGTTCCATTGTTGGCTATGCTTCCACTCCTTGGGCCGGTGTCTATGCTGCATCTAAAGCGGCGGTGCATTCTTTGACGGATACCTTACGTATGGAACTGTCGCCGTTCGGTATCCAAGTAACCGTGGTTGCTCCTGGATCGATCAAGTCGAACTTTGGCAAGAATGCAACCAACATGGTTAGCGTACCGGAAGGTAAAATAAATACGAACATCAATTGAGGAAAGCAATTGAGAGTTAGGGAGGAAAAGGTTATCAGTCAACATACAAACATACTGTTTTGTTTGTTTTATCAATAGATTCATTTTATCTATCCGTTGTCAAATACATTTATGCACGAGCAAATATGTCACAAGGTCCCCATTCAACGCCTACGAGCGTGTTTGCTGCACACGTTGCGAATAAGCTTTTGAAACGATCGTCTCCTCGCTATGTCACCTATGGCACCAACTCGTGGACATTCTTGCTATTCTACTATCTCCCCGTTTTCGTCAAGGAGTACATCTTGGGCAAAAGACTCGGTATTCGAGAAGTCAAGCCAATTGCCAATAAAGACAATTAGAGAATGGCCGACGAAAACGGTGCTCTCTTGCAGAATATTTACTGTTGAAGATATTTTTACTTTTTATTTTTTTATGATATAATAGGAAGGAAAACTGTTTACAATTAGAATGTCTGTTGAAGAAGACACGTACTCTCTCATTTACAAATTATGTTAGGGAGGGTGGGCATAGGCTACCCAAGCACACACCCTCACCTAGGGTAGTTGAATACAAGGAAATAGAAAAAGGAACACAAAAGAAAAACAACTAAAAACAAGGAAAGAAGAAATGTAGATAAAGGACTTTGAAGGGTAAGGGTAATGGGGGGAAAAAGCATGTTGAATACAAAAAGAGGCTATTTAGGTCGTGTGTGCGTGTGTGTGGGGATGTATAGCGTTTTGGAAGGAGGAACGAAAGAGGAAGGAAGGGGATATAAGTGCGTTATATATAAAACTCATTCTTTATGGGATCAAGTCGAAAAGGTGCTTAGTTTTCTGAGCAATCTGATCAACCTCAAGATCAAAGAGTCTCCAGATACCGTTTTCGTCTTGAAAATCGTTGTGGACAATGTTGACGAGGTACCAGTTGTTCATGATGTCCAAGGTAACCTTAGCCGACTCGCTTTCACGGTCATAGATACGTGCCCACTCGCCCCAGAGCTCGAATGCTTCGTCCTTCCAGGCCATGAAAGCCATCGATTCCACGATCGTAGGCTGGACAATCTCCTTACCGGGGAACACACCCCAGGTGACAGCGGTGGGTTGGTCGTTCTGGGTGTTGGTCTTCAAGTCACCCTGCTTGTTCACAGCATAGTAGGTGACCTGAGGGTTCTTGCTAATCTTAGCCGTCAGTTCGTCCAATTTCTCGGGCGAGACAAAGAACTCCAAGTAGGCCTTTTGGTAAACGTAGCCGTTCTTGGGGCCCCAGCCATAAATATCGTGCGAGCTCTTGACGCCGTTCACAGCAGGTTGTGAGTTGATCGTGAGGTAGCCAAGCAAGTTAATTCCAGCCAACCGCTGGCGAATAATCTCAGTCTCAGGGTCTAGCTGTTGAGCGCTCCATGGGATACCGCCAATGGCACCCTTACAGTATTTGGCAAATGTCAATGCAACGTCGTCGGCAGACTTGGGGTTGCCCCACATTTGCAAGCATTCTTGTTGAGGATACTTGAGCGAGACACCATAACCATCCAACTCACCAAAAGCTATATTTTAAACAAGCTATTGTTAGCCTGTGATACTCCATTACGTATCTCAAATTTTCCCAAAGTCGTATATATACGTACCAGGTGAGCGAGAATCACCCCATCTACCGTTGGGGAATTCATCCCATGCTTCAGTGCGCTGAATGTAACTCTTCTGACGGTTTTTCCAGAAAATGGGACGGACGTTCTCCTTTGCACGCTTGCTGGTCAAGGACTGCATAAAAGAGTTATTCTTAGTTACCTATGGTTATAAACAAACATAGCTTTCATGGTAATGGTAAACTTACTGGATTCCAGGGCAACGGCTTGATGTTTTCAGTGGCGGGCACAAGGTCCAAACGCTCAAGGATCAAACGCGAAGATCTCTCAAGGTTGAAAGTGTAAATGTGGAAACCATTGATACCGGCTTCTCTAAACTTCTTGACGAAATCGATAGTCAAGTTGATACCGTATTCCTTAACAGCAGCGTCATCATCCTTAATAGGCTCAAGGTCATCCCAGATCTTTTGAGGAACGTGGTTGTTGCTGAACGAAATAACACGCTTGAGACCGTTGTAGTTTTGAATGGGAAACACACCAGGAAGGATAGGGCACTCGATGCCGATTTCACGGCTCTTTGTGACGAATGTAAGGAAGGACTCGATGTCAAAGAACAACTGGGTCACAATTACGTCGGCACCAGCATCAACCTTTTCCTTCAAACGACGCAAATCGTCTTCCTTGTCGGGGTTGTCCATATGACCCTCAGGATGGCCTAGAGAACAATGAAAAATTTATCTTTAGTACAACTTCCCCTACTCCCTCAAGTAATCATAATCCAGGAACCGCGAAAAAGAGCGCATAGATTGATTGATTGCCCCATTGATCGGTTGGGGAAAAGAAAATCTTACCAGCAACGGCGATACAGAAGTAGTCGCCATATTGCTTGCGAATGTACTTGACCAAGTCAACAGCGTGCTCGAAACCATTCTCAACCGACTCCCAGTTACTTTGGCCCTTTGGAGGATCGCCACGCAAGGCAAGGATGTTCTGACAGCCGCAATCTTTGGCAGCCTGAATTGAAAATTATTATCATTCCGTTCATGCATGCTTCTCTGTTTTTTTACGCGTTTTTTTCTTTAGTAACAATCATACTGGCGGATAAACATACCTTGAGAGCATTATCGATTTTCTCAACAGGCATGTTGGTACACGTCAAGTGCATCATTGTTTCGAGACCGTACACAGACTGAGCAGTTGCGACGAGTTCGGTAGTAAGGTCGGCAGAAGTGCCACCAGCACCCCACGTTACGTCAATGAATTCCGGGCCAAAACGTTGCATTCTTTCCATACGATCATACAAGTTTTGCACACCCTATAATGTACACCATTTAAGTTACATTGTTGTATCAGAAATGGAGTGGAAGGGCTAGAGCCTATTAAGAAGAGATGACAGCAGCTTATTTCTTACCTGAGGAGTCTTTGGAGGGAAATATTCAAAAGAATAAAAGAAGCGACCCTCGCTTTCAGCCTTGTTAATCTTGTCAATGACCTTCATTTTCTTCGTGTATGCTGTTGGGGAAAAAAAGGAACCAAAGAATAAAAGAAAAAGAAGAAAAAGGGACCTGTTTAAAAAAATGTAGTGGGGCAAGCTAAAATCAGCTGCTGTAATTGGAGCGGCTCATCTATACCGCCCATCAAAATCTCTTTTTTTTTTTCACAGGCCGGCAATGCTGTGCCAACGATTATCGCAATGACTTCAATTTTGACCAATGGCATTGTATTTACAAGCTGTGCTTATTGCGGCGGAGCTAGGCCATAGACTTCAGTAGTACATGCCGCCCTGTTTCCAGTTTCCCGTATCAGCTAAAGCACCTGGAATTTTCAACTGAGCTCGCTAGCTGTTTCTCGGTCCACTACTGCCGTTTCTCATATCAATCCAACATACAGAAAATCTTTCTACTTTCTTTTGCCTTTTGGTTCGAAGTGATGCTGCTTAAAGATGCCATTTTTTCAAAAAGAGACAGAAAGAAAGATTCTCTGTATTCTATTTAAAAGACAAGAGCAAAAAGGTACTTTATTGTTGAGTCTTAATATTCAAGACATGAAACAAAATATGATTTCTGCATGAGAGTATATAACAAGGAGGGGTGATTGTGCGTGGATTGGGAAATGAAGAGATATCAAATACACAAGAATAAATGACGGTAAAGAAAAGGGTGTGCGAAATAGGGAGAATGAGAGGGCAAGGAAAGGCCAAGATACAGGAAAAGAATACATTAGTACACATCAGTTAGTAGGCTAATAGACAATGTATACCGGTGGACAGTGTGAAAGAGATTCAAGATATAACTCACCAAGGATTGAGTAATGGAACAAAGGATGACCAGACGACGGGCAGCATACATGATGATCCATTTCTAGTTAGTAATCATATCTTCTATACTACTTCATGACACATGATGGTGAAGAAGAGGCCACAAAGCAGAGTAAAAAAAAAGGCATACCACCTATAAAGTATTATAAACAGAGTGAACACACATGTTTGTATCATACTTGAAAGATCCTTTCCCCCTTCTTTCAGGAGACATTCTTCCTTATAACCCTCAAAAACTTACAGTCGGCGCGAAACCCACGAGGTACTACGCCACTGTAACAGGATGGTGTGATAGTTACGGGTGATACCAACTAATGTTTATTGATAGGTACTGCTATGATAATATGTATTTAGAAATAGGGGGGGGACTACTGATTGGAGGTTACTTGGGATCGGGGGAGCTACGACTATTACAGCCACTGTAACAGGATGGATATCGGAAAGAGAACGATCAATTTTATTTGCAATAATACATATAAGCTAAGTTTGTTGTGGGTAGGGGAATGGCTACATCAAAGCAAAGCACCAAAAATGAGTTAGAGCAGAACAACTAACAAAAGCACGTGAAAAAAGGAAACTTGCCTCTTCTTGCCCAATTCGGTGGCCACTCGCGATGTACAGCTTTGGTCCGTCGGTGAAGTTCACAAACGCGTATCCAACGATGCGTTGGCGCCTTAAGTCGAAACGCAGATATAAGAAATCATATGTTCCCTTGTTGGTTGCATCAAATTCTTCTTTTAGCATTTGCTAAACCAAGTATGAGATAGAGTAAGAGAGAAAGGTCCGTTAGGGATTTGTCGAAGATTAAGCATAGTATGTAAGCACAGAAGATGGAGATGGATTGCAGTGATAATGAGAGGATTTGTTGGTGGGGACGAAACCCACCTGGGTATACTCGCGTGGTACGTTATTTATCATTAACGTTGTTCGCGTATCCCCTCCTAATGTTGGAATTTGCGAGCAAAGTACGCAAAGACAGTCGGTTCAGAGAGAGCAAGAGCAAGAGAGACAGAGCTATCAAAAAAAAAAAGAAGAGGCTCGATCGTGAGTAACCAATAGCACAGTCATCATCATCTTTGACACACACCATGTACACTCTTGCTTCTCTCCTCCTTTAAAGCAGTAACCGGGCGAGGCCGAGGAGGAGACGGCTATAGAAATGAAAGAAAGCAAGAGATTTGATCGTGAGTCGTCGTGATACTTCTTGACAGACATGCACACTACCACACGCACGGCCATTTCCCAAGAGTTATACGTACAGTTGGTGACGAGGAGGAGAAGGAGAAGGAGAAAGAGAAGGAGAAAGAAGCGGAAGAGAAGAGGCCAAAGAAATATGGATGGGTGGGTACGCGTACCTTTTTATATAAGACTCGTTGTGAATAATTGGAACAATCGATTAGATTCTTTGGCAATTGCGTGATTTGTCTGTTGTCCAATAGCCAAACGAGCGCATAGGCGATGAGGTCAACATTAAGAAAGAGCACAATGCATGTTTCAGTCAACAATGCTGCAGAAAAACGATCGTTTTTCATTGACCATTCTACATTATTAGCTATAGTGTCGTCGTTTATTATTCGAGAAATGTGTCAATATTGGCATCATTCTATAGCCACGGCTCTGCTCTACATGAATCTTTCTTTGCTGAATGACGAACATAGTCAGTTTATTTGAAAAGGAAGGAAGAAGAGGGCACTGTCGCAACTGACACGAACCAACTGCATGCTTCAGATTCGATTGTTGGAGAAACAAGTTTTAGACACGGTGAAGGGAAACCTGGCATCGTCTTTTTAAGACTAGGCAATTTCCAAAGCAATATTCCGCCGCAATTATCGTCGTAAATGTACATGATATTAGTATCATGTTAAAGCTAAAGACCTGCCCTTTCTTTTGATAACCTATTGCTAATGTGTCATGAATGGATAAAGAATGAAGGGGGAAGGAGTAAAGAGTTTGTACAGGACTCGTGGGAAGGCAAGTTCCCGATGCATGAATTTTCTGCAATTGCTTCCGCTGCACACAAGTACGGGAAAACATTGACGCGTTTGTTGTATAGAAAATGATCGTGCTATTTTGTGCGCTGTAGCATTCAAGCCAAAATTAATGAGAGTGTTATCCTCCCAGTAAGGAGGATAAAGGTACCCGACGAAGGGTTATGGTGTCGCATCAAAAGTTGAGAGGCTAAATCAATATGAAGTCACTGCGCTCAATTTAATAGTAACACTACTCAAAAGAAAGAGTATGTAGGAATTTGAGGTATACTACGCTAATATTTCCCTGGGACAAAAAGACTTTATATAAGCTTAGTTGTATGTCATGGTTGTTGAGGGACCAACCCTAAGCTCCTGCCTCTCAATGTGACACTTGATTATATAGACGTGGAATATCATGCGTAAAAAAGGTACATCTCGGATTTTGCGTATGACTATTGCAATTGCGCTACCGTCGACAGTGACGATAATGAAGTCCAGCAAGTTATCGCTGAAAGATCAATTCTCTGACGCGTTCGTTCTGTGTGATTAGCTTTAAGTTATAAAAGCTAGTTGATGTGGACGTTTTTCCTAAGTACAGCAAGTTGGCATTTTTAATTTTTGTCCATGTGGGTCTTAAGCTCAACCAAATTGTTCAGACTTCTCTCCAAATACCCACTAGGTATTTCTCTAGTAGATAATGTGTAAATGCAAAGGGTATGTATGTGATGCTTATGCAGAGTCAATTATATCTACAAGAGCACTCTTGTTTCTCAAATAATTATCCGACCTGACTTGTTCTATATCGTCATCATTACACTATGTACACAACATTGATAGGCTCCACTGTTTGGCATATAAATATAACAGACTACTTTGATGGGATAAAAGTAGTAGCAATAGTACTCCGGAGTCATGGTAGCTTTTGTTTCCAACGTTGCTGCAAGAAGCGGCTCCCAATGGTCGGCGATGAAGACGCGGCACTACCAGCTGTCTGGCTACAGTTTCATGATGAATGGTCTTCTTCGATAATCATTATTGCCTATCGAAACTTGGTTGTTCTTGCTTTTTTCTTTTGAGTTCAGAAAGATGGTTTTGGAACGTTCAAAGACCAAAAGAAGTTGTGTGCATTATGGTTTTCGATATTGTCCCTACTCAAAAACGTCGAGCACAGTTTTGCAAAACAACTGCACCAGTGTCGACCTACATAAGTGCATACCATGTTGCTGACAGGAGGTGCATTTGATATCTGGCTTGCGCAATACGACTTGGCGATACAGCTGATGCATTATATAGCAGATAAACTCGCTCTCAAAATGGGCAGTGACGAAGCTTATACTGACTTTATTTACTGTACACCCAGAGTATTATAACATATAGGTACATATCACCACGTCATTAACACTGTCAGCATGTTTCCATGTCAAGCATCATATGGCATCCAAAACAATTGTTGCGGCGTGTTTAAAACAAACGCTATGGTTATAGCCTGGTATCGCAAGTGGGGAGGCCTAGTATTGGCATTATGAACCATCCAAATCTCCAGATTAGCTTTATCTCCTCGTTATTATAAACCTCGACGGCATACGAAAAAAACAAGCTTTTTTTTGTTGGACAGACGAAAAAATAAGCGCTTAAATACAATAGCTGTTGTAAGTGGCTGTGATTACTATAGATATAATTAAGAACTGTTTAAGTATGTATGATGAGTACTGTATGTACGACAGTTATATATATTTTCATGTACTACTGTAGTAATGTGCGTATAAAGGATAGCTACTGCAGAAAAGCATACACTTCTTACTCTGTCAACGTCCTCTTTAAAGTAATTTTCAAATAATGCTGTTACTTGATAATGGTCTTCAGCTTATTCAGCTTTTTTATCCTCCTACGTGACATTGAAAGTGACAGCGCACCATAAACTCCTAAGATTACATATATGGTGGTGCTCACGAACGACAGCTCATCTCCATAAGTATGTGACTTCCAGGGCGCTGTGCAATATGCTTCTAAAATGGTACAGGATCATGCTTCACATTATCTCATCGGACATAGTACGTAAGAGGCCCTCTTCAAACGAAAGTTCGCGTGACATTTATGTAACTCTTTGTGTCTGTGCGACGTATACACAATAACAAATACATAATGTAATAGCATAAATGTGTTCTCTCTAGTCCTTTTACATAAATTTATGTGTAGCAGAATAAGTTGAAAGAAAAAGAGGAATGTAATAGAGCGCCCGAACAGGTACTTTTCAAGTCATTTAATCATAGGCAAGCGAACTGTTGTACTTATGAGGGGTTCAACATCTGATGATGACGATGGAATATAGTAATTGGGACAAGTAGCACTATCACTATTATTATTGTTGCTATCACAGCCATCGATGTGGTCGCTACAACCACCACTAGTATTTGCTATTGTTGGTGTTGATTCTGTAAAAGTACAAGTACTGCTAGTATCGACACTACTGGTGCTTTGACTATTTAACGTTGCTGACGATGATGTCGCACTTGTTGTTGGATCACGGTAAATTGTTTTTGTTTTTGTTGTTGCTCCTGCTGATTCTGAAACTTTATTAGCATCCACTACGGCGTCGAGTGGAAATGTATGTATATTGTGGTCAAGATGTCCGTTTCCATCGTCGAATTTAAGCTTGATTTGCAGATAGTGCCGTATTGAAATGCCATATGATGTATTAGAAGTCGTGGTCGTATTAGCAGAAGCAATAAAGCTGCCATTATTACTATCGATGCAGTGGTTGTAGTTTTTGTTATGCAGTAATGTTGTTGTAGGCAACGGTCGTAGATCGAGCTTTAGACCGACTTTCCAGGGGCAATTCCAGGTATAGGATGGGCATGACAGCGTATGTGTTTCAGAAAGCAATGTGCTCATGGATGAGCTGGTTTTAGCACAATATGAAGATCTAAATTATGTACCAAACAATTAGTTTTATGATGTAACTAGAATCTACCAGTAGAATTACGCAACGGAAAGAAAAAGAAGGGAAAGCTCTTCTTTTACATACCGAGTAGGACTAGAGTATGTAGTAATGGTGGTACGACATTCTTCCACAAATTCAAATTCTGCAAGACAGCGTTCCGGACGTTTAGGCTTCGTACTAGTTTCAAATTGTTGTTGTTGTCTCGGTAAATGATGATGCTGGTGCTTGCTGAAGTGAGTGTTCTTGATACGGATGGTTGCACTTATCACACAGCTGCTGTTTTCAGGTTGCTGATGTTTACTAGCGGTGATATCATCGTCATTACTGCCCTGTTGTTCGTTGCTTACAGGTACTCCATTTTGTTCAATTGCTGACGTTGTAACAGCACGGGGTAGTGAAATCTCATAACGCCATTGTCGAGATGTTTTGGATGTACCCCAGTATAATCTTTTGGTTGTCATCAAGTGCTCATTCCGTCGATGGAAAAAGACAGGTCGAACGGCGTATACTTCCGTATGGCCGTTCCACGCAATTGCATATATTGTATATCGAATCCAGTGTTGCGCTGTCGATAAAGAAACTGGTAAATCATCGTGAACGGGAATGGAAAACGGCAACAGGACAATGTTGTTGTTATCGTTCGTATTTTCTTCGTTTTCAACAATGTAAGCTGGGGACGATGTCGACGACGTTATCGAATCCGGAATGTTGAATGTGGATGACGAGGAAGAGCATGCCGTACTATTGCTGCTAGAGTCACTGTTGGTGGTATTATCATCGTTGAAGATGAGTTGATGACTCTCATCGAGAAATCCATCCACTACATTGATTCGGTTACAGCCACCAGCTATGTAAGCTTCACCGAGTAATCGGACCCTTGGTTGTTTTAATGCGCATGATGGTCGCTTCCAATTACGGATTGTAACTATGCCGGATAGTCGATTATTCGTCGAGTTCAGTACGACGTGATCGTTGTCAAGATGAACTGATATAGTTGCCATTGACACCATATATTGCAGATTGATGTATAAAAGGCAACTGCTGCGGTAGCAGAGAGAGAAAGGAACGAGATTCTAAAAAATTAGATAAAAGAGATTGATATATGAGAGGGGAACAACGGAGAGGGAAATGACAAAAAGGAGGGAGAAAAGAGAGAAAGCAAGAGTTGGTGATCATGATTGTTTGTTTCTTCAAAAATAAAAACAGAAAACAAAGAAATGATCCACATATCACTACTGTTATCCCTTGCTACCTCTGCTAAAGAATCCTCATAATGATTACAATAGCCTTCCTTGTTTCGAGAATACACTAAATTTGGAAAAACACGGCTTCTCGTCGGGAAAAGCAACATGCATGTAAAATCTCCTGAGTCGTATTGTATCTATCCTGTGGTTTTAAGATGTATCTGTTGGTGTTGGTGACGGGAAGCCAAACGAATGCCACGTTCACTTTTGTAATTAATAACAAAGTTTGTTCCATTCTGCTCGCTTGTATTTAGTGCTGTTTTCTCGATTTCTATATGTGATATTGCTACTACATACAATATATTTTGTTTCCTGAAAGCAGCTCACATCGTACATCTCTATATCACCAAGATACATATATTATCTTCTCTATCAAGTGTTAAACTAGTAAAAAACATTAATGGATGTCCCAGCCCCATCATCATAACTTTTCACCAGTTATAACCGTCGTCATGAGATGCAAACCTTGTTTCTCGGGTGCGCATACTTTGATGCTGTTGCGTGCATATCTTTTTCGAGAGGTTCCTTCCTCAATACGTAAATTACACAATTGCAACACTATGGTTCTAGTATCTGCTGCTTCTTTATTCTTGAACAACGGTAAAGGCTGGCATGTCTTTGATGATGTTTCTGTAAGTAAATCATATGTGCAGCGCCCATTAATGAGTAGTTAGAATTAGAAAATACGTTTTTTATATGGTGGATATTTTTACAGAAACTTTTTCACTGAACGATTTTTCTTTTTTGCTCTCTCTTTCATATTTTTTTTGTAAAGGTGTAATTTTTGTCTATTATGTAAAAAAGGGTTGTGATGATATGATTTATTGCTGGACCTTTTCAGGAGCAGCAACCTTGCCATAGACTCGCCAGATATCTTCGGGGTCCGAGATGGTCTTTTGGAAAACAACGTATTCCAGCACGCTGTGGACCTTGTTGGGGTCACCACCAATCAATCGGTTCTTCTTGTCATACACAGCCATTGACTAGTTTATATATTACATTGTATGTGAGCTTCCCTAATCCAGCCGTTATATAACCCGACACACCTCGCTCGCATTACCTGCTTTGTATACATTCGTAGAGTCGCTTGTGCAACCGCAAATCCGTGCTTGCTGATACCGGTGGTACCGACACATCGTACACAGACAATCTTTGGCTGTTCAACTTCGCCATGGTATCTCCACTCCCAACGAGCATTGCCACGGTTCTTAAGCTGGTTCTTCAAGGTCTGTTGATCACGACATTGTGTATTAATTCCTCTGCTACTAATCCTACTATGCATAAGCATCCTTTCTCATCTATAATTACCGAGTACATAGCATCCAGGGTCACTTCTTCGAGAATTTGACGATCACCTCTACAAATGTACCAATAAGTTTGTTGAGTATAAGTACGGACCAATCGGCCAAGATTCTCACAGGAGAAATAGATCAGCAAACCTTGCGAAAGCATCGTTCATGTCTTTGTATGTTTCTTCTGCAACTTCCAAAAACTTGCGTGAATCCCACTTTTCGTATTGCGACTTGTACTTGATCAAACCAACACTAGAGAACATCCAAAAAGAGTGTTAATAGAGCAATTCTATTACCGTATGCAAGCACGCTGTTGGAATGCACCAATCGTCGTTGTCGTACCTGAGCAAGTTTTGTACGTTGTTCTTAAGGTTGCGCCACTTGGTCAAGCGCCATCGAGCGAAATCGGTCACGGCTGGTGGTTTCTCGGGTGGCACATAGTTGGCTATTTGAAAGAAAAAGAGCTCGAGTGAGTCTTTGTTCAACAATGTACGTTCAAACGTTTTTGTCGTTACAGTCGTCGTTTGTTGTTGTTGTCGTGTGCTGGTAACCGGATTCTTTATTTACCAAAGACACCGTGATCGCGAATGAGAATTTGTTTGCCCATGGGTTCACGGACATAACCACGTTGTTGTTGCTGCCATGCGAGCAACGCGTGTCGTTGTAAAAATCGGGTTGGAGTTGCTGCAGCAGTCAATGAAGGTGCTAGTCGCAATCCGCGTAAGCCAGCCGCTGTCGTTGCCATCGCTTATGGTTGTAAAGTGTTATTGTTGTCGTTGTCCCAAAAGTTTCCCAGACCCGTATTTTTTGTGTCCTGTCAAAACTGCCCGGTGGCGTGACTGTTCATGCAGCAAAGCACCTGCGAAGCAGGAAGCACGAACTTTGAAGCTTACTACTTTTAACCTGTCTTGTCTTTTTTTTTCGTAATGTTCAAAAAATCGAGTCGTGCAAAAAACATTCGCCGCAAGATTGAAACGAGTGACAATGAAGAAGAACAAAATGCTGAAATTGGTACACGTTTTACCCCCTCAAGTTCCCTCAAAGCTGGTTTAAGTAATTCCGTTATAAACATCTACTAATCTGTTCAATCGCTTAGTAACGACTACCGTTATCAACCGAACCAAGCTCGAAAAGAAAAAGAAGAAAAAAGAGCCCAAGCAATCACTCGGTTTAAGTTTCGATCAGGAGGTGCTGCTATTGCTTTAACAGTAACAAGAGTAAAGGTATTATGCTTATTTGTACACACTTTCAATAATAGGAAGGCGACACGGACACATTTACAGTCAAAAAAAGCAAAGCTAGCCTACGTCTTGCAGCAGCACGCAAATCAGCGTCAGAATCTACTACAATAACGGAGCAGACGACAACGACGTCGTCAGCTTATACAAATGAATTACTCGAAGCATTACGTAAAGACACACCCAGTACACCAGCAGCACTGAAAGGCACATCGCTTACTGAAAATCAACTTGCGAACGATGACGATTCGTTGCTTGCTGAAAAGTTTCCATCGCTTTTGAAGAGTGATGCGGGTGGAAGTATACCCGACGCACGTGCGATCCATGCTGCAAAAAAGAAGCGCGAACAAATGCGTAAAGGTTATGTGGATCCTGTGGAGGAGGACTTTGTGGCGTTGGATGATAAAGGCGGCTCAAGACTTGTACGCGAAGAAGACGAAGTTGGTGATGACGGAGAAGGAGGTATGTCATTGGTTTAGATCGGTGTACATATTAGTGGATGGATTTTTGGGTACACGTTATTAATAATTTGTCTTTCCATGGTGAATATATAGAATACGAGGCATATGTTGGTGAACGGTTAACGCTGAACAAAAAGGCTGCACGAAAACAGGAGCAAGAGCGAAGAGCAGGCGTGCGAGAAATGATCGAAGAAGCACAAGATGATGATGAGGATGAACAAGATATTGAGCGATGGGAAAGCGAGCTGATTCGACACGGCGGTGTTAAGCCGCAGCGACGGAAAGAACCAGAAAGAGATCCTTATGCCCCACCACCGGGATACCGACCAGCAGAAGGTAAGGCTTTTTTTAAAATAGTTGGGAGGATGCATATGTGTATAAGATGTGTAGAATATTGACAAGCGGGAATTTGGGTTTCATTCAAACTAGTGCCCATCGAATCGCCTATCATGTCCCTGGATAAGGCGATCGAGAATCTGAATGGAACGGCCTCTGGAATCACCAACTCAGTGAAGGATTACGAGACACAATTGGAACAAATGCAAAAGAACATGGAAATGTTGTCAACAGGCGAAGCAGATTTGGAAAAAGAAATTGTACGGGGCAGCGAGCGATATGATTATTTCCAAGGATTAGCAAGCTACGTCAATGATCTGGGTGAATTTTTAGATGCCAAGGTAAAGTTATCAGCTCAAAGAGATAGTAGGCTTGAGGAGCTATTACAGAATATTATTAACGAATCACGTATTAGTTTCCTGAGTTGGAAGCTTTAGAAAAACAAGCACACGATATTATCGCCACAAAGCACGATGTAGTAACAAAACGGAGGTGGCAGGATGATATGGACGATTTACGAGAATTTGCAAAAGTACCTGAACAGCCTTCTGAGGCCGAGGCGGAAGCGGAAGAAGAGGAGCAACAACAACAATCTGAAGTCGATGAATTTGGACGTGTCCGTGATCTCCGTGATTCTGCAAGTGCACAACAACGGCGAAGGATCGAACGACAGCAACGGATAGCACAACACGAGGACCTGATCAGTATACAACAACAAGGGTTATGGTCCGATGATGAGTTGGCAGAAGATTGGGAAGCTCGAAGAGACCAAAAATTGGGTAAAATAACTATCTGTTATTATCATTGTGGTGATAGGGAGGCAAGATAAACTGATGATCAAAACTATATGGCGCTCGCCTTGTATAATAGATGTCATCCAAAATGACAACATCCCGGCAATTTTGGAAGATGTCAGCGACGAGTTTGGATCTATTGAAATGATCAAGAGCAAGTTCGAAGCGTGGAAAACCAATTTCTACGAGGACTATACAAAAGCCTTTGGCAGCTTGAGTCTACCGGGTGCCTTTGAATTCTATGTGCGGTGTGAGCTTGCGACATGGAATCCGTTTACGGAACCGGTAGATTTTGATACGATGCGTTGGCACTCAGTCTTGTCCCAGTACGGCATTACCGACGAACACGAGGATGCGGATACCGAACTGCTAAACAAGGTCGTTGAAAAAGTGTTGATCAAGAAAATCAAGAGTTTGCTGGACACACTCAATGTGGCTTCGATGAAGGAAATGCGATATGCTGCACAGGCTGTAGAACAAGTATCGTATTATGTCGAAAAGCATGAACGACCATTTATGGTAAGTGATTTCTACATACAGGGGAGAAAAAGGGGGAGAAAAAGAGAAATCAATATACTCATTTTGTTACGATGATCAACGTAGGATCTGATGAGTGCCATAGAGTCTGCGATCGACAAACAATTAAAGCCCTATGCCGATCTTATTGATACCATCACAGTAATAGAACCCAACAGTGAAGCAAAGGAGCGTGTTGTATGGCGATTATGCAAGGTAATTATAAACTTGTAGTGCTGGCTTTTTCACTATTTATATATGATTTATGTATGTACATGGTATTAACATAATAAGGGGAAATTGTAAAATAGTACTTGAAAACGCTACACGTCTGGCGGCGATATCTACCCAAAGATACCTTGAAATCACTGGGCACTGTAGTAATGAATCGAATGGTTGCACCGTTATTACGACCTGACAATGGTAACGACGGCGAATTGCAAAGAGAGGCGTTACAACTGCTTGCTCGACTTGAATAAAATAAAAATAAAACGACCACAGAAAAAATAAGATCAAAAACACTATTTGACCATTTTTCGATTTCGTGATGGCTTTCGTGGGATTGGTGCAACGCGTCGTTGGAGTTCGGTCAAACCGTCTTTTGCTACTAGTTGGATATGGATGGCTGAATTCATTCGTGATTGGGTTTCGGTATCTTTTTCCTATGTGACAATATAACCATGATTTTAAACAAATGTATCGGTATGCTATCGCGATCCTAAGAAGCAAGAGTGTACAGTATGCCACACTTGCAAGATGCCTACCATATCATCTGGAATAATATCGTCTACCAAGGTGACCGTTCCCGTTGTAGGTCGCAGATCGATTTGGTTGTGGAGCGTCCGCTGGATGGCTTGGGCAATTTGAACTGTTTTCAAAAGTTGAGCGCCCATACCGTGAAGTGTCACTTGCTTATATCTTATGATAATTCAAAGATTGAGCAAAGCATACGTGTATACAACCATCTGTACACATAAACAAAAAGTTAATGGTCGTTTCTTACTTTTCATTGACCATTAATTGTCGGACGCGTTTGATTATGACATTGGTCTTTGTCTTATGTGAAATGTAAACGTCGCTTGGTACTGTGGCGGGTCGTTGTGGCGCACGTTTATGAATATCAGCGTCTTAAAATACCAAAGTAACAAAATATTAAAATTTGTAATAGAATTTTTTGTCGTCGTGTATATATTAGAATCTTTTTGGCTAGCTAGGACTCATCGAACCTTTAACGATCGATCGTTTTTCTTTCATAGTGTACACGAAAAAGAGCAGAAAAAGCTGAGTTCGGGAGACCTAACATTTCTCGGGTGTGCAAAAAAAATGTTGTAAACACAGTTGATATTTAACAATGTGCAGACGAAACCGATGCTATTGTGCGTATTTCTTTCTGGGAATATGACGATGATAAACGCTTATAGTTGCATGCCTTCATGGATCTTTTTCCTATTGTTTCTTTGCAAAAGTACGTGTATGCTAGATGTTGGATCTTGATTTTAAAACTACAAAGTATCGGTGTCTTGAGCAACAAAATCATGCTTGTCGTGTGAGACGACGACGTCAATAAAACAAACGTAATAATCAACCCGTCCGTATAAGCGGTGTAATCGTATAGGTGATGGCGCCGTATTTTCTAATCAAAAGGCACTAGTACTATAGAGGATGCTATTGACGTGAGTACACATTACACACTGGAACTAAACCTTTTTTAGGGGTTGGCTTATATTCTGTGTGTATGTGTGCAGTAGCGTACCAGGCAGGGGATGGAGTAAGAATGCATGAACTACCATATAAAATATATTATGCTAAAAAACCCATTTTTCTTTCTTTCTTCCTTTTCTCTATCTCCTTTTCCTTTCACTCTTACTAAACTCTCTACTACTATTATTATAAACTTTTCTGTTGAATATGAACGGTACAAGCAACGGCAGTTTCCACCATCACCATCCTCACCACGACGAAGGTTTGCTTCGGGACGCGTCACATGGTACCCTCGTAAACAGAGAGCAACAACTGCGGGAAGAGATTGCAAAGCTGCGGCGCGAGGAGCAAGAGTTGCGTGAGAAGGACCTTTGGATCAAGCAGAATATCGTGGCCGTACGAGAGAAAATGATGATGGCTTCCGACAGACGTTAGATTCTACCCCACCTCAAACCAGCTATACTATTACCACCACCACCACCGACACCCTTTCTCTTCTTGGGCATATTTCTGTCTTTCTTTTCTTCTGAATGTTACTTGTCATCGACGCTTATTTCTGTTATCGTGAAAAGACGCACATTATATCCTTACAACACACGATTCACATTCCAGACCATTGCTACTGCTAAAACAGCGCTCATCATTTCGTGTTTTGTCTTTCTTTTTTTATTATAAAAAAAAGAGCTATCATTATATACAAAAAGCGGCAAAAATACATGCAATATTTAGGAGTGCAGTATATCACTCAACTGATGATATACATAAACACTTGTTAAGAGCACATTAACGCTCTTTTCTTTTCTTTCCTATCCTCTCTTTTATTTTATCTCGACAACGCTTTCTCCCGGCTGATATCAGAATATCGTATTACGGAGCGTTCCAGCCATCGTCGCCACTTATTTCGCTCGGCCGTATCTTTTGCACACAGATAATAAGGAGGGCATTGCATCAGTCGCTTATATTCGTCACATGCAATATCGACCGGACATTGCGGATGGCATTGATATTGACAATCTATTTCGTTGTTAAGTAGATTAGTTTCATTTGCTGAACGTATCCAAGGATAAAGGAGAGAAAAAAGGGGACGCGAAAGGGTGACATTATGAGGGGTAGAAGAGCGAGAGAGAGAGAGAGCACACTAATTCAAAGGGGGATCAAGCTGAAAGAGAAAGAAGAGAGAAAACCCTTACTCTGACATGCCAAAGCACGTGGGCCCCACAACGTATCCTGACAAAACCCGCATTTCGTTTCTCCTGCTACTTTCTGACTTTTGAAATCATGGCGTTGCTGCTGTCTTGTCATATCATCAGCACTCTCAATGTGTCCTTGTTCATTTCCCTGCAGAATTGTTTTCTTATAATCGTATATCAAAGAAAATGAGTGTTATGAGCTTTCAATCTCTCCTTGCAAAAAACGTCAACAACCTCCTTTATCTTCCTTCTTACCTTGTCGCTGTTACTGATCAAAAGCTCTCGTTCTTTAACAAGTTGATCGATCTTAGCTTGTGCAGTCGCAATTGCTTGCTTCAGTTCTAGTTGGATTTGTCGTTGCTGTTTCGCTGAAGACATGACCATGGCGCCAGATGATGCGAGCAATTTCTGTCGGGCCTGCAGCGTCTTTTGTGCTCCTTGAACATACTGTCTCTCCCTTGCTATCTGCTGATCGATTTTAACTATGGAGTTTTTCAAAGCGGTTGATGATGTTGAAGATAATGATATTGATGCTGAGGTTGATAGTGATAATGATGATGATGATGTTTCTGTGTTAATGCAGCCACCCTGTCGCTGCTGCTTGTTTGCAATGCGAAGCACTAATAGCACCGATGATGCTGCTACTCCAAGCTGCTTCTCTTGTTCTGACGTTCCCTCCTGAACAAGGACAGTAGATCCCCTGAGATCAAGTACCAACTGCGGCTGCTTCTGAGCAATGCTAGTGCTAGTGGCGTACAGAACTCCATTTTGAAGCTTAACATGAAATTCTGCAAGTGATAATGTTGCTGTTGAGGACAATGGTGATGCTGCCATTTTCAGCAGCCCTTCCCGTGTAGGTATAGGTAATAGCGGTAATGCCTTCTGGTGTTGTGCTGCAAGCACAGTACTAGATTGCACCTGTTGTTCCTTTTCTTTCGTATTGCTAGCAGCGGTAGTACCCATCGCATGTTTCTTTTGTTGCTCCATAGACACTGACAGTATTTTAGTTATGCCGTTACTATGACGACAGTCGTCGTTATTGTTGTCGTCAAGGTTACCATTGCTGGTGCTACCTTTAAGTGTGGCAATTTGATCGCATAGCAACTGTGTTTCGGACCTGAGACGCTGATTCTCGCTATAAAGTGCTCCATCTTTGTGTTCTTGTCTTTCACAATTTTTCCTCAGCTGGACAAGCTCAGAGCGTAGTAGCTGCACGGCGTTCTCCCTCTCATCACGCAGCTGTCGAAGCTCTTTTTCACTCTGTCGTTGTAATCGTAATTGTTCATCTTGCAGCTGCTGGACCTGAATTTTATGCTGTTTTCGCAACTGACCATTTTCGATATTCAGCAGCTGCATTTCGTGCTCGTATTGCTTTTGTACAGTCTGTATGTTTGTGGCAGTATGCCATTGCTCGAGTTCGTGTTTGTGCTGCTTTTGCAAACGAGAGTTCTCGGCACGCAATAGCTCGAGTTCGTCTTCGTACTGCTTTTCCCGCTGTACATTTTCATCACGTAGGCATTGAACCTCGTCTTCGTGATGCTTTCGTATCCGAGTGTTATCGTCGTGCAGATGTTCGATTTCGGCTTCGTACTCTCGTATCCGTCCGTTCGTATCATTCAAAAGGGCTATTTGCTCGTCGTCTGAATTTTTCCGTCGATCCATTTCATGCTGTTGCTGCCGTAATGATTGCTGTAAATCGTCGAGGTCTTTCAACAGTTTTTGTCGTTCTGTATTGTAATCCTGCTCCTTTTCTCTTTGTTGGATATCACCGTCTTTGGCAGCTGCTAACAATTGCTCAATTTGCTGCTGTGCTGTGCTGAGCTCGATCGATAGCTTTTGCCGTTGATTCGTCTCGCTCTGCAACAGTTGTTGGATATCATCATACTGTGATTTTAATCGATCATTGTCTTTGAGCAATGCATCTATGCGTTTCTGCGCATCTTGGAGCTTGACTGTATTAATATTATCTTCGTCGGTGCACTTTTTATGTGCCTCTCGACTGATTTGGAGGAGTAGTCGCTCGTTGTCGTCACGTAACTGCTGTAGCTCGCTTTGCCGTTGTGATGGTGACGATAATGATTTTTGCAACGTAGTACTAACACCAGAAAAAGAGTAGCCGATAAACGGCATATAACGTTGTTGCTGTGTTGCTGCTGTCCATGAATAATCGTCAAATGGCTCTTCGCTTTCGTTGGCGTCAGAAAAATTGGATGTGTCGTCGGGTGATGTCAAAATTGGCTGAAAGGGAGGTTTTGCTACATTTGTCAACTGGCTTTTAGTGGATAGTCTTTCTTTCACAGAAGATGGTGAGCCAGCTTACTTTTGCGCAAATTTTCCCAATTAATACTAGCAAAGAACGGATGGGCCTGGATCTCTTGAACGCCATTCCTGCCTAATCGAGTTTCTCGTTTGGATAGCAGCCTAAACCTTAGTGTATGAGCAACAATACCTCCAACTCTCTTCTTGTTATCTGCCATAAGAAATAATCGCATATGTATATAAAGGAATTTACTTGCAAATCAGATCTTTGCATTCGGCCGTTATTGGGAAATCGTCGTTGAATGTGAGCTTGGACTAGTATCGGTTAGTCATTATTATGTATTACACCAGTAAGTGAAAGAAAAAGAAGGATGATATTCTTTACCTCGTGGAACAGGATATTCAAGTATGTTTCTTTTTCGCTATTGCTGCTGTAAAATGGTGGAAATACTTGAAGCGCTTCATAAAGTACGATGCCGACGGACCACCAGTCGACTTCTGTACCATACGTCATATTACCCTCTTGAGCTTGTAGCACCTCTGGTGCTACATAATCACAGGTGCCTACTGCCACTGTTGGCGGCGATTTCTTTTTTTAAAAAAAGCTTTATGATAAGCATTTTGGACTTGATACAACAGGTTGAATGGGTCAGATTTTATTTGTTTACCTTGGCGTCAGCAATGGAGATGCAGGATCCAAAGTCGGCTATTTTGACATGACCCGTATGATCGATTAAAATATTTTGCGGCTTAATATCCCGGTGAATATAGCCCATCTTATGTAAACTATCGACGGCGACAATCGTTTCTGCAATATAAAACCGTGCTTCGTCCTCCGTTAAGCATTCATTGTCTTGCCGTAAAAGAGCACTAAACAAATCACCGCCACCTGCATACTCCATGACCAAGTACAAATGATCGTCGTCCTGGAACGCCCAGTGCAGTTTTGGGATCCATGATTGGCCCGGTTGCGCTAATACGTGCCGCTCTTCCATGCAAAATGTCCGTTCGTGGTGTGACAGAACATGCGCCTTGTTGAGTGTTTTCATGGCATAGACATGACCATCATGCTTGTGTCTAACAATGGATACTTGAGCAAATTGGCCCCGTGCGAGTGGTCGGATATGCTCAAAATCGCCTTTGTTTACACGGAGCTGTTTGACGCGGCGGAAAAGTGATTCACCTATAATAGAGTTAATAAATATTTGCTCAAGCACGAGAGTGTATATATAGTAAAGATATTTATGGATGTATACATTGCTGTGGCTGTATCGTCTCGTCTTTACAAAGGTCGGCGTATACAGCGACCAGGCAGTCGAGCAGTACATCAGTGTGGGTGTTGACAATCTCTTGAAGCGTTGCGGAGCTAGGCGGAGTAATGCATGGTGATAACATAAGGGAATTATGAGTAGGTAAGCACAAGTATTTGAGGTCGTAATAAATAAAGCGGAGGGGAAAAGGACGAGGAAAGAAAGAAAAAGAGAGAGAGAGAGAGAGAAAGGGAAAGAGAAGCAGCAATATACTGATAGAAATGGAAAGGTAAGAAGAAGAGAAGGTCAAGCTGTGCTATGATTTGCAAAGGAAGAAAGAAGTGCAGTGAATAACCAAAAGAAGGAGAATGTTTTCAACAAAAAAAAAGTACAAGCGCGCCCTTTCTGAAAATTCCGAGAGAGCCGAGTGCGAACGAGAGAGAGAGTGTGTGTGTGTGCGTGAGAGACGAAGGGATGCAGCAGCAATAACAACAACAACAACAGTCCGTCCAAGGCAAAAGTTTACGACGGGACGGGCGCAGCAAACAGCTTCTCTTGATACACGCATACGCAACAGTGCCGACCACACTAAACCAGTCAAACAACCCGCCTTCAACCCCACCCTACTCCTTTTTTTCTTTTCTCTCTTTCTAATTCAAATTATACGTACTAATGTCAACCACAGGTGGAACTCCTGATCAGCGGTATGCTCGACTGGAGAAGCTTGGTGAAGGCACGTATGCGACTGTATTCAAGGGCAAGAGCCGGCTAAGTGGCGAAATGGTCGCGCTCAAGGAGATTCATTTGGATGCCGAAGAAGGCGCACCGTCGACGGCCATACGCGAAATCTCACTCATGAAAGAACTCAAGCATCCCAACATTGTTCGACTCATTGATGTAATCCATACCGAATCCAAACTCATTTTAATCTTTGAATACATGGATCAGGACCTGAAAAAGTACATGGATGCAACAGCACGGACCGGCCACACGGCACTCGAAACGACCATCATCAAGTCCTTCATGTACCAATTGCTCAAAGGCATTGCTTACTGCCACGAGAATCGTGTGTTGCACCGCGATTTAAAGCCTCAAAACTTGCTCATCAATAAGCGACTGGAACTCAAGCTCGGCGACTTTGGATTGGCACGCGCTTTTGGTATTCCAGTGAATACATTTTCAAACGAAGTTGTCACATTGTGGTATCGAGCGCCAGACGTACTGCTTGGCTCGCGTATGTATTCAACGTCAATCGATATCTGGTCAGCCGGCTGTATCATGGCAGAAATGTACACCGGCCGTCCACTGTTCCCTGGTACGACGAACGAAGACCAGTTGCAAAAGATCTTCCGCATGATGGGAACACCTACAGAGCAAACATGGCCTGGTGTGTCGCAACTGCCGGAATACAAGCCCAACCAGGTCATTTATCCCAGTCAACATATATCAACAGTACTTCCTCTAGTAGACGCATGCGGTCGTGATCTGCTATCCCGCATGTTGCAGTACCAGCCTCAGCTAAGAATATCCGCAAAGGATGCATTAAACCACCCCTATTTCCAAGAAGTGAGGTATATGCAGCAGCAGTTTGAATAGAAATTCATCCTTGCAATGTAAAAAGATATTTCCAGCACGCCATTCCCCTTATATTCAACATATTTTCTCGTTCAGCACACATACACACATTTTCGATTGAATTTAATTCAATCCGAACACATTTTACAAATAGCAGCATTCAATTTTTCTTTCTTTCTCTCGCCTCTCTCCCTTTCCAACACCATAGCGATGGAGAGTGTTATCTGTCGTTTGTGGATTAATTGGTCTTTAAGAGATGATGGGAGGATAGTAGTCCGTTTTTGACAACAGGCATTCAATGTCAAGTGAAGGGCGTGTAATCAATTGATTGTATGTACTACCTAACAGCTCCTAACAATAGGTTATGTGAGTGTGGGACACTGGGCTGCTTCAGCTAACATGGGATATGTTAATGGACGAACATGGGAAACCGTTACACACACAAGTATCAACATTCGCTATTAGCATCCATGTTTGCCATGTATTAACGCATCCAAGAAATCATTCTGCAGGACAGCATTCGTTTCAATTTACAATAGCAATAAAAGACTTATCACAATTTTGTTATATAAAGAAACAATGTTTGTTAGAGACTAATGCTTTAGAGTAGGTATGTATACTCACGCGTAGCATAAAAAAACCGGATTGTCAATTTATGGAGACGTTTTCGATCGGCACCTGAATTCATCTGCATGCAGATACCAATCACGATCGTAAGCATGCATGACGAAAAGCATGTTTCGGACATAATAGATGCAGCTCCAGAGGTAGAGCAAACAGACGAGGCACACTCTTAAACTTTTGATCGACGTAGACATTATGCAAGACCCACCAAAAATAATAAAAGTGCGTGCGGTGCAGAGGTCAACATTACAGAGATCTTTATTGCTGTTGTTGTTGTTGTTATAGGGAGGGGGAGGGCGAGAGAGAGAGAGGGAAATTCTACCCAAGAAGGCGCGGGCGACCATGGTGATGATGATAATGACAGTGGGGACAAACTGTCGAACTCCTCCTGCTCCTGTTGCTGTTGTTGTTGTTGCTGCTCCTAATGAAAAAGCAGGTAAGCTACTGTTTCACAGCATGAATCGCAGGCACAACATCTCAATTTACCTCCCGTCGAATCTTCTTGCTTCTCATCTCCTTTGCCTGCGCAAGCGCGTCATTGCCGTTCTCGCCTAAGTAACAAAAAGGATGTCAGTACTGCTGTGATAAACGGTGGAGTAACTTGTATAAACTTCAAACTGAATTCTCATGTAAGATTACCTGCTCGCGACGTCGTGCCAAGCTCTCGGGATTCCTCGGGAATCCACCAAATGCAGTGTACTGTATTACTGCGTAAATCTTGTTAATACATAGCGTAGGTAAGTAAATATTTTATTGCCGAGGAATGAGGTCTTCATCCAGACGGTCGTCTTTAAAAAATTTACGGCATTACTTAACTGTGCTTTATCAGGTATATTGTCTTTGGGCCGCAAACATCAAAGATTGAGTTGAGCATTTAACTCGAACTGATGATCCTTTACTGTTATCATTTGTGGGTTCTTGATAAGGTATTTTTTACAATAGTAATCATTCCTTTGGGGTTTTTGCAATATCATTTAGTATTATTTTAATAAGTTGTGTGAGTGCTACTTTAACACCGATAAGCAACAACGAGCTACCTCTTTCAAAGCACACAGTGTGTTTGTCATTTGATCGTTCAACAATCTTTTTTTTGGAACTTGTCACGGAAAGCTTTACCCGCCACTATGCGGAAATTCGTTCACAAGGGTGTCAGCATCCCATTGTTTTTTTTTCTCGGCCTGGTGCTTTATCATAAGTCATACAGTAAAGATGTCTACGATATCAGTAAGCAGTTCTTTGGGCTTGATCGAAATTTAAAAGCAATCGAGGTTTATGACTCTTTGCTTTTGGCGAATGTTGCGTTGACTTGTAACATATTGCTCAAGTGTGTAAAGTAGAGTATTTTTGTTGTTCGGACTACTAGAGAGATGTATCTGGTGACTCGGTGCAACATATAATAGATGCAGTGACCTGACTCGAAATATACGATCTTCCGTCTCGTGGATATCGCTCATCAAAGTTGTTATTAAAGCCGCCTGTGCAATTTAATGGCAATTGGTTGATGAAGTAGGTGGAGACAAGCTCGTATATTAAAAAAGTGGCATCGCCTACGAGTGAAAAGAAAAGGTGGAAGCGCTTGTACATCAAAACCAAAGATCGCACTTTACTTGTATTTAACAGAAAAAAATTGTTTTCTGGCTTCCAAGCTTTGCAAGAAAACCATGCATACGAACCAGCTTGTTTGCGCGACTTGATACGTCAAATCACAGGATGGCATCCAAGTAGTTTTTTTTATTTCTCTCTTCGTCTTTAATTAAACTCATTTAACATCTCTGTTTTGCATAAAGCTGAAAGAGGTATGTTCTGTTTTATAGATTAAGGAAAGAAGCTGTTACAGAGGATAAGGACTGACCTAAGCAAAGATGCAAAGAGCATGAATTCTCTCAACTTTGCTGACCGAGCCAGTTGCGAGCAGGAAGAACTCCATCCTCATGAAAACAGTTGTCGAAGGTGATACGAGTACACTAACATTATCTACTCGACAAGAACAGATGTACAGTATGTAATACTATCATTGCATTTGGATTTCAAAAGTTGCGGCTGAAAGAGAACATGTCTATAATGACTGTCCATAGAAAATAACAGCAGGGATACAAGTTCTACGGCTTGCTTCCTTGCTATGTAATACGCACAGACACAGTTAGCACCATATGCTGGCCATTAGCACGAATGGATGCACATGATGACTTAGGGTCGTGCTGATATATACAGGTTGATCACCGTCAAGGTCAACCTCGTTAGCGTTAACTCTCGACAGCATCAACTTTTCCCAAGAGGCATCTTCTAAACAGAATCATCCGAGATCTTCGCTCATGTAGTTACGCAACATAACTACAGCACTATCATTATCAACATCTACTTACAATCCCTGTACAACTATTTCCATGTAAGCTTCTTGATCGCCTCGTTCAACAGCTGAGAGTATATACTGCAGTACACATTATCAGGGCAGTGTATTAATATAGCACATGTAACAGAGTGTGGCCACTGAACAAGTGTTTTTGTCTAATTTTGAAACTATGCAGACGTGAACAACTGCATTGTAATAAGAGGCAGATTGCCAGTAATAACAGCTTTGCTGCTTCTCATGTCAAACCGAAAGTTACTGAGGATATGGAAAAAGCTGCGTTTATTAAATGCCAAAAGAAATAAAGAAGTAAAGAGTACTGGATAAAAGAGAAAAGAAAACAAATGCAATAAGTATGAAGACGAGCGAGGGGTAAAAGGATAAATGATTGAAAGGAAGAAATGATTGGATTATTGTTGTTGTTGTTGTTGCGGTGGGCTGGGGATTTGCTGCAAACCTTCCCAGTCGAAAAACAAATCATCCAACTGAACATCATCGTTCGAGGACACAGACGATAGTATAGGTGACGGCAAAAGCTGAGGTGGTTCAAGCCCTTCGTGTTTGACAGCCTCCGCTGCGGGGACAGGACACGTCGTAATTGTGCTCCATGCTCATAGTTGATCGATCGTTTTCGTCGTTGTTGTTGTTGTTGTTCTGCTGCATCTTTTATCCATTGGGTGGTGGACGAGGGGGGTTGAGACGACGACGACACACGAACATTGAACGACAGAACGAGATCAACAGACTGGAGCCACGGGTACGCATATCCTCTTCGCGATCCGTGCTGAATCGCAAAAGCCATCATTCACCAGAGAAGAGCCACCGTCGGTCATTTTTGCAAAGTGTTGGCTCAGGACAAGGAGTTGGGCGCTCAAAATTTGATTATGAGCTTCCAAAGTCTTGGCACGCTTCGTCACCCGTTCATTTTCCTCCTGCAATTGTTTGTTCCTTGCTTCCAAGTCGACGACATAGCGACGCTTCTTATCTCTTGACTCTTGAGCCGCTGCTCTGTTCCGCAGGATTCTGTTATCCAAACATGATTTTTAGTCAACGGTAAAAGAGAAAAAGCTAATATATATTAAAAAAAAAAAACAAACCTTTCTTTTGTCTTTTGGTCTTTGTCGTCCAAGGAGAGTCGAGACTTTTTGGTCTGCACGACAGTGCGCTTAGGACTATTGTTGTTGCTGTTGTTGTTGTTGTTGCTGTTGCTGTTGCTGCTGCTGGTGCTGCTAGGGCTGCCGGGGCTGCCGCTAGAGCAAGTGACCGTAACCAATGGATTGACTGCAAAGTCGCCTGGGAATGACGACAACAGGGCCTCCAGGCTCACATTGTCTGGCAATGAATGTTGTTGCTGTTGGTTTGAGATCATTTTTTAAAACAATAAACGCTGGTTTCTTTTTTTTATTTGTGTCCACCACCCAATGGAGAAAAAAAAAAGCAGGAATCGTCGAATAAAGAAAAAAAGAAAAGCGAGCTTCGCTGCAGGAGGAAACGCTATATTTCAATTTCTCAATACCCAATCACAGCTGACCACTTGTTCCGCGGCGGTCTATTTTTGGACACCGCGGATTGCTGCGAAACCAGCCAAGGCTGGGTGAGACGCCTTCGAAACCACCCAGGCTTGCCGCAGAGGCTTTTTTGGTCTTCCACGGAACGGGTTGAGCAAAAGAAGCAAAAAAAAAAAAAAAAAGGTCCATGCGGTCCACACAACCCCGCTAAATTATACGCCCATATTGTGTCATATCAACATGAATCACAAACACACCTTGGTTTTGCGGAGTTGCCTCCAAGACACAAGTGCCTTTTTGGATCGAGAACAAAAAAACCCCTCGCCCACACACACTCATAGTAATGCCCATTCCGACGAGGGATGCACATGCAAAGGTTCCGGTCAGTTCCGCATAGCCTCGACTTATTTCCCCCCCACCCCCGTGCAATTTCTCAAAATCGTATAAAAGGGCAAGCCTATCCTGGGATCAAAAAAACCTTTCAAACGTCCACCCCTCTCCTCCTTTGAATTCTGACCGTTCGATGATCACACGGATATCTACTACTACTACTATTACTACATCAATTAACCTACTCTTATAAAAAAACAATCAACATGTGGAACAAACGAAACAACGCACCTAGCACCATCTTCACCTCTACTCGCAACATGTCGCCTCGACAGATGGCCACCAAAGCCTTTTCGCTTGCATGCAAAAAGCTGGATCGAGACGAAAAACGCCGTCGGCCAAGCTACCACATCCGTGAGCGTGTCCTTTTGTACAATACCATGAACAAGGCAGACTCTGTCCTCAACAAGCGTCAGACTCGCACAAATCGCCGAGTCATGGCTGCCGAAGACGACGAAGTAGGCTATGATGATCCTCCACAGAGCAACCACCACCATCAACACTATCCTCCACACCATCATTCGCCATTAGCCCACAGCAACATGGATGATGAAGAGGATGAGGAACAACAACAACAAGAGGTTGTCAGTCATCCTGTGGTCGCACCTGCGCTACCGCAACCACAACAGCAGCAATCATTACTGTCACCACCTTCCACACCATCAGTATCAGTATCAGTATCATCATCATCATCTTCTTCTTCTTCATTATCACCATCCTTTCCCGCAGTAGCGGCAACATCAGCAACACATCAAGCGCAGGCGCAACCTCTATTGTCATTATCACCCATCTCGTTACCACCTTCGCCTCCTACCACGCCTCCACTGTTATCAAACATCATCATCAGTAGCAGTAGCAGTAACAGCAGTAGTAGTAATAGCAATATCATTATACCCCTCGATCTACCTAACCTGGACTGTCGAATTCTTGTAACCCATAATACTCTTCAAAACAAATTCACATGTGCTTCCCCCGCGATCATTTGAATGAAAAATAAAACATTTTGTGTTCTATAATGCATTTCATTAAAAAAAAAAAATTTATTCCTGGCATAATAATGATTGGGTCTCCACTCTTTTGTTTGATATATATATATATATCGGGCGTTCTCGTAACGAGCCGTCAATATCACTTTCCGATCCACTCCGAAAAAGGAATTCGGGGTCAAGACAAAGATCGCCGTGTGTCTTGGACAGCATTTCTCACGATTTCTTGAATGAGGGCTCATGCTGTGGGGTGAATGTTGTATTCACGCACACACTTGCTATCTGCCTAATATACCCGATCAGCTTTGAAACGGGTGCTTATTTTGGAAAGGGCTCTCCCTCATGTTATTAGCTTGGATATCATTATCAAAAAGCCTGATCAACAAATGAGCTCCAAAAAATGGCTCAATTGAGGGAAATATCATAGTGAGAAATAGGAGGGCTTATCCTACTATCGATATAATTACCTTTGCGTCACGGTTTTTATCGATATGAAAGGGCTGTTGTGTAGTTTTAAGCTTTCCAAGACTGCTAATCATCATCATCTTTGAACTGCGGGCTGAAGTATAGAGATAATTGATCTTTTCTGATATGATGCATACAGCCCGGAAGCAGAGCAGCAACAAGCAGAGAGGCGAGCTGGGCCCAAGCCCGGTCGTATACGGGAACCCTCCTCTCCTCATTACCCTCTCATTCCCAAGTTTCGAGGAGTTTTTCTTTGAGAAGCACATGCTGCATCCGACTTTCTATTAACTTTATATACGGTAATATACCGCCGGCTGACTGGGCTTTTTGGTTGCAGACTCCTTGGCATCATCCTTTCCGAGGCAACAACATGGATTCGGGGGGGAAAATGTGCGGCCTGGGGAAACTACGTTATATGTTTTTAGGTTTTACAACCTACTCACTGCTTGCTAGGCTCACGCGATATGTAATCATATGCTGTATTTTACATGCATGGATACATTTTTAGAGAAACATAACCATTGCTGCATGCAATGAAGCAGCTACTCATTCTATTTTTACTTTTTTGTTTAAAAAGGAGCAGACAAGAGCGCCGTCATCGAAATCTATTAGATCACTGAACAAAATACTATATGAAATGCATGTCAACTTTTAACTACCTATGCAGAAATTTATATCGATTTGCTATAGCCGCCCGTGAGCCGTATCAACATATCATTTTCGAACGTAGAACACAGCAACCGCATCGTTGTTATCATATGTGCTTTATCCAAACTCAAATAGCCCGTTCCGATAATCGGAGAGAGAGAGAGAGAGAGAGAGAAGAGATGTTTCTTTCTTCTATCGCTAAAGCAATTCAAAGTTTCAACTACGCTCGATGGTTTATCTTTTGGTCCACACGATGGAAAAGAATGGCTGCCTAGTCTTATCATCATTCGCTAACACACGTCTCAAGTGATTATATGGGAAAGATAGAAAGCGCACACACTTTTATAGAGTTGAAAAAGTGTCATCGTCTTTGCTATAGGACCTATTAAGGATCACTACCAACGTGTGATACTACGGTAAATCGTCAGTGATGCATTCACCGGCAAGTGATTTTTTTAAATATGACAAGTATGTCAGGAGTTCTTTTATACTTTTTGCAACGATTATCGAACAGATGATGATATCATCTGTAATAATACATGGAGTTTCCTTTTCCTTTTATGCATAAGCTACTAGGTGAATCAAGTCTCCTAGAAGAGAGCCTCATCACCTGATATTGCTACCTGGTAGTAGCAACGTTAGCATTGAGATATAACATCCTAGTAGTGTACATGTGTGGATTTTTACAAGTATTCACAAAAGGAGGGAAATGTGTGTGTGGATGGTTGCGAAAGAATAAGCGGGTGATGATCATGTTGCCCTCTTATCATCATTAGGTTTGTCATTCGCTTAGGATTGAAATGCCTTGGTTTTTTAGCATCATGCGGTTTGGTTATGGAAGCGGTGAGGAAGCATTGTTTGAAAGAAAAAAAAATTCGGGTAAGGATTCTTCGTCGTCGTCGTTTAGGTCATTGTCGTCATACATAACCCCATCTGCGTCAAATATGTCTTGATCGTTATCGTCGTCGTCTGAGCGAAAATCCATCAGGTCCTATGAATGATCACCCAACAGTCCTTCCAGTTCTCCTTCTTCAAAGTCCTCGGCATCCCACATGTCGTCATCAAAGTACATGTCTTCTTCGTCATCTTTCCCTTTCTTTCCGTCTATTCTTGCTCTCTCTTTTGTTTCCTCTACATCTGCATGAGCTGGCTGCGCTGCAGCAGTGGCGTGTCCGGTGGTTTGTAGTTTTTCGGTTGTTGTTGTTGTTGTTGTTGTTGCTGTTAAAGATACTGGTTTCTTGTCCTTATCGGGCCCTTCATGCTCAAACTTGCCATTCTCCTCATCGTCGTCCGTCGTGACACTACTGCCTTGACTTGCATTGTATGCTCTCAGTTCCTCCTTGTACTGCATCGCTTTTTGGAGAGCAGTTTCCTCGTATTTCTAATCATCATGATCGATTTGCGTGGATGCGGAGATGGATGATAACCCATCATATCGAATTTAAGCAAATAAAGACGTGTGTTGTGACAGAAAAAACCCAAGGGACCGTTGTTACCTTTTTTTCTTGTTTAGACAAACCCTTCCACTTGCGTCCCAGTGCTGCAATCACGTCTTGTTGCCGAGCGCTTTTTGGGAGCTCTTCCTTTACGCGTCTGCAATTTCTTGCGACAAAGTACGTGTACGCGTTACCACCACGTTTACGAGGAGGTACATTGTTTTTGATTTTTCATCGTTTGTCTACTGGCCTTGACTTTCTTCTTGTCTCTTTATATAAGCGCTTGAGCCGATAGATTTCGGTTTGCAATTTGCTTGTACCGTCAGCACTCTTTTTAAAGAGTTCCAGAATCTCCTACAAGTAACAACACCCCAAAAAAGATAGAAAGAGAGAGAAAGCACAACCTAAAAAAGTCAGTCAAAGTTTTTTTTTTTAGATAGAGTACATTTTTTTTTTTTGGTTCAATGTGGACATGAGAAAAAAAAATTACTCTTATTTGGTAAGTTGTTGACGCACTTTATCTTCTTGTTCTGTGAATGGTTTCGGCATTGAGATAGGAAATGTCAAAAGGAAAGAGAACGTTTATTTTGGGAATGCGCCACCGGCATTATAAAAACAACACGGAAACAAAACCGACAAGTCGGACAGGTTACTCTATCATGGCCTAAGACTATTTTCGTATCGTCTCAAATGCAAAGAGCTGCTGTCAATATTCTAATGACATCTACCACGACGCGCGGACGACTATTAACGCTGCTGTCTAGTATATAGGTCATCCCCAAAAATGTGATTAAAGACACTATCTCCAACCCCCCCACCTTCAACGTCTCACAGATTTCCCCAGTAACACACGACAGCAAAAAGAACATGTTTATCCGTTGCCATTCAACCAAGATCACACCACTTGCCAAGTATTGATACAAACAACAGACATCGAAAGAAAAAGAGATGTACTATTATTATACGGGTAATGGGTGTAGTGGTAAGTAAAAGTAACGAAATGATCAAGGTTTGCCCGAATTGTCGATGGAAAGAGATATACAATTCTTCTTTTAAATTGAAAGGCTGGCTTCTTCAAGTTGCTTATGTACATGGTGCTAAATGATGGTTACGGTGTTGTCCACACACGAAATGACAGTTTGCTTGTATTATTGCTGGGGTTGATGCATGTACCTGACGTCTTGGAAATAGGGATGGTTCAATGCATCCTTTGCGGAAATCCGCAGTTGAGGCTGATACTGGAGCATGCGAGACAACAGATCACGACCGGAAGGATCGACATTCGGTAGGACCGTGTTGATGTGTTGTGCGGGATAAATTGCCTGGTTCGGATTGTATTCAGGCAGCTGCGACACACCGGGCCAGGACTGTTCGGTGGGCGTTCCAAACATGCAAAAGATCTTTTGCAACTGGTCCTGATTGGTAGTGCCAGGGAACAATGGACGGCCAGTGTACATTTCTGCCATGATGCAGCCTGCAGACCAGATATCGATCGACGTTGAGTACATGCGTGAACCGAGCAAAACGTCGGGTGCCCGATACCATAACGTGACCACCTCATTGGAGAACGTGTTGACCGGGATCCCAAACGCGCGTGCCAAGCCGAAATCGCCGAGTTTAAGCTCGAGACGTTTGTTGATGAGCAAGTTTTGTGGTTTCAGGTCGCGGTGCAACACTCTGTTTTCGTGGCAGTACGCAATGCCTTGGAGGAGTTGGTACATGAACGATTTGATGATGGTGAGGTCGAGTACTGGACTGCCGCCGCCGGTGGCATTGTGGTGACCGATGCGTCGGGCTGTCGTGTCCATGTACTTTTTCAGGTCTTGGTCAAGACATTCAAAGATAACAATCAGCTTGTTTTCGGTGTGGATTACATCCATCAGTCGCATAATGTTGGGGTGCTTGAGCTCTTTCATCAGCGAGATTTCGCGTATCGCCGTCGATGGTGCGCCTTCCTCTGCATCCAAATGGATTTCTTTCAGTGCAACTATCTCGCCGCTCAGTCGGCACCTGCCCTTGTATACTGTCGCATAGGTGCCTTCTCCTAACTTTTCAAGGCGGGCGTATCGTTGTTCAACAGCTCCATTCGTCGATGTCGTGGTTGACATTGTATTATGAGCGAAAAGTATTAGTGACAAAAAAAAAAGAGGAATGAGGAAATCAAGAAAGAAAAGAAAAGGAAGGAGAAAGTGCTGAACTCAGGCTACTTCTTTTCTTTACTGCTGCTGCTGCTGCTGCTACTACTGCTGCGGGTAAGTCTATGTGTCACCTTCTGTCTTTGGCGCTTTATCAAAGAGTCACCCACCCGCGCGTGATACCGGCTTAAACTCTAAAAAAAATTGTGGTTTCCACTCCCCCCTCCCCCGCTTTTGCGTTGTATGATCCCATTTTGCCTGTGGCTTCCTTTCGTTTGAGCAAACCACTCTAGGCGCCAGGAAGCACTTTTATGAAAACCCGAATTATCACTGCATACAGTATACATCGTACATGCACACTGTTGCCTTTACCCTTTTCCCCAAACAAAAAAAAAAGTGCCAGCCTTTCTGCTCATCCAAAATGATACGTGTTGAGCGTATGTGCGTGGAGAGAGAGAGAGAGAGAGAGAGAGAGAGAGAGGTTTTTTTATGGAATGGAAAGGAAAGACAAGGGGATGAATGATGACTTTACGATAAATTATAGATATAAGAAATAAAAAGTTTCAATCGACCTATAATAAACCATTGTAATGATGACGATGATGAGTAAGAATTATTGGATGTATCGGGGCAAAGAAGCAACCAGTGGGCGGGGGGAATCGACTTACTTTGACAGCTGCATAGATTTTGCGAATAAACAGAAAAGTGGCAAAGAAGCCAATGGTGCCCATGCACAAGCTATAGATCAGGCAGATCATGACGCTGTGGCCAAAGTAGACGACGGCAGCAACAAAGCCAGCGACCTTGAGTCGTGTAAAGTAATAAAAGATGGAATACAAAAAGACGTATACGCCTGATGCCGAGGATACGGCAAATGATTTCCACCACCATCGATAATCCTATGTACAAAGTTAATTATCAATTCGACATTTGGGACCACTATCTATTCATACCCAATTTGATATATAAAATTTTACCTCACTGCAAAGACTAAAGTATGTGATGACGATGGCAATCTCGACGGTGGTCACGACCAGAATGAAAAATACAAGTGCCAGGAAGCCAAACATGTAATAGTATTGGTCACTCCAGATAGATTTGAAGATAAAGAACAGTTCAATGAAGATGACAGCAAATGGCATCAGTCCACCAACAGCCATGCTAGTTTATGAAACAAAGAGCTTAGTGATCCCATCCTCCGTTTTCTCTATCTCTCTTTAATAAAACCAATATTTACCTGATGTGCAGTTGAAGAAACCAAGGCTGATCAGGGATCTGTCGAGGGATTTGATGCGTTCGCACTGGATTATCGGGCATCGGTTTTCGAGCACCAAAAACAGCACCCGCAAAGACTAATGGTGTGGATACGCCGAACCACAGACTGATCAATGCAAAGAATGTGCCGAATGGGATAGCAGCTGAGGACTGTTGGCCCCACACGAATAGATTGAGAATGAACTCAATAACAAACATGGTAGCAGGGATCAATGTTGCCGTCTATTATCATGCACAGAGCAAAAGAGAGTTTAGAATACACTACAGCTGTGCCCTGGATAGAAAAAATATGATTTAACCAACTACTTACAACGAGAGCATTTCGGAACCATTGTTGACCCTTAAGAACCTTGTACATCCTAGCACTATAATATCCTGCGAATGATCTGTTTCTCCTCTTCCAAGGCGACTGTTTAGTAACACACACATTTAAATGGATATAACCCGACCCAACAAGTTACTTTACCCTGCCAATACATAGAACGCAAAACCGTATGAAACAAGTCCGCCACGATAGGATGGATTGAGCAAGCCAAACATTGACAACACTAAAAAAAAAAAAAAAAACATGTGTCAACCACTCGTCCTCTCTTTTACGTCTCATTCTACCCACGTTTACGTTACCAATAGTTCCAGCCACCATGATGAGACATTGGACACCCGAACCAAGCAACGGTGCCAGCAGCAAAGCGTGCTTTGGAGGTCTCAAGACATCACCGTGGCACAATTTCCAACCAATGGAATCCTCATCCAAGGCCTAAATAGCGAGTTTATCAAAATTGCTGCGGCGATTATATCAACAATGGGTGATTTTGGTTCTAACCTCGACATCTTCTTCTTCGGTTGTGTTGTAGGACGTGATATCGCGCTTCAATGTGCGCAAGATGATCATGGCCACCATACCCGTCAAAAACATGGTAATCACCAACGAATTACTGATGGAATACCAATGGATGCGCGACTCGAATATTTGGAGATAGCGGTCCCATCGTGTTGCCCAAGTGATATCTGTTGATTCCTTCCAAATGACCGAGTACGTGTACGTGATGGATGTTTTGCCAGCGCCGACTTGCTTCATCGGGACATTCGCTTCTTGTTTCTCGCACGATCCAGCATCCGCATAACTAAGGGGGGAAATGGTTAAGCCCCCTTTTTTTCTCCACGTATATAACTCTATTTTTTTTTCCAATCACTCTAGAATAGATTGCAAATCCACAAAAACTTACGATGCAGGGTATACTTCGAATCCTACAATGTATTTGTTTTCAGGGTTCTTGCTACTTGTTTGGTACAAGAGTTGTAAAGTCCAATGATTATGGATGAATGCTTGGTCACCCTAATCACAGACATATATATTTTAGTTTTTGACAACAATGACTCGATAGTATTCCCCCACATCTTATCTTTTTATTACCTTGAGTTGACCAAGAGCAAAGTAAGGAAGCAGTGCAGTGGTTGGATCAGATGAGTTGAACTTGAGCACCGTGGCGCCAGGTAAATTATCAACGACCCTGCATCATAACCCGTTAGCTGTCAATGCGTGTCCCAACTCTCAAAGGGGATAATACTAACCACTCCACGCGATATTCGTCCTTGATCAATTGCTTGATTTCATTCGAATCCTCTTCCGAAACTGTCTTTATGCACAGCGTTTCACACTTCATATCCTGGCCCATACGGAGCTAAATACATTGATGTGTTTAGAGAGAAAATAAGCAGGCAGAAAAAAGTAAAAAGAAAAGAGAAGCAATTGGGAGAGTTTGCTCTTTTCTTGTTCCAACGATTTATGAGATTTCTTTGTTAGTGGGACACGCACCTCAAGATCACTGGCCACTAATCGGTCACCGCGTAGCACTTCGCCTAGGTTAAGCCAGGTACGTTTTCCGCCATCGGCACCAGCAGCATTACAAACGAATGACAGTTCACTGTAAGCATAAGGTAATTGGGTGTTTTCCGAGACAATCTTGTTGACGAGTAAAGGTACTTGATCATGGTTGTTGTAAGGTACTGGCGACACGCCAGGTACGTAAAAGCCAAGCACTTGGTGTGCCAAGACACTCATGATGGTGAACACCAACAACAACGGTCGCAGTGCCATTCGTATTATTATTATAACTACCAAGTGTGTGTGTGTGTGTTCTGTGTGGGTATACTGTTATATAAGTTTACGCAAAGAAAAATAAGAGAGAGAAAGAAAGAAAGAAAATGGGGTGCTGGAATGGGTGAGTGTCCCCCATGCATCAACTCTTATTTTTTGATGGTCCGCTTTATCACACGCTATCTGTTCTGCATGATTCTATATTCGACAGCTTAAAAACGACATTGAAAGCTAGTTTGTTGTCTTTTTTGTTTATTTGAATTGACACGACAGAACGTGTGGAAGAGGTATGATGGAGAGAAATTATGTGTGGAGAGGGATGAGCATGAATGAGGTGTAGTACTTGTTTACTGAGCTTCCTTGCCCTAAAATCACACACACACACACACAAAAGAGAAAGAGGTATTAGCCATTTTGTATCACAAAGGTAATCAGCGAGATTAGCAGTTTTGTTGTTTGTTCCCTTTACCTTGACAAAGGTAGCAACAGTCTTGCCAAAGTTTTCACCCTGGGTCTTTGCAATGTCGAGTTCCTTCTCAGAGGGTTGACGCGAACCGTCACCGTTGCTAAGATACGCATCCCATGGGAGAAATGACGAGCCCGTTAGCACAGTTTTTATTAAGAAAAAACCCCCCCTTATTCATCCCACATTGGAAACTTACGTGACAGTGCCGGCACCATAGGCGGAGCCACCAATGACTTCGCTGTTGTCAAAGAGATGCTATATCACGCATAGTAACGGGATGAGTGGATGTTACACGAGAAAAGAAAGCAAGAAGTAAACTTACAGCGTTGGCGAAACCGAAAGGCACGTAGATCATACCGTGGTGAGCAAAGTAGGTGATGGTGGTAAAGGCGGTGGTTTCCTGACCACCGTGCTGAGAGGCAGTGGAGAAGAAAGTACCAGCGAACTTGCCAGCCAAAGCACCGCTCGCCCAGAGACCACCGGTGCTGTCCAAGAAGGCCTTGATTTGAGCGGGCATGGTACCGAAACGGGTAGGGATACCAAACACGACACCGTCCGCTTCCTTCAGGTCATCGACGGTGATGACAGGGACATCGGGCTTGGGAGGAGCGTGGAGCTGCTTGAGAAGGTCGTCGGACAAAGTCTCGGCCACTAATCCATGATGCGCGTTAAAAACAAAATAAAATATGTAGGCATGGACACCCACTCTGAGAGAAAAGCGCGTCTGTTTTTTTTTTTTTTTTTTTTTACCTTGGAAGATCTTGGCCTCGACACCAACGGATTCAAGACCCTTCTGAACCTCAACGGCCAGCTTGTAGATGTGATGGTACATGGTGTAAATGACAATGTGAACCTTGGCAACCATTTTTGAAGATATAAAGAAGTAATTAAAGTAAGAGGGAAAAAAAAAAAAAAGACGTAGACAGGTCAAAGACTTTATATAGGCTTTTATTAAGGGCCAGCTCATTCCTTTTCGGATTCCGAATACTAGACGGAGAGGGAGGGGAGATGCTTAATCATCGGTTGGTAAGTGGCGTGAGCTGAATCAGGTCTTGGTAAGCCCAGGTTCGCTGAATCATGCCTTACAAATCGCCTGCCTCCACTCCGTCTATTGTACAAAACGTGTTTTCTTTTTTTTTTCCCGCCTCCCCTTCCCTTTTTTGAACCCTTCTTTTTTTTTTTTTCCAATCCGTCGTTTCTTCTTTTACTTTCCACCACCAACGTACTCAACTATGCCCAAAGTATTCATCATCTTTTACTCGCTCTATCATCATGTCTATACCCTCGCACAGAACGTGCAAAAGGGTCTCGAATCACAAGGTGTACAAGTCGAGTTATATCAGGTAACATTGCTGTTGTTGCTATGACATTATACTATTTTTTTTAATAACCATGGCAACTCTATATACACACATATGAAAGGTTCCTGAGACCTTGGATGACGCCATTCTCGAGAAAATGCACGCACCGGCCAAGCCCGACGTACCCGTGATCACTGTTGACAAGCTCCAGGAAGCAGATGGCTTTTTGTTCGGTTTGCCCACGAGGTGAGTATGCTACATGCGGGTCGCGACAATAAAAAAAGAAGGGGTATTGGCTGACGATGTTTGATGTGTAGATTCGGTATTTTCCCTGCTCAGGTTTGTGTTTCTCTGGCATGGGTTCAAGACAGCTTTGAGAAAAAAAAAAAAGGGGGGGATGCTAACACCTCGTTATTATGTTTTATTTAAGCTCAAGGCCTTTTTGGACAGCACGGGTGGTCTGTGGAGCAATGGCACTTTGGCCGGCAAGTTTGCCGGTACCTTTTTCTCGACGGCCAGTCAACACGGCGGTCAGGAAACCACTGCATTGACTGCGGTGACCTATTTTGCCCACCACGGCATCAATTATGTTCCGTTTGGTTTCGCACACGCCCACTTGTTTAGCAACGACGAAGTGATTGGTGGTTCTGCCTATGGTGCTGGCACTGTTGGTAAGTTTTTGCTTGGGGAGGATGTTGCACAAAGAAGTCCGCGTGCGTGTGTGTGTGTGTGTGTGTGTATGTGTTTGTCCCGCCCACTAAAAACGACTGTTTTCCATCATCAAGCCAACGGTGATGGTTCGCGACAACCCAGTGAAAAGGAACTCGAAATCGCACAAGCTCAGGGTGAAAACTTTGGTAAACTGTTGGTGACTTTTGAAAAGGGGAGCAACGCGTCTGCTGAGAACGGTGATGCCATCAAGACTGAACAACAGAACGGTGCAGCTAAGCAGTCTGAAGAAGAAGAAGAGGCTCCTGCTGCTGCTGCTGCCACCACCACGTCTGCACCGGCTGCTAAACGTGAAGCTGCGCCAAAGAAGGAGGAAGACAAGAAAAACAAGTGTTTCTGCATGTAAAATCGAAATCTGCTCGTTTTGCGCAGTGTACCATTAACTCGTATTTTTATATTATTACACATTTAAAACAACCCCTCTACTTACTATTATGTACATTCCATATCAGCTTAGTCTTACTATTAAAACTCACATTCACACTCTTATACAAGCATCATGTCGCATTGTTTATTTGTTGTAGCACTATAGGGTCTCTGTATATAATATACATATATCAGAAAGAGGTTATTGTTATGCAAAAGTCCTCTGCTCACAAATCTCTCTTGCCCATTAGATTCTTAAACACCAACGTGGAAAAAAGGCCTTGGGTCAATGGCAAATGCTACCATGTCGGGTAATACAATGTGTCATTGTGTATATTTGATTTTGTTGTTACTGGGCGGGCTATAAACAAATGGAATAGTGTGGATGTGTGGATGTGTGCGCGTGCGAGAGGGTCTGTGCATGGTGAGGGTGTCTGTGTGGCAACGCGTGTTGTGAGTGGTGTAAAATGTGATATAGTGAGAGGGGAGAGAGGGAGAGGATTTCGTTGTTTTCATAGACCTGCACGTCTTCGTTCCGCTTGAGCGTTTTTCCAAGTGTCGATCCTTTCTCTCAACCTCCGTTTTAAATCGAACTGGCGGTGTAGCATGATCCGCATGTCATTCTGGCGATCGGTCAGTCTTACCAACTTGGATTCGAGGAACCGTCGAAGTTGATCCAACTCTTTGTCCGAGCTATCGCCTTGGTATGCTTCAATGGGTATGAGGTTGCTCAGATTTAAGGTGGCAACTACAAAAAGAGGATTTTTTTTTTTTTTTTTTGTAAGAGGCTTTTTTGTGTTATCCCAGGTACCGAGGATTTTTGCTTACCATGTGGGGTATTGTCGACCAAGAAGGTTCGGCTTAGATCACGTCCGAGGGCGCACAAGTCTTTGATGTACATGATATCGTTGGTTGCCCTGGATCGCATTCGGATACACGTACGACGTGTCAGGATATGTCTAAAAAAACACAATATTAGCTTTAGAGAGCAATGCTTTTACAACACACACACACACACACACACACAAACGTACGTTATCAAATTTCCCTCAGGATCCAGTACAGAGCGCACCATGCCAGCATACTCATCGTCTCCAGCCGTCCATACAACCACTTCAAAGATGCCTGTTGCCCATATTAAGAACTCCGTCACTCCAGGTCGCAGGATGCCGGCTGTCAAAGTGCTCCGCCCGTCTTCAGCAAAGAAGACATAGTCAGGTTGTGTGAATTCCTCCTGTTGTCCCCGATATGTGTGAAGAAGCGTTTCATCCAGATCAAGCACTGTATACGTTCATTTAATCGACTATTTATCGTGACAACCAAGCACTCAAGTTATACACACACACAAAGAGTTGTTACCTAATGTCGGTCGGTTGTCTGTTTTTTTGGGGAGATGAGGCTTCATTCCTTTCAGTCGAGCATGCATAGAAGGCCATCGTGCCATGAGTGCGTCAAGCGTCGAACATTCCCCACTACACAAAAAAAAGAAAGTCAAAACAAAAATTAGCCAACGTGAGTGAATCAAAAGGCATTCCAAAAATAAAGGGAGAAAGGTGGAAAAAGATGTTGTCAGAAAGGTAAAAGGGTGTATATCTTACTCATCCAATTGTTCAACTAGATTTTCAATTCTGTAAGAAACGTCGGTAGAAGTCTCTCGAGATCGACAAATGTTTAAAAGAGGCGGGTCATTTTCAGCATTATCGGTGGTTGTAGTAGTAGTAGTAGTAGTAGTAGTAACAGTTGTTGTTGTTATATTCGTTGAAGGATTGGGGTCGTTTTCTTTATCATTACGTCTGGAGCGTTTGGCTGTTCGTTTCGTTTTCGTTGCTGCTGCAGAGGAGGGTGCGTTGCGGCTATTACTGCTTTTGTTGAACTGAGCCTGATAACGGGTTTGAACCATGGTATCACCAAAGGCGGAAGAAAAAAAAGATATTTCGGGGGTGGGTACGTGCGTTATGTAGAGTTATGTCAAGTGTGCGGAGGAAGAAGTATGTTGCTTGGGACAAAGAAAGAACGTAGTGAGTTGAGAGGAAAAAGGAAAAGAGGGAAAGAGAGAGAAAGTGAGTTGGCAAAGGGAACAACAACAATAAAAAGCTTTCTTCTGTGTGTGTGTGTGTGTGTGTGTAGGGCGTGTGTTGGTGTGTATGCAAAAAGGGGAAAGAGGAAAAAGAAGAGATGAGCCAACCGCTTTCTCCCTTACTTGCTTTGTCTGGGCTTTTATAATACCGGTTATACAGGACAGAAATATGAGCTCCGATTGAATCGGTTTGTTTGCCCAGCAGTGTCTGTGTGATATGTATGCTATGATGGGGTCCGGAAGGGAACGACAGCTTACATCCTATAATATAGCATGTGTATCCCCCACCTCACCTCACCTCACCCCCAACACCCGTATTCCCATTTCATCAAATCCAGAAGAATGCTGCAGGTACCCTTTGTTTGTTTTGAAAGGTGTGCTGCGCAGAAACGTTACAACGCCACCCCCCCCCCTTCTCCCCTCCCCATGACTTGAAGAATTAGGTACAAAAAGGCTGGTCTGAGCGTGCTGTTTACCTTGTCGATCCCTTTTTCAAACATTTCTTTTATTTTTCATTGTCTAGTCTTTAGGATATAGTTTCTGACTCGTTGCGGCTTCGTTGTTTGTGGAAATAGCAGGAGAGATAGACACGACTCTCAGCTACAATTTGGGCTGGTAAGGAGGGGGGGGAGAAACTAGGCAAGAGCTCCATGTAACTTCAGAGGCCATGGTGCTACGCTCCAAAAGTCCAGTCTAGGTAGCAGCAGTTTTCTGTCCGTGTCGCCATCAACAAAAAAAGTCATTTCAAGTTTTTAGTTCGTCTCTCCCCCTCCCCTGCCCCCCTTTGACAAGTACAAGTCATGTTAACAATGTTTTGGCGGGAAAAGGGGGTTCTGCAACAACAACATCACCGTCAATATCGCATCTCGATAAGTAATGAACCAATGCTATTTAGACCGCAGCAAACAAAGCTCGCTAAATGATATAACTGGCCGCACCCGAGATCGTACATAGCATGCATACATATCATATCCTCCGACCCCATAACAAACACTGCCAACGTGTTGGAAAAGGTTTCTCACTTGTAGACAGTCTCTCTTTCTTCTTCGTTCCTGTTTCACCTAGAGCAAAAGGATCCGACGATCTCGGTTTCTCCAAGACTAAAGATGTGAAGAGTAACATTCAGCACAAGAGGGACAGAAGACAAACGCATAAAGTCAAAAGAAAGGTCAAGAGAGAGCAAAAGCGCAAAAAAGGACGAAATCCAAAAAGTTAAAAAGGGTTTGAGCGGTCTCTTCTTTTTTTTTATATCCAACTTGCTCCTCTTCTTCCCTTTGCGCGCCCTCTCTTCCCACAACTTCCCTTTTTACGTACTTTGAGGTAAGATATCAACGCCTTCTTTAAAGCACACTACAGTCAGTGCAGCACAGCCCTCGTCCTCAAGTAGCCCTCCTGCTGCTCCCTCTCTGACTGTCTTACGTTGCCTGACTCTGCTGCGCACTGAGCACACATATACTCACTCACTCTCTCACTTCTTTTTGTTTTTCTACCGTACTTGAACGTCTTTTTCTTTTCTGTTATTACTCTGGGGAACTCAGGCTAGAAAAGAGCACCAGCACCAGCAACACCATCGTCACACCCAAGTGCACAAACGCAGCCGTCACAACAAGTAGTAGCTTCTACAGATAGCGCCATGTCATCCTCAGCGCAAACGTCAATCTCTACCACTGCGCCTCCTCCGGACATAGGTAACAGCAAACCAAAGTGATTTTCTTTAGCCCATCTTCTTTCATCTTTATTTTTTTTTTCAAAGAATAATTATGCGCAAAAGGGCTGTGGCAGCAGTATTAAGCTCACGCATATTATGCAGATGATCAAGCAACACATCACCTATTCGTTGGCAATATAAGCACCGACAACGTGGAGCAAACCCTGTCACGTATTGTGGTAAGAAGTACTCTCTTTTTTCTGCTATCTCATTATCGTCACCACTGTTCCCATCTCCCCTCCACCCCACAGAAGAGAAGAAAACATGTGTTTTACCCTGCGAAAGAGAGAGAGAGAGAGAGAGAGAGTATGAGAGAGACTAACTACTCTTGTTTTTTTTATATAGTCTTCAGATCATGTCAAAGCAGTGCATTGGCACTTGCTGGAACGCCATGGCACGTTGATGGTCACTTATTTCGATTTAAGACAAGCAGCAGTTGCATTCGAATCATTCACTGCAACGTATAATCAACCGGAATATATACCCGATGATATATTGGCTGAGCTGACCATCACCCCACCTCAAGACAGCCGATCCGCTAGGACGGTAATTGTAACTCTCGACGGTGCTCACGATCGCTTGGTGGAATTCAATTACCAGGTTAAAAAGACTTTCTTCTTTCTATTCATTATGCTACGTTACATGAGTCTAGTAGAAGCTAATGCTACTACACCTTGTAATTGTCTTACACAGGAATTCTTCGATACTTGGGGAGCTACAAGAAACATAAATGAGATGATATTCTCCGGTAGTCTGCGCACGTTCGAAGTTGAATACTTTGACCTACGTGCTCCCTCCCTCGTCACAGCTGCGCTACATAATCACGCCTGTCAGGTAAAAGTCTTTATAAAAAACGTACTCTAATCGGATGACTATGTATGGACCCTAAAATATTTTTATTCTCACAACACCAACCCTTTTTTTTTGTCTTTAAAAATCTTCAGGGTGTAACTTTCTATGTCTGGCAAGGGATAAGCTCTTAAGGCTGCTGAAGAATCCCGTAGACGAATTGAAATCAAAGCAAAAATAAAAGAATGCAAATGAAAAAGTATCTATCTGTAAATAATGGTGGTATGGGCAGCTGGCAGTTCTCTCTCTGATTCATAGTCATCGCCATCGAGTAATGCTCTGTCTTGAACATCATTTACTCGAGTCACCTTCATGTAGCAGGCCAACACATAGGAGTGCTTAATCTCTACAAAGCTTTTGCCTTTATCTCCATCTGCTAAACGCTTTCATGTAGTACGGTGATACCAGGCTTTGTCAAGTTGTCAAGGACGGCAAAGGAATTCTGCGTGGTGAAGGGATGATGGCGGTACTTTTGAAGTGGATATAATGGCATGTAAAAGAGTACCTCCACCCCCACCTCGATATGGAAAACGGAAGCTGTTGAGGGAATTTGAACAGTATCTGTAACATCAACGAACAGTTAGAAACAAAGGCAAAGTTGATGGAATCCAATTGTAACCTGATGGCTGGTCCTTTTGCAATAATCGCACCTTTCATCAGTCGAACGGTCAATAAGGAGATTCCATGTGGCAGTCGATAAGTTCTTTTATCGATTTATCCAGGCCATATTTGTCGACACATTCCTTGGCCAAGTACGTCAGTGGCGACTCCAATCTATTACAGCAATAGGGTCTCGGTAACAAAGCATGACGATGGCACGCAAAGATATACATACCATTTTCCCATTTTGTCAGCGTCTCCATTGGTTATTACGCGCTGGTCTAATAAAGTATAAATAACGGCTACCTGTCGTGTGGTTGTTATCTTTCACGAAATGCACAATTATGGTCTAAATTATTAAATCACACGACGAACTTTATATACTTTTCTCGCACGCAAACTATCCTTCCCACCATCGTCAGATAATAACTTGACGGGTGCCAACGTTTTATACATATATAGAACAGTTACAGGTTGGATTCTGATATATATATATATATATATATATATTACAACAGGGTCAGTTCTTGCTCTTTTGGTAGGGACTACTAGCTCCAAAAAAATACACGGAAGGTAGTGCTTGTGAGAGTGCGGTACAGTAAAGTTATGTGGTTAGGTATATTGCATGCATTTCAAGGTCATCTTTTGATTATTCAAACCGTTTTAAATAAAGCCCAAGAAGCTGCAGCAGTTATTCCCTGTCCTTCCAAGCAAAGTCATCCGCTTTGAGCCCCAGTAAGTACGATAAGCCGTGTGTACTCTTTCTGGACAGAGATGATGCGTTCCGCCATCCATCATAAAGAGCCGTCCTTTTTGCTTAATAGTAATCACTCACTAATAGCAAGTTGTAGTAGGTGCTAATTCTAAAGATACTTGCACACACGTCGTTGAACTCACCATGATTAGATATACTAATTATTAACATCTACCCTCATAGCAAATCTTGAGACATGCATACATAGTGTTGCTATTGAGCTACACAGTAAAGTTAATACAGTAGCACGATAGCGCGTAGCAAACAGTACAGCAATAAGTAGAATATCACCATAAATTACACTTTATTCTGGCTGCAATGTTTCGATGCATACATATAAAAAAGGGTACATGGTTTGTGTATAACGATGTAAAGCCGTTCATAACATATTGAGTGATATCAAGGAAGAAGAAGGGAAAACACTGTGCAGTGCATATATCATGTGTCCGGTCCAGGCAGGGAATCTCCGAGCTTGCCCTCTATTTTATATTCTGTCAACGAAAATTTGGAACTTCTGCAGCTTGCCTTTTAATCTTTTCCAAAATGGCGACAGCAGCAGCTCTCGATCAACCCGATTTAATGAACGTTGATGCATCCACAAACGGCCATGCTGAGGAAAATCCGTCACTGCCACCACCGACTGAAGAACAAGTCCATCAAGAGCCATCAGAAGAAACAGAGCAACAGACAGAAGAAAATGGAGAAAGCAAACCTATTGTGGGTATCATTTATCCTCCACCCAACATTCGAGGTACTTTTTTTTGTCTTTTCTCTCTCTCCCCCTTGTTTGAATTGCTTCACCCAGTCATCAAGAGAAGAAAATCGGGTACTGATTCTTATCCCGTTCCTACAAAAAAACACACACACACACACACACAGAAACGATCGATACTGCTGCTGGCATTCTTGCCAACAAACCGCCACAACTTGAAGATCGTATTCGCGAAAACGAAAAACATAATGCCAAATTCTGTTTCTTGAATCCGAGTGATCCGTACCATGCCTACTATCAATTTAAACTACAAGAAGTTCGAGAAGGAAAAGGTAGCTTTTTTCGATTCCATCGGGCCAATCAAGTTTTTTTTTTTTTAAATTGAGGCACTTTAGAACTAATTGACCCACCCATATTGTAGTTCCTGTGAAAGCAGCAGCAAAAGAAGAAAAGGAAGTTATTGAAGCTGAAGAAATTGAAATGCGACCGAAAGAACCTGAAGCATTTCAGTTTTCAGCAAGCATGCCAGCAATGTCAGCTCAAGATCTGTATGTTACTCACCTAAAAGGACAGAGAGAGAAAATAATCTCTCTCATGTGCGTATGTAAAGGAGGTGCTGATGGGATTGCCTTTTATCTTTTCACTCTTAGGGATATCATGAAGCTTACAGCTCAATTTGCAGCACGTAACGGTCGTCAGTTCATTAACCAGCTCGCGCAACGTGAATCCAGAAATTATCAGTTTGACTTTTTACGGCCATCACACAGTTTATTTCCATTTTTCACCGAACTCGTTAGACAGTACACAAAGGTCCTTGCACCGCCTGCAGATCTGAAGGAGAAACTGAAAGAGAATACGCAAAACAAATACCGGATCCTCTCCAGAGTCAAAGAACGCGTCGAATGGGTCGCTTGGGTGGAGGCTGAAAAGAAAAAGAAGGCTGATGAAGATGAAAAAGAACGAAGTAAGTTTCATTCCCTCTATATGTATGATCCATGTGGAAAAAAGAAAGATAGCAAATGGTTAACCGCCCCCCCCCTCCGCTTATTGGATAATAGTTGCTTATGCTACTATTGACTGGCATGATTTCGTTATTGTCGAGACGGTCGAATTTACAGAGACAGACGATAACATGGATTTGCCACCACCCATGAGCTTGTCGGAACTGGAGAATATGTCGCTTGCAGAAAAGAGAATGAATGCCATCATTCAACCTGCTCAGGAAGAGAAACCAGGCGATGTGGAGATGGATGTAAGTTGTTTGTTTCAAAGAAAAGAGAACAAGGCAATTTGCTGATAGTGACCCCATTCTAGATTGAAGATGTGGATATGGAGGAGAGTGACAATGAAGAAGAAGAAGCAGCACAGCAGGCACAACAGGTCAAGGTTCCCGATACAAACGCACCCTTCAAAATCCGTACGGATTACAAACCCAAGGTGTTGGGCGCTGCACAAGCCAAGGGACAGGAGCCAACGCAGATCTGTCCTCGTTGCGGTGAGCGGATCCCGATGTCAGAAATGGACGAGCATATGCGTATTGAGTTGCTGGATCCCAAATGGAAGGAACAGAAGCTGGCTGCAGAAGCAAAGAAGAAGGACAGCAACTTGCTTCAAGAGGGCACAGATGTTGCCAAAATCTTAAAGAACTTCTCGGGATACCGAACAGATATCTTCGGCAGCGAGGAAACGGAGATTGGTAAAAAGGTGCACGAAGAAGAACAAGAGGAAGCCGAGGACGCAATGAAGAAAGAGCGTGTCATTTGGGATGGGCACTCGGCAACCATCAACCTGGCGACGCAGCGAGCACAACAGCACACGTCTATTGAAGAGCAAATTGCTGCCATTCATAGAAGCAAAGGATTTACCGGGTAAGCATTTCCCCCCCCCTCCTCCTCCTTCAAGTTTTTTATTTTCCATGCTGACACATCTCTCATAAAATTCTCACCCTAGTGACGGATATGGCCCTGCTGGTCCACGTATGCCAGGTTCAAATTATCCTGATCCATCCATGGCGCCACCACAACCTGGTCAACAACCCTACTACAGCGCACCACCGCCGTCTGGATCGGTGCCTATACCAGACGGTGGGGCATTCAACAACCAATTGCCCAACATGTATGCACAACCACAACAGCAGTTGCCACCACAGCCGACCATGAACACGCCCGAACAGCCTGCGGGAGGAGATGCTGGTGTTCGAAAAGCCGAGGATGAACTCGAGGGACAGAGCGAAGCGAAGCGGGCGCGTATGGATAGCCATGATCAGACACAGACACAGGCCTCTCCAGCTGCCCCGGCTACGCCAATGACTCCGGCTACGCCAGCAAAGGCTATACCAACTCCTGCTGCTGCTGGTACACCCACTGGTGCTGCTCCTCTTGGCGCGAACACTGCTGCTAATACTGGTGCACCACAATGGTCCGACCAACCGGTGAGTAAAAAAAAAAGGACCAAGTGGTGTGTGTGTGTGTGTGTGTGTGAAAATTATACCTTATGAGTGGAGAGTATTTACTGATTATTTTCCAAACCCCCCGCCCCCCTTTGAATGAACATGACAGCTATCGATCACGCTGAACATTGCTACACCCAATATGCCCGAAAAGCCAGAATGGAACCTCAAGGGTGAGACGATCACCATCTCGGATATGCTACCAAGTACATTGGTCTCGACGGTGAAGGATCGTATCTCATCACAGTTGGGTATGCCAGCAGGCAAGCAGAAGCTTTCGACCACAGGCAACAACGTTGTGCTTAACAATAGCAAGAGTTTGCACTTTTATGGTATCATGGACGGCAATACTATCACTCTGGGCTTAAAAGAGAGAGGCAAAAAATAAGAAGCATATCATCCATCTCATCCGTCATCGTTCTCACTTTCACAATCTCTCTCTCTCTCTCTCTCGCCGCCCGCCCCAAAAAAAGTTATATATTTAACATATATAAAAGCTGTTTCTTTTGTTCATAACAAACCTCCTCTTGCCCATAGATACTCCAAGTTACTCAAGGAAAGGGGGCGGTATGCTTGTATCTGATTTTGTATGTGTCAGGAAGTCTACCGTGGGCAATTTCTTGATGGCTGTGTGTGATATAAATTGTGTGTGGGGTGAGAAGGGGAATGGTACTAGAACAGAGCGGTCCAATGTACGACCATGATTTGAGGTTATGTAACAGCTATTCTCTCTTATGTAACGGACATTCTCATAGAAAAACGCCACGCATAAATCTATATATACTTGATCCCTGCAGCTTCTTTTCTTTCCTTTTGTTCACCTTTTTCTTCTTCTCTCCTATCACCGAATATAACAAACAATGACTGGTGGATTCAACAATAACGTACCAACAAAGTTCCCGAAGCACTTGGTCCCGAAAGGACCTAACGGACCTGAACTTCTCGAGACGGAACGTGCCAAGGCTTCATTCAACGTCAATGCCATGTCCACGTTTATGTATGGCAAAGAGTTCCTTGAAAAAATGCAAAACGTGGCTCGTGTCCTGGACTCTGAGCCGGCTTTCGAAAAGACCCAACGCTACTATCAGGGTCGACCTGAAAGAGTCGCCCATGCCTATGAAAAAGACAAGCGCATTGTCGAGCTTACCGAGTATGTTTTTTTTTGTTTATAAAAACCTCAAACGTTTGTTCGTGATGCTTTAGAATTAAACTGACAAAAAAAAATTAGAGAATTAAATTGGGATTTGGCAGATCGCCGTATCGCTAATATGCTATACGATCAAAGCACGCCTGTAAGTTATCAGTCATGTCAAGCGCTACATGTGCCTGGAGAAAGAATCACTGATTGATTGATTGATTGGTTTGAAACACATAGTATTCGCTTCATTATGGCATGTTCTTGCCCACTTTGGAAGGTCAATGTAACGAAGAGCAACGCAAACTGTTTTTGGAACCCGCATTACGTCATGAAATCATTGGTTGCTATGCACAGACCGAGGTATGCATATAGAAAGGGCATCATGGAACCTCATACGATCCACTGACGACGTCGCATGGACACATGTTGTGTAGCTTGGACACGGTAGCAATGTGCAAGGATTGGAAACACTCGCCACGTATATCCCAGAAACCAATGAATTTGAGATTCATTCACCCCACCTGACTTCATCCAAATGGTGGATTGGTGGTTTGGGCAAGACCGCCAACTATGCTGTTGTCATGGCTCGCTTGATTATTCATAACAAGGATTATGGACCACATCCTTTCTGTGTGCAGGTAGGTTTTTGATACTCAATAACGAGTTGCTACTTCGCATCGATTTAATAAGCAAACACACGGATGCTTATTAGATCCGTAGCCTTGAGGACCATCGCCCTTTGCCTGGCATTACCGTGGGTGACATTGGTCCCAAGTTCGGATACGCCACAACAGATAATGGCTTCCTTCTCTTTGACCATTATCGAGTGCCCCATGTATCGTTTTTGGCAAAGTTCTCCCAAGTTAAACCTGGCAGTGGCGAGTATGTCAAGCCACCCAATGCGCGTCTCTCCTACGGTACCATGGTCTATGTCCGTGCCAACATTGTGAATGGTAGGATCCTTGGAGGGGGACCCTTTACCTCTCCCAAGCCTTCATTTGGCACCCGGAAAAAAAAAGATTTCTAAAAAGTCGTCATTATTTCCAGGAAGCCGATTTGCTCTTGCGCGTGGTGCAACGGTTGCTGTTCGATACTGCTCCGTGCGTCGACAGTTCGTGGATGCTGCCGAGCCACGCAAGTGGAACAACCAAGTCGTCGAGACGCCTGTCATTGATTATACCATGGTCCAGTATCGTCTGCTCACAATTGTTGCCAGTATTTATGCACTGCATTTTACGGGTCGCGAAATGTTTCGATTGTACGACTTGAATCATGCTGCAATGAAGGAGGGCAATTACAGTCTGTTGGCCGATGTCCATGCTAGCTCGTCTGGTTTGAAGAGGTAAAAAAATTTCATTGGGAATATGTATGCGGGCACAGCGATTTATCTTTGGATGAAACTAGATGTTTAAAACGTGTTCTTCCATTATTTAGTCTTACTACGACAATGGCTGTAGATGGCTTAGAGCAGTGCCGTCGTGCTTGTGGTGGTCATGGTTACAGTTTGTTCTCTGGCTTGGGTCAATTCTATCAAGATTACCTTCCCAATGTTACTGTAAGTTATCTGCGAGACCGCAATTGTATTAACAAAATTAAAAAGTCTTTAACAACATGGCAATTTACTTTTTTAGTTTGAAGGTGATAACTATGTCCTCACACAACAAACCGCCCGCTATCTTTTGAAGACCTTCCGCAACGTGATTGCTGGCAAAGCCAAGCCTTCCGAGCATAACCTCACCATCACCTACTTGACTCAATATATGCAGAACCCCAAGGCTACGTGTCCAGCATCTTCTGGCGCCGAGCTCTTGAACCCCGAGATCCTCTTGAGCGCATTCGGATTCCGCGCCGCGTTTGCTATTGCCCAAGTGGCCGAAGACATTGACCGCAACGGCCGCACATGGAACTCCATGCTGGTTGAAATTAATCGTATCTCCAAGGCTCACTGTCAGTACATGATTGTCCGCAACTTCTTTATCGGACTACAGCAAGCTACGGATAAGGAGCTCGGTGTTGCTGAGCGCAAGGTTTTGCAAGCGCTGGCCTGCTTGTTCGCTTTGCACACCATTGAGACAGAAATGTCCGAGTTCATGATGTCAGGATATTTGTCGCCCGAGCAAGGCAAGATGGTCAGGGATCAAGTGCTCGAGTTACTTGCTCGTGTTCGTCCCGATGCTGTGCCTTTGGTGGACGCCTTTGCATTGCCTGATTATTACCTTGCTTCGGCGCTGGGTCGCTCTGATGGAAAGGTATTATACCACTATATCTTGGCTTTTCTTTTTATCCTAAAAGTAGGTTTTGGTTCTTGCATTGTGCTGACTTTATCCATCCACTCTAGGTTTATGAATCGATTACAGAGATGGCAGAAAGAGAACCACTCAACCACACCTTGGTCGTAGATAGCTACGACAAGTACATCAAGCCTTTCGTGCATGCTGGTTTGGAAAGGAAAAAGAACGAATCTAAGCTTTAAACTTTGATGGGGCAGAAACACTGTATGATATGATACAACAATAAATGTATAGGTATATAGCTATAATTCAATATCAGGCATTTTAGTATGTCTTCTTACTGTAATTCTCTATAAACTTCAGTTCTTCTTGATGGATCGTGTACATTAACAATGTAACAGATTTTTTCAGCTTTGGCCGAAAGAATGCACAAGAATTATGGATATTACTATCTTACAGGATGATTTACAATCTTATTATTTACAGTAGATTGTAGGGTGATGGTAGTAAGAACAAAGAAAGGCAATTGGTGTAAAGTCGTCAATATAGTAAGTATTGCTGAGAAATAGAATATCGCTTATACATCAAAAGTTCACCTCCCTTCTGCAATATATTATTCTCTGGGATAAGAGAAATGATATCAGGTCGATGACGCTCACGTGCGGCAATAGGAAGCGACGCCTCAGTTAATGATCCAGTTACTCTTTGGTCGATTCAAGCAAAACTCACCAACGTTTCAGAGTCAACATTGTTAATGAAGAAGATGAAGACTGATTGAACCGAGCGGAAAAAAGGAATGCGTACATTAAATTAGGTCTCGGTTATGCGCACACAATAAAGATTACCCTTCCCTTGTCACAATATGTACCACAGGTATTGCTAGTATATATATATATATATATATATATATATATCATTGATAGATGATAATGCGATTGATATTTTCAAACGCTGTTCTATGACCTCAACTTGCGCAGCCGTTGTTACCACCGGAATGCCGAGCCCAATGAACACAACATGACAATCACTTTTCGGTATCCACAAAACCCTTAAATGTTGTGCTGTTTGTGTTGACGGGAACGGAATTACTCAAACAAGGTCCATCTTGAGCGCAAACGGATATCGCGTCGCGTATGGTATTGCCCAGCTGATTAAGAACTTGCACAATCAAACGGCAGCTCTTGGACTTTTCGCGTCTGCAAACTCTAACTTACGATATATTCTCATCGATAACCCTTCTCGTTACCTTTCAGCGCGCTTTCGGAAAAAAGGACCTGGCTGCATCCGAGCGCAAATTCCTCCGCATTCTTTCCTACCTGCGTCTTTTCGCATTGCACACCATGGGGAGAAGGTTATATCCAAGTTTTTTTGCATGTCCGGTCAAGTTATAACGACGCAAGCCATTTGATGATGAAAACAAGCTCTCAATTCAGTTGCTCAAATCCGGCCTGATGTTACTTGTCTTACCAAATCTATACTTATCCCCGCTTGTATGCGTCGTCGTTAGGATGGTGATGCTTATAAGGCTCTTTTCGAGTTCGTCATAGTCATTTATCTCGATCAAATTGTAGCATACTTTCTAGCCGTGGGAAGTGTAATCAGCCTTTCATATATGTCAAACAGGTCTAAGCTTTATAATTTACACAAAGCAATAGTTTGTGCTCCTATTTGTTTTACAGTAGGAAAATTGCATAAATTAGCATAAGCAGATTATATACGTCGAATCGATAGTACATAGTAATTCACGAAAATACTATCATTTTAACACTAACCGGCTCATAGAGTCAACAAACATAAACCAGTAAAACGGGGACATGGGCTCTAATATCATAATAATAAGCATTTGTGTATGATAGCAATGCTCATCGCGATTCAAACTCTATTTATGCCCGTTGTTATGGTAAGCGTTTCCACTTGGATAACAAGCTACTAGCCCGTTTAGGCCTACATGCTGCCACTATCTTAAAGTAAGCATGCTGGTTTTCCCACTCAAAAGCTGAGCATTTTGCATCAATGTGGGTAGATAAGCCACTGTCTAAGTCATCACATTTACCCCAGATACAGGTTACGTTTTTTACTACCTGTAAAGCACCATGTAGTATAATGATGGTGCCAATTATACATTGTCGTGGATTTCCTTTTGTCTCGCGGGAAATGACATTAATAACCCGAGATCATGGCTAGTAGATACATACGATAAAGAAAAGGCGTGAAAAAATCGTTAAAAGGGAAGGGCTTGGATGGGACCAGAAAGGAAGTACATGCTGTGTAACCGAAGAAGGAAACAATGTTTATGGAATGGGGAAGGAGGTCTCTAATAAAAATACACATGTTGCTTCCTTTTTATTTGTTTATTTATTAGAGAATGCGTTTGAGTATCCGTGGAATGAACGAGGAAGAAAGTAAATTACCGTTATACTAACAGTAAGATGCTGATGTATGAGAGGAACATTTAGACGCTCTTGACGCATTTATCAAAGCTAAACGAGTATATGAAGTTTTCAATGCCAAAATATGATTTCATTTTTTTGTTATTGCTAAAAGTAACATGTTGTCGTCAACCAATTATCAGTATTTATTTACACCACCCGCCACTCTTGCTTTATGTTATCGGACGCCCCAACGCCGACACCGCGCCCATCTTCTTTAGGTTTAATGAGTGCGTGCAATTAAAACGGCATCTTTCATGCATCAAAAGTATGGACTTGGCGTGATGGTCACAGAGACAATGCTTGCCTCAATGACACAAAGTGTTGTTTTTGTAGTACAGAATGTTGTAACAGCTTAGACCCACAGCTTATGCAAAAGAATTAGGTGAATGCAAATGATGGGCTTATACTTGTTACTTTTTCTGGTAGTGAGTTCCATTAAATATATGCACATCGGGATTCGGATCATTCAATGTTACATGCTTTGATCGGTTACGACACATTATGGATACCAGCCCTTGAGCTCACTAAATTGTTACCTCCTCTTGTCGGCTAATCCTTATCTCTGGAAGTAGTCGTTGTACAGATCTCAAATTGGTGTTTTTGTAGTCTATGCGATATCTGTCATCTGGAAAACTTTTATTGGTGCTAATATTTGAAAAAAAATCGACATTGTTGGGTATCATCCATAACACATCGCTTGTTAGTTCTTGCACATCTTGGTTGCTATACAGTGTATGTTTACAAATATATTACCTACTTTGCTTTCCTACCGCAAGCGCTAACAATCCCAAAAGATTTCACAATGCCACCTTTTAAAAAAGATCGCGAAAAAGATATTCGGTCTTTTTATTTTTGAATTGCAAAGCAAGTTTCCATTTAAGCTTATGTCTGGTCTGTAAATCTCTATCAGATTAATCATGACATAGCCTCGAGCCTTTTCCAAAAAAATTGTTGCATGATTGCTATCTTATTCTCTTGCGATTTGCTTAAAAGAAAGCAATGACGTGGGAAAATAGACAATGATAAAGAAAGAACACGCAAGAGATCCGAGACGGATTGCTTCATAAAAGGAAATAGGTCTGAGCGCGCGACCGGCACACATTCACATTGACTAGGAGATAGCACCAGAAACGAAAGAGAGGTTCAAACACCAATCGCAACATAAACCATACGTCGGATCTAGCACTTGGTAGTATGCGGACACCCTGTGTACTTGTCGTTGTAGCAAGATACATTACCATTTTTATCCATCTAAAATCGACCTTCCTTTCCCGATACACCTCTCCCTAATAATCTGGATAGCCGAAATGCAAAACATATAAAAGACTTGGTTGTTGAAAGCAATTGATGGATATCCACATACCAAGAAGCATTGATTCTGTTTATACTTCTAGTACCAAGCCCATACCTAGTAAGTTTCCGTAGAACAGAACATTAATAGATTGCGGGTGTGCTGCTATATTGAGTTCTTGTAGCTCTTTCTGTTTATTGATAGTACACTTCTTTACCATCATGTTCATCCCAACTTTGGATTACTACTGCAATGAAGAGCAAAGAAGATTCTTTTACGAACGTGCATTGCGCAACGAAATCTTAGGCTGCTATGCTCAGCCAGAGGTAATGTGTACTCTATATATTATTCTAGAACATCCATTCAACATGCAAAGAAAAGTATCTAATATAACGAGCATGTTACTCTTATATTATTATAGCTCCATGGCTCCAATGCACACGATTGGAATATCACGGCCACATACATTCCGGAAACAAATCAGTTCGAGCTCCATTCCCCTTACGACATCACTTTGTCCAAGCTCAGGATGGATTCTTTGGCGAGCACTGCCAACTACGCTGCTGTCATGGCACGCTTGGTTATTTATGAGCAAGATTTTGGTCTGCACCCGTTCTGTGTCCAAATCCGAGATTTGGAGAGTCAGCGTCCATTGTCTGGCGTAGCCATTCGCATGGTTGACCCACATCATCAACTTGAATATCATAGTAGCACTGACAAGAGCGGGTTTATTGTGTTTGATCGTCATCGCGCTCCACACGTGTCGTTGTTGGCAAAGTTTTTCCAGGTCAAGCCAGAAACTGGAGAATACGTCAGACCTTTTGATTACCAAGTCCATTATCCTTACGATTTCAAGTTGCACCAAGAAAGAGTTTTGAATCCTGTTGTGATCGGTATGTTGCTTTTGTTTTTCTTTATTCTATCATAGCCAGTGCAAAGTAATAGCAAATTAAAACAGTGTCGGCTATTATACTAGACCAAAAAAGACACATAGTGGAACGCAATGGAGCTGTCACAGTTACCTCCCACTCGTCCACCGTCCAACAACGGCCTGTCGCTCTTCACGAGCAATGCTATGTCCGAATTGAGAATGAAGCACCTATCAGTGATTATACAGCGCGTCAGTATCGTCACCTCTCGACAGTTGCGAGCGTCTATGCTTTACTCTTTACCCGTCGCAGAATGATGGGGCTGTACCAGCATCCGTACCTGAAAACGATGGAGTCTCCCAATCTTTCTGTGCGAGTCGATCTAGATCCCGCTTCTTCAGACCTTTCAAGGTAATAGGAAGTATTAATAGCTACAAGCACTCAACTAGGCGTATTAAACCGAATATAACGCTCAAACATTATTAGATTATCCTCATTCATTGCTTTTAAAAAATTCAGAGATGGGCGTCGTCGCGCTTACCATGACTATAATCACGACGTATTCACCGGTAAGTGATCACAATAGCAGACGGCTTTTCTGTGATGGCGGCAATGCTAATGTGTCACTTTAAAATGATTCTACTTTCGTCAGACTTGGGCCATGCTTATCAGTATTACCTTCCCCTCTTGACGGTACGTAGCAAAAACATAATTAACACTGCAATATAAATCTAAAAAGCAAGAAAGACCCATAATACTGATCCATCATTGTAAATTTAGAAGTTTGAAGGAGAAAACGATTTGCACGCCCAGAATACTGCCAGATATCTCCTCGAGACGTTCCGTGCCGTTGCCGCTGGCAAAGCCGAATTTAACGAACATGACAAATTGACAGTGTCCTACTTTTCTCAGTATTTGCGAGACCCACGAGCAAGTTTGCCTGTAGCCACGCGAGGTGCATTACTGAACTCAGAGGTCTTCTTGGGAGCGTTTGGGTTCCGTGCAGCGTACTCCATTGCCCGGTTACTCGAAGAGCTCGACAAGAACGGCCGATCGTGGAGCTCGATGCGCTTGAACATTAGCCGTGTTTCAAAGGCTCACTCGCAATACGTTCTTGTTAACAACTTTTTCCATACTTTGCACCATGCTACTGAAATAGAGGTTTCTGTACACCAGCGCAAGGCTTTGCAAACGTTGGCGTACCTATTCGCCCTACATGCCATGGATAGGGATATGTCTGAGTTCGTGGAATCTGGTTACATGACGACCACGCAAGCCAAACTGGTCAATGAGCAAATATTCGAGCTGGTGGGTCGAATTCGACCAGGCGATATTCCTGGAACTGATGCTTTCGGATTGCTTGGTTATTATAACCGCATCTACGCTGATGGACGTACTCATGGAGCCAGCCATGTGAGTTTCATGCCGCTTTGCTATTTAACTAAGAAATATATAAAAGAAAACATTGAACTAAGAAATGCTTCCATTTTCTGTACCATAGGTTCGCCAACAAACCCGCACAGAGGAGTCTGCGGAAAAGAAAGAGACATTCAAGCAGCATACTGTTGTCAAAAACAGCTATCAAAAGTATATGGACTCCTTTATTGATCCAGAAGTGGTTAAGCGTCCCAAAAGCGATTCAAAGCTTTGAATATTTCCAATATCTACGATTCGTATTTTACATTTGAATTAAAAAAGGCCATTATTGAATCACTTAAAAACTGTTGATAACGCTTTGCTCAACGATGCTAGCCTTTTGAAATAAACTCCATCATAAATCAAATTGAAAGGTATCTCTTGTCGTGTCACCATCGAATTTTTGTGTTAGACCTTCGTGTTCGCCCTGTTCAGAACATCCTATGCTTCACACTTTTTATATAGTACTTTCGCGTTAATCCTTTAATAGGTTACATCCACACAATTAGCAAAACGGAATTTAACGTGTACTGGTACTTTAGAGAGTAGTTTACGATCCAACGTGAGAACCAAGAAGGTTCGCAGCATCAAATAACGCCTCGCTTGTTCTATCTACTATACGGCAAGGGAAAGGGAACAAGAGTGTGTGTCACCATGCGCGCTGATGCCACGATACAACAGGAGTGCAAGTTTATTCGAAAACAATTTACAGGTTGTTAAATGGTGCGTAAAGTGGTGTAATAAAGAGTTGGTGGGAACATCGTTTATGTATCGATCATTCGTAAAGGCTATATATGTGTCCATTTATCTACACTAATAATTACTGCTTATAGGCCACAACGCGAAGACGCACATACATGATAAACCACTTGCCATCCTCTCGCTGGTATACAGGACGAAGATGCTCCATAATTTCTGCAAGAACTTCTTGGCGCTCTTGCTCTGTTTTCAATACTTCCAAGAAGGCGAATCCAAACGTCGTGAGCCAGCCAGCAATGTCCGTGTTGAGTTGGGTCATACGTGGCACTAGTTCAATCGAATCAACCCGGAATCCATTTGCCTCCAGCAGCTTGCTGTACTCTGCTTCTGAAGGGAAATACCAAGGAGACAGCGCCTTGCCATCGTGCCCACGGCGGTTCATTGCAGTAATGAGCGCGGTATGTACCTCTATGTAGCATTAATATAAGAGCGGTCAGCCTTTTGAACGTCATCATTATGTGTGCATATTGTTTCATTAAATTCGTACCGCCACAGTTCATGAAGCCTCCAAATTCAGCTACCATTCGGCCATTTGGTTTCAAAACGTGGTGAATACCCCTGATTGCCTTGGCAGGTTCCTTGAGCCAATGGAGGGCTTTAAGTTATTCTATTAGTATGTAACCATGGTTTCTGTTGCAGTTAAGCTATACACGCACACGAAACATAAATGAAAAGAGAGCTATTCTCCACTACTCACTGGCACTGGAGAAAACCGCGTCAAATGGTTCCTGTTTCTGTTCGTCAAACCAATCGTCGAGACAATGACCATCGGCGACATGGTATTCAGCAATGCCTTGCCTCAATTGCTTTGCCTTGGCAATCATGTCCGGACTAGCATCAATGCCCACTACGGTGTGACACTTTTGCGCCAGTTGTTGGGTCAGGACGCCGTCGCCACATCCAAAATCAAGGATACGCTCCGATGGTTTTGCGTCAAGTTTGTCGAGGATGATATTACCTAGCTTTGGGACAAACGAAGCGTGAGTATCGTAATTGGAAGCTGACCAAGAGTCCGTCATTGTGATTTTATTTGTAGTAGGAATAGTTATGCTTTGTTCCCGTCAAATTCGCGTTTCTTTTTCTTTATATATGCCCAGATCAAGATAATACCTTTGCCATCGATATTGACGGGCGTCGTACTCTGATTGGATAGACACATGATGATGCATATTGACCCTCAGAAGCGTATTGGACCCTAGAGTTATGGAACTTGACTCATACTCCTTTCAGGCTTTGAAATGTTGCTTTTGTAGCCATCATCCCTTCTTAGCATGATCGACTATCCGCCACGTCATGTACACGCTGCGTGGAACAGTGGTATTACAAAGCGATGTGTGTTTCTGGATAAACTTTTCTAGTATGTGATGTGTTTTGTAGCACCTAAGAAAAGCGTGCGTGGGGTTCTACCAAATTTCTCTTTCGTATCTATGCTCACTGGAGTTCGATTACATCTGCTATCACCCATTTACGGGGGAGCAGAAGCCTACCCCAAATTTTCAATACATTGCCAACTCTCTCACACCACTAAATTCACATGCTTCTAAACCCAGCGAAATACACACTACTCTCCTTCATGCCAGCGCTTTCCCCACACTTTAGGCACCATCTATAAAAACCCGCGAGTGGAAGCCCAACATTTTTTCCACGCCGAGCAACTCTAATTACTTTAACATTTGCAACTTCTTGCTAATTTCACTGTAAATTTACGAAATAAAAATAATGGGTGACGGTGACAAATTGAAGCAACTCGCTAGCGATCTCCTTTTGCCTGAGCTTGAACGACAGCTGGCCGCAGAACCTGAGCTCTGGCCTAATGTCAAGGGCTTGTTTATTGTCACTGTAGCAAAGAGACGAAAGCCAATGGCAAACTGGTAAATAACTCAAGAAGCAAACTTGGAATCTACTACCATATATTAGCTATTAATGACAACTATTTATCTTTGAAGGTATCTCTTACTCCAAGGTACATGTTTTACAAGGAAAAACCAACCAAAAAAATTCATGCTGACTTTATTTTCGATGCATAGGCAAGAATGTCAAACCTTTGATCACTGACAATGAAGAGTTGGCCAAGAGCTCAGCCAAAACCAAGGTCCGTGTTGTCAAGATCCAGGTTGAAGATGGTGACCTTGTGAACTTCATTACGGGTGGTATGACCGGTGTCAAGGCATACATGACCGGCAAGATCAAGGTCCGTGGTGATCTGATGCTTGCACAGCGCTTGGAAGAAGTCTTTGAGAAGGCCGGTGGCAGACAGGTAAGCAAATGCACCAAGGGCTCCGCTATAGTTCCTCTGTATACAGTATATTAACTACAGATGTCCGTCTTGAAAACATAGCGTGCCATGGACTTCATCAAAGAAAATGAACAACTCCGAGCATTGACAAGTGGCAAGGCAAAGCTGTAATAACTGTTCTTATTGTTTTAACCACTGTGCTAAACTATATCGTAAACAAAGGTTTGCTGTGCAAATACAGAAAACCAACTCTTTATTATAACTATCATTATGTTATGTCTTTTCTTTTGGGTGGGGGTTAAGTGCTAAAGGTGCACAAGTATTTATGTAGCGTTGTCGCAGTGGGAAAGGAGAAAGAGAGATTTATGTATGACAGAAAAGGAACCTATATTACATTTTTTAGAGTTGCATAACGCTTAGAAAGAACGGATATGCGGATCTTTGTTTTATGCTTGTTGAGCGTGTACACGATGCCTTTCTCCTTTCCGTACTGTTGCATGTAGATGTTGAGTGAAGGGAGAAGGGGCAATACATGGATCGATCGAAAATGATGGTGCTGATGATGATGATGATGTTGTTGTTGTTGTTGTTTGTTACTGGTCGTTTATGGAATGGCAATAGGTATAGTGCGATGCACACCTTAGAAATCCAAATCCATACCCGGTCGGGTTGGATCCAATCCGCCAGGCTGTCGGCCAGCCTCACCAGCATCGAATGCGCCCATACCAGATTGTGTGGCCTTTGCGTCTTCGAATGTGCGGTGGCGAATGACGTCCATATCAAACTTGTTCTTCAATGTGTTGATCTCTGAGATAAGTTCCGAGGTTGCGTCTTTCAATGCCTGACCCGGTGCTGTGCCAGGAACGGTCTGTACTTTGATCAAAAAGTTATGTTCGAGTGGATGAGGTACTTTGTAGCCTGCGAATAGTACGCGCGGATCCTTTAGCAGTTGCCTATCGACATGTATGTCAAAAGATATTTTAATTTACTATTAGCTCTCATTCTCGCCTATTCGCTCCAAAATTAAGTTTGCTTACGTTCTTAACATGTTGGCAAGCGTGTGATCTTCACGTTCGATCTTGAAAGTAGCAGCATTGGGGATCTTTGTGTCGACTTCCATCTCCACCCTTTTTTATTGTACATTTATCTTGTTAGAACAATTTTCAATTAAAAAAAAGCAATAGAAAAATATGAAGCGTACTTTCTCCGTCCCTCAGGAATCACGAATAGTTCGAAACGATCTGGTGCGTTCATTATGAATGCTATATAGGTATATAGTAACGGCTGATCCAAAGCTTTATATTAGAGTAATATAAAAGAAAAGGTATAAAGTGTGCTCTGCTGTGCCCACGTCACTTGAAATTTCGTTCTCTCCGGAAGCAGCAGCGCAAGATACGCGAGAAAGAAGAAAACCTGCCTCCGCTTACAACACTCTCTTTTCCCTCTTTTTTCAGATCAAAAACGTAAGCATTAATCCTTTTTTTTATTGGAGATCATCGTTATAAGTAAGAGCTTATTTTGAAATTTATAATATTATATACGACGACAACGAAACTAGCCCTCTTTTTTGGTTGATTGGAAGAAGAATCACTACAACAAGAACCACCGCTTAAACAAACACCACCTACCCACTAGCACTACCACCCACTAAAACGACGACGACAACAACAAATGTTGCCGCTTTCACTTTTACATACGGCTGCAGGCCATCCATTGTTGGTCGAATTAAAAAATGGCGAGACTTTCAATGGTCATTTAGTCAACTGTGATAACTGGATGAATCTGACGTTGCGTGAAGTCATTCAAACGTCACCCGATGGCGATCGGTTCTGGCGTTTGCCAGAGTGCTATATCCGTGGCAATACCATCAAATATCTGAACGTACCCGAAGAAATTGTAGATATGGTCAAGGAGGAAGAACAGAAACAGAGAGCAGCCAGACGGGACAATCGCCAAAGAGAGAACGGATACAACAGTCGCGGACGCGGTGGTGGACGAGGTGGTAACTATCGTGGTGGTGGTCGAGGCGGTCATCGAGGCGGCGGCGGTGGTAGTTCCGGCATGGGTGGACGACCATGATAATATATGATAGTGATGTAATAACTTTTTTTTTCTATTGTGATATATTCCCTTCCTCCTCCTCCTTTATCCTCTTTACGTTCTAACAAATCCCTTCGTTGACGCATATACAAACAACAATGCAAAACAAAAAGACATCATCTTTAAAGCATACATAATAATAAAAAATGGAAGAAAAAGAAGCTTACTATGATTGTAGACACCATTGTGCTCGTTGAAATCTCCCCTCAAATAGCTGTATCAATAAATTGCGTAGTTAAAGCTAATTCTTCCAATTGGTGTCTTCTATCGAGTTTTTTTAGTGATCAAACAATATGCATAAAGCGACGGCATGTACCATATGATGTACTTGATTAATCAATCAAAACTTCAAGAAGCAAGAATGAGTGAAGACAGCCATTGGGAAAAGTGCATACATACATCATATATCCGATACCATCAGATTGCTCTTCGGATGATTGTGAAATTTCGTAGGTCATACAGAAGATCATGTTATGTTGGGGACCGTGCTAAGAAGCAAGATAATGCCACGTAGTGATGTATGAAGTGATGTCTCGATATCGCTAAGGTCGACTAGCCATACACTGTGCATGAATATACCTGGATTGACCACTACTGAAAGTTCAAAACTCTGCCACGGTATTCATGAGTTAAAAGTGTTCATGTTAGAGAACGTGTAAACAGCACACGAAGATCGATGATAGTTAGAAAATGAGTTATTATTTCTTTTGTATTTAAAGTTCAATCGGTACATCACACACGACAACGTAACAGGAAAGAAGCTGCATTACATTATAATTATGATAAAAGGTTCGTGAAGTGTATACTATAGTACAAAAAAGGTAGGAAAAAGGTATATCAAAGAGAAAAATTGTAATATATAAAGGTGCAAAGTAGAGTAACAAAAGGAGAAGGGAGGGTGAATGTGTATTTATAGAGGAACATACTACCACAGCAGGAGAAACCAAGTAAAGAAGGATATTAAGGGCAGTTGGCTTTTTCACCCATAATGCAGGAGGCGTAAAAGATGTCACCCTCAACACCGCCAAGCTGGAAAACGGCCTTCAACAAAGCAGAGATACCTTGACCAGCAATCATACCACCAGCGACACTGTGCATAAAGTCGTCATATTGCTTAGGATAGAAGCGCTTCCAGATCTTGCCACCGGACCAGCCGAGGAACATTGAGAAAGGAATTTCCGGAGCAGGGTTGATCATGGCAATACCAATCGCCGACATAGAGGGAACATAGCGATGATACTTTTCGGGAATAACTCTGAACTTCAGTACAGGTACGATGACACCAATGACAGCACACACGGCAGTGACAATGATACAGTCGCGAGTTAATGGATCAGCGGTGCCAGTCAACAGCCGGGTCACTTGGAGCCATGCCATGACGGCCACAAGCTGGAACTCGCAGTTGGATGTGTCTAAATCGTCGTTGATGATGCAAGGATAGGCTTCAGCAAACAGGATGAAGAGACCTACGGCAATGCCAATAGCGGGGATAGAGGCGACGGCTTGGGCCAAGAACTGGGATCGAGGAGAAGCACCAACAAGCTGGCCGGTCTTCAAATCACCAACCATGTCGACAGACTGCGAGGCAGCAGAAGCAGCAATGGTACCAGCCATCAAGTTGTTCTTTTGCAGTTGCTCGGTGGAGTGGGCGGGCATGCCAGTAAAGACGAGCTGGGCCATCTTACCAATACTACCGGTAGGGTTGATATCGGTCTCACCAGACGACTGGATACCGACAAAGGCGAGGATGAAGGCGATAATGACAGCAACAATGGATTGGTAGACAGGCATGCCAAAGTATTCACCCATAATAGCGCAGGTAAAGATGATGGAGATAACAACGCCAGTTCCCCACCAGTAGACAGGGACAAGTTCTTCGGGCTTGAAAAGCTCATCGGTAACTTCCGGACGACCATTGGCACCAGAGACGGAGTCACTGCCGCGACGCAGGATCTTGACCTTGACAAAGAGGATGACTTCTCGGACAGCATAGAAGATTTCAGCAGCGCCGCCCTTGCATGCACGCCACAACATTTCGTATCGGACAAACAGTTCGGTCATGGAAGACAAGACCATAAGCGCAATACCAGGCCACAAGTAGAACTTTTGAGCCGTCTCGCCTTCGTCGCTAAAACCACCAGCGCCGATCCAGTGCCCCTTTGTCACCAAGGTAGGACCAATGATACCGTACAAGAAGATGGACGAAATGAAGAAACTGAGGACAGTTGAACCGGGTGTCATGAGACCAGCACCGAAGAATGGCCAGTCGAATGAGAAGTACCAACCCCAATCTGCATCAGCGCTCATCATGTTCTCATAGCCGGTGCTGTAACCAATCCACCAGAGAATGTGAACTATTACGCCGCACACACACACACAGGGGAGAAGCATAATCAGTAACTTTGTCACTCACAGATCAATGTAATCCCTTTCCTTCCACTCCATATAAACACGCATAATGCATGGATGCATGCAAGATGATCATAGGATTGTAGCTTACTAGTTTCAAAAAAGGGGACCCAGTAGGCAATCAAGGTCCAGATGAAAGTGATCATAAAAAAGATTCCCATCCACATGGCCTTACGCATGGCTTCACGTTCACCTTCGACACTATTGTGCAATGAGATGATGGTGGTAGCGGTAGCACGGGGAGTAGGGAAAGGTAGATCCTGGTTGAGGACAAAGTGTCTTCGGAGAGGGACGGCAAAGAAGAGACCATAAAAGGCGGCCGAGATGGTAAAGAGGACGAGGGCGGCGGCATCGTTCTTGGGTGTGCTCATCAGTCCAAGCTTGTACATAGCTGGTACACCAGCAACGAAACCGGCGGAAAGACCGCCAGCAGTGGTGGCGGCAGATTGGGCTGTAACGTTCTCCTTTGCACCAAAGTAGCCACCCCCAGCCCATAGTGGCAACACGCGCGACAGTGGTTTGATGATGGCGAAGGAGAAGATGGCACCAAAGAGCGAGGCACCAAAAGTCCAGCCGATTTTAAGACCGAGATATGTGTTTGATGCGGCTGTTGTGGTCGTAAATCATAGTCGTAGTCGCAGCAGTTGTATTTCGCGGTGAGATCAGTTAGTTTTCCGTCACATGAAAAAAACTCCGATTGGTAAAATAAGAAACAAGATACTTGCCTACAAGACAGCCGAGAAGAGAGCCTACGACAGATGCACGCCAAGTGAACTGCCACTCCTCGACGAATTCCTGACCTATCGGTCGGTCGTCCTTCATTTCAACTTGCTGATCCAGATCATACTGCTCTTTTTCCTTTGTGTCGACTTCGTATTCGATCTTTTCCTCCTCGGGTGCGGGTGTTGTTGTCTTGAGGTCCGCCATGCCTTATAGGATTATATACGATAATACGACTGAACCGTGAATAGAAGAGAAATAGGAGCGGGGAAAGACAGACAAAAAAGAAAATGGGAAAAAAAAAGGGTGAGAGAAAATGGTGAGAGAAAAGCAAATTGGTTTTATATGCTCTGTCTCGATTTCAACTGTGAGAGTACGCCAATGTTATTGCCTATGTATTGATAAGTGGCAGCAAGACAAGTGCTAACAGGCAGCAGCAGAAGGGTTCGTGCGCATTCGCCTTCCGGTTTGACGTGGAGAGTCTTTTTCAGGTAATTTCTGCTCGAAATGGCATTTCGCAGTCTATTAGGCGAGCTGGTGCGACCTAACAATTGTGGATGTGTTATCTTTTCTTCTCTTCTTCTGTTCGTGACATGGCTTATTATTATTGTCACTGCTAATACTACTCCTGCTACTGCTATGTGCAACCCATCACCAGCATCTCTCCATCCTGTGTTGAGCACCTTGTGCCTCAAATCGTACTTGCATCGCCTTTTTTGGTCTTCTCGTCCTGATTTGTTCGCTCTTTTTCTTTTCGCATAAAAAAGTTCTGATTCACTGATAAAATGATTGATGGTCGGACATAGAGTGTGGCGGAAGAAGAAAGTGTTCATTATTATCCGCCCTATTTCCTTTTCCCTTGAATATCAGTCATGATACGTTAATCCACCCTTTTCATGGTGTGACCTGTTCAATTTTGTCACTCGAGCCCAACAAAAGGCAAATTGTACAGCCGCTGCATGTGCGTGCTCCTGTGTAAAGACTAACCCACCAAGATGTATGTTGTGTGTCTCTCTCTTTCTTATCGCCTGCTGACAACCTGCTTATCGCACATTTGAATTGCGTCTCTCTTTTTTTGTGCTAAGCCCCGAAAGGCTGCCTGCAGCTGATAAAGAAATATTTCTGTACTGTATGCCTTGCGCTGCTTTTTGTCTCTCTGACTTTTCCCGTGAACGTGGGACAGGGCATACCAAAAACCACGCTGGATCACACGGTGTATTCTGATTTGGAGGGAAAACGGCATATGAAAGACAGCTCCTCCCTGCCATCTGCAACGCTCTTCTTAATGCGGGCGCATCCTTTTTTATGGTAATACAGGGAACAAGGAGGAGAATCATAAAATTAGACGCAGCAGCCGTGAATTTTTTGTGATTGCTTAATCGTAGGCTGACAGCATGTTCTCGATGACACTGGGACCCTCTTTGATCGCATCATCGAGGTTTGAAAACGGCAAACATTTCTCACCTTGGATGCACTTTCCATTTTTGAAATTGGTATGACATGTGACAACCAAACAGTTCAAAAAAGCTTTTCGTTGCTATGGGTACAGATTTAGCTATTTTTGCTATGATGGTAACGTTTGCTACCATGACAACAAATGCATTTTGCTGTCAGAAGATTTGGTTACTACTTACTTTGCTTATAGCACATTTACATAGAATTGGCTGTGGCAGCGGTGATGTGTTCTAACTGGTGGTCGGTATCTAAAAAGCATCTCTCACATCTCGGAAGATTTGTTTGCTAAGAGCAAGTTGTCCAAGTTGTACTAGCATCGTTGTTCGTACCATTATAACTCTCTTTTCTTTCTTGTTTATTTTTTATGGCTATCATGTAATGGATAAGTAGCATACTGACTTGAACAAAAGGAAAGATATGCCTTTGCGGATAATACATTTTCAATAGGAAAAAAAATCCATAATGGGTATCGGATCACACCATCAAACCATCATTGGTAAGGAGAACATAGAATCGTAATAATAAGCTTTATACAAGATGGTGCCACAATCAGCTACCCAATATGATATTCATACATACCTAGGCTGCTGACCCATTCGCCAGCATCTACTTTTTAAGAAAATATCGGAATTCAACGGCCTGGTATCGTTGGTATATTATTTTCGCTATGTTTTTACTAAAACATCCATGATGTGCTGTCATCTTTAAGCAATTTTTGCCAAACAGATTCGAAATAAGCCTCGTGTCGATCATGACCGAAGTTCATTTCTAACTGTGATATCAATTATCATCATCTCACGTCCAACTTCTACTTTACGGTTCAATGAAAATGACATTACAATTATTTTGTCGACTGCTTACATATAACACTGCTGTTGATGCTGCTGCGATTGTATGACTGTGCCATATCCTTTGCGTGGGAACAAGGCAACAGAAGCGGAGCAAATGAATTTTACGTACACATCACAAGGTCAATAGAGAAAGTTGCCGAGGATATGTATGAGACTCAAACACACACACACACATCCGAAAAAGAGAAATGCCTTTTCTTTTCTTTGTTCTTCTTCCACGCCAAAGCCTACAGCAGCTTTTCTAACAAATATATTGTTCTACCATTCAATTTTATAATTTCTCGTTTTAATATTATATTGGACTATCAGTACAAGACGCGGTGTGTGGATTTTTTTTAAAAATATGCGGAGAAGAAGCCCGGAGGGATAAAGTAAAAGGTACGAATATTTATATTGAGTTCCGTCGATGAGTACGCAGGTGCTTGACTTCATGTGGCAAGCCAAAGATAGCGTCACCGGTAATGTTATTACTGCTACTACTACTTTCCCCACTACTACGATCCCGTTCGCCAAACCTAACGACAACCTGTTTTGCTGCATCTCGTATCGTAAATTGATCCGCATGCGACTCGTCTCCCTGCAACTGATCCCGCGCCTCAGGCGTTAGACCCGTAACCAGCAACGCGATTTGCGAGTGACCCCTGGAGACGCCATCCACTCTATACAGACTTATCGACCACAGTGCAGCCCACCAACCCAGTGGTATTATCAGCGACAGTGCCAGAGGATAGAATGATTTCGGATCAATCTCATACACTGGATCTGTATCACGACAAACCGTTGGATCGAAGAAATACGAGAGTAGCATTTCGCCTCGAGGCAGTGTAATAGCCATAGCCAATCCAATATGCAAAAAAATCTCCCGAAAAAATTCCTCGACAGGTAATGTCATTGGACCCTCGTTGCTATTTCTACCCATCTTGAAAATGTTCTCGTTGTCGAGGATCAATTCTCGCATGATGCTTTGTTGTAGACCATACATGTTGGTAACGCTATACTTCCATTGGTATTCATGACCTGTGTCTGTATATTCGAGCGCCCATGTTGTGGTGTTGCCAAGATATCCATCGTAGTCCATATCAACAGGATAGGTGCCATAGACATTGGAAGTTATTTGGTGATGCGTATCTCCACCACTGTAGGATAGTGTGATATTAGTGAGATTCATGGCCGCGCGCAAGGTGCAGACACGTATTTCCGCTTCGTCGGGATGTATATCGGGATAATCGCCACCAATGCGACGGACAACACCTCCTCTATCGGTCAAAAGGACAAACGTCTGGTCACCAATCTGGTTGCGCACTTCGGGTAAAAAGTCCATCGTATAATTATCGCTGGCTTGATACGGAAAATCGGTAATGTTGTTGAGATCGTAATAGGTGCGGTTGTACATTGATCCAGCATAATACATGTGTGGAAATTCGCTATTGTACAGTGGTCGGTAGCCAGTAGAATCAGAAAGGACATCAGCAAGCGGATCCTTCCAGTATTCGCCCAACGTCGTCAGATTATTTGCATTTACGTCAACTATTTGTGTGTCCCAACTGCCTGGCTCACACTCCATGGTAACATGTGGCGTTGTCAGAAAGGGAAACGTGCAGTTGATAGCATCCGGAGCGCATGAGAGTGAGGCTTGCACTGACACATTCAGCATGTACTGTTTCATATAGAATTGAATTTCACTGTGTTGCATAAGTCCTTTGATAGAACGTGGATCGTTTGAGCGATATTGATAGGTGGTCTGCTCGCCGGATTCAATTGAATTTGCAAGAGGATAGTAATAACTATCTTCTTCGCAGATTTGGGTTGGAGTCGGTGTGTGTGAATGCAAAACTTGCTGTGCAGCAGGTGGAATCGCTAATAGACCGAGCGAGAATATGATTGTTGCAATAATTACGCTATCGAACTTTAAAAATAAAATCACTCGTAAAACACCTAATAAAGGGTTAAAAATCAATATGTATTAAACTTTCTAACACTTTCAAAAGAAAACTAAATGTTGTACAGAAACTAATACATTACCGCCTATACCGCGTGAACATGAATCATATACATCCATTAGGCTCAACTGACTTTCCTGTTTCTGAAAACGCAGCCACTTGTATTCAGAAACAGCACTACACGAAATTTGAATATGATATAAGTTACCACCGACATTACATATTCATCCATCAATAAAACTGAATATTGCTTAAAAAAAAACCTTACTATCCAATTCCTCCACTGATGAATGTGACAAGAATGGTTACGACAAGTGCCATTACAGTGGGGTAAGCCATACCAGCTTGTGTGGTGCCAATCGTTTGGCCATTGGCACGAATATACACCATAATCATAACACCGATCAAAGCGACGGTCACAATCATGTTTATAATAGGGAAGAATGTTGTCTGAACAAAACTACTCGAGCTGTATTTTTCTCGGGTCTAAATCCATTGTTATTGTGATAAGTGTCCCATAGCTTATATAGTGGTAATTTATTGTTTCCTCTAACCTTCGGTAGTTTTTCTCCTGGTCTTCGTGTCGAGGAATTGGCGGATCCATTGGATGAAAATGAGAACCGGTCTTCTGAGCCACTATAGCTCATCCCATCGTCATCGTAATAACGTACCCCTCCTTGGCTGTAATGGTAAGTTGGTGGCGGAGCTGTATTGTTGGTGATCGATGTTATTGATGAACGTCGCTCTCGGTGTTGATGTCGGTGATCATTGTCATCAACGCCCTCTTGTTCATGTCGTTGTCGTGATATCCTATCTTGCTCGTGCTGTTCTCCAGACACAGTTGACATTGTTGTTATTCAAAGAAGAAAAAGGGAGAAAAATAAAAACAACTGCAACCCACAATTGAAAGGAAGAAGAAGAAGAGAAAGAAACGGTAGAAAAACAAGAAAGATGTTTGTTCAACAATCGCTACTGGCTTTATGGCTATCCATTCTACTTTTTTAAAAAGGGCATGGAATCGTGACTCTATACATGTATGAATTGGTAGTACATACATCTAACACGAATTGACTTGACTGAAAATAGAAGGATTATTCTACCAATACGTTAATTATATGTTGCCGTTCTCAAGTTATTGGAAAAAGAAGGAGGATAATACGCAAGTGTTTGCGTGTGTGTATTATCAAGAAGTAAAGTGTGGCACAGTTTGACTGATTATCTATAATTGGAAGCGTACATATCTAAGCCTTATCATGTGAGCAAATGTGGAATAAGCAACGCCTCATGATGCTCAACTCCTTTGCTACGCCACGTTAACAGTACAGTGTCTGACTCCAACTGTAGTAGAAAGATCACCCTTTCCTTTCGTAGTTTGGAATATACATAGAATGTATAAATGTGTACAATAAACATTAATAGTTTAAATGTAATGCGAAATATATTCTTATCACTTTATATAATTACACGTCCATTTATATGATACATTAGGCTAACAAAAGTTTGGGCTCGCTTGTATATGGTATTTGTTGTTATCGCGTGTGTGAATGTGTGTGATAGAGAAATGCTTCCCTCTAATACGTCAAACTTTCAAACACACAAGGAAAGAAGGGTTGATTTTAATCACGATAGCGTGGCATATCAACACCAGGAGCAGAATCATCATCCTCACGACTGTTAGGCTTCCGTGTCGTAGTCGTGGCAGCTGCACCAGCAGTAGCTTGATCAGTCACGATCGACTGATGATGACTTGTACCACTGCGATAGGCCTCAACTGCTGTATCGTATGAAAACAAAGGCGCACTGCTGGTATTGTTGCTACTGCTTGACCAGCCATACTCTCCATTGTTGCTTGTTGTCATCAATGACATGCGGTATGGATCACCATAGAAATCGTCGTCATAGGACTGAACCGTATCCATCATGGGTGACGACAAACGGCGTTGCTGTTGTTGAAGCTGGTTAATCCGCTCGCGTCTTTTCTTTCGCCGCATGAAAAATACAATGCCTGCAACTGCAAGGCCAAGTGCCACAGCCCCGCCGATAGTAGCGCCTATTATGACGTTTGTGTTGCTTGAACCCTGGTCGATCGCATCCACTTCAGGTAAGGTAGGAATGACCGTTCTATGTAGATAATGACGATTATTTAAACGAAGCGAGGAAAGATGGTATAGTAGTATTTGGTTAACATACACTTCAGAAACGTAGGTGGTAGTGGTTATCGTTTCTCCATTTCTCACAATGACCGTTTCAGTCGGCACAAGTGTCGTGGTTGTGATATAGCTCACTGTGGTTGGCCTTACGCTTGGTGTTGGCTCGAGAATCATACTGCTAGTCGGGGAAGGCAGTTCATTCGAGGTGGTTTGCGTCTGCTCTACTGATGTGGTCGTGGGTGTGATGATCTCTGATGATGTACTACTAGTTGTTTCTGGCGGTGGCGTAGTTGTTACTGTAGGATCTATTGACGATGTTGCTGACGGTGGTACATCTGACGTGTCAGAAGAAGGTGCTGTAGTATCTTCAACGGAGGATGTCGAGGTTGTTGTCGGATCCTCAGTTGTGCTTATGGAAGGGTCTGAAGAAGAGGAGAGCGGTGGATCGGGTGATGCAGTTGTGGTGTCAGGTACGGAGGCGGTGGTCGTCGGATCGGGTTCCGAAGAGGTAGTAGAAGGTAATGGTGGTTCAGTGGATGGATCTTCAGACGGAGATGCTGTAGTAGCACTTTCATCAGGAGGTAAGTACGTGGTATCCTCAGATGGAGAAGAAGTTGTTGTTGAAGCAGATTCAGACGGCGGTGTTGTAGTGTCTTGACTTGGTAAAGTTGTCGTATCTGAAGGAGCAGGGTCCTCTGATGTTGTCGAGTCATTGGGCGCCTCTGTTGTCGTGGGTGCTGGTTCGACATCTGCAGTTGTAGGATCATCTGAGGGTGCGTTGTCTGTCGGAGTGGGCTCCGGTGCCTCAGTAGAGGTTGGTATTACAGGCTCTTCAGCAGATGACATGCTAGTAGTAGTAGTAGTAGTAGTAGTAGTAGGAAAGCTTTGAAGAAAGAAAAGTGACGGATAGCGCAAACAAATAAGAAAAAGAGGCGTAGCTGTGCAAAGAGGAAAAGAAAGAAGGAGAGAGAAGAACAACAACAACGCGAAATCGAAAGTTCTTTATCGCGAATATGTTTTTAGGTGTGCTATGCTGATGTATACATATGTGCTGTTGTGTACTGTACATTCCCATCTGACTTTGGCGCCAAAAATAACTTTTATTTTTATTTATTTTGTTTACAAACGTCTTGGGATTGCGAGAGGTGTATGTTGTTGCAATATCGTGTAATAGGTTGTTGTTGTGTGTGTGCGTGGTGCGTAGTGTGCGTGTGTATATATCATAGAAACAGTCTACTTTCTGTACCAGAGACGGGTGATCTTGGTCTGTTGTATAAAAATAAAACAAGATTAGCCTTCCGCTATTCTCCCGCTTCTTCTTCTGTCTTTCCTTCTCTCTTGTATCCATCGCTCCCTGTGATCATCACACTTACTCTTCTCATCTTCTTTTGCAACTGGAAGATACCGTATAGCAGCGCCTCAGCGGTGGGAGGGCAGCCAGGCACGTACACATCCACAGGGACAATACGATCACAGCCACGGACAACAGAGTACGAGTAGTGGTAGTAGCCACCACCGTTGGCACAACTGCCCATGGAAATCACCCAACGTGGCTCAGGCATCTAAAAATATTCACACATTTGAGCATTAAAGTTTTCTTCTCCTCTCTTTTTATATCCGTCGTTTCCGTATTTATATATTCCTGCCCTCCTTCCCTTCATCTATCCGTCACTAATTACCTGATCGTAAACTTTACGGAGAGCAGGAGCCATCTTGTTGGTCAAAGTGCCAGCGACAATCATGACATCGGATTGACGGGGCGTGGCACGGAAAATAATACCGAAACGATCCTGATCGTAACGAGGTGTCGAACAATGCATCATTTCCTATGACATGTCATTACAATATTTTTTAGTTTCTTCCTTCTCTCCAATGTACATACGCATATACGCTGTTTCTGTTATCAAAATAAATCCTTTTGTCCTACCAAAGCACAGCATGCCAAACCGAAGGTCACGGGCCAGAAGGAACCTTCACGAGCCCAGCTTACAACGCGATCGACCGTCGACAAAATGTATTCTATATTTATATTAAACGTTGAAAATCGTTGTGCAAAAAAAAAAAGTCAATATACGATCGATTTCGTCTGGATCTTCGATTGTTGCTGTTGTTGCTACTGTTGTTTATTTCTGTGGATTTGTAATAAAAAAGTGGGATAGAATCGAACCTGCGCCGTTATTGGGCTTCAAAGCAACGTCTTTAATTTCGTCAATGTTTCGAGTAACTTCGGTCGAAACAGCACGCTTCGACACGACAGACAATGCTTGAGGTGCAACGGTAGTTGCTATAGAAAATGTTGATAATCGAATGTTGAGTATATGAAATTGATTATATATGCACGAGTCGCATTCTCTTTGTTGCTGTTGTTGTTGTAAAATGCTGGGGTGAAAAGCCGACTACTTACTCAAAGCACGCTTGGCAGCGTGCAATCCAAGTGCAGTCATTGCCATTGTAAATGAGATCTTTATTTATAAAAGAGAGAGGGGGGTTAAAAGTTAATGGGGGAGAAGAAGGCACGAAGAATCTCAAGCCAATAGAGCGCTTTGCTGTTTTTTTTTCTTGTTAGACCACCCGTCGTCTATTCTGTCGCCGAGATTAAAAATTTGTGACGTAACGGTTAGCTTTGATCACAATAGTGTTCTTGACTTCCAATTTTTTCGTATGCAGCCAATAAGAAAGGCGCTTGTAGTTCTCAAACCCACACAAGTGAAAAGAATATTTTCCATACAAGTAGCTGTTTGGTTGTAATAGTTCGTTTTCTTTTTCGGTATAGCAATGAGTAATAAGAATTATCAGCCGGTGGTTGGCAATTTCTCTGCTAAAAAATACATTTACGCTTTACATGCAGAGCAAATTAGTAATTCCGTTAGCGAAAAAGAGGGCCGTTGACCAAGTGAAAATGCTGTTAATAAAATAAAAAAAAACTGTAAGCGAAATAATGATGTCGTTGACCAAATAAGGGGCCGTTGCCCAAGTGACGATGCCGTTGACGAAATAAAATGCTGTAAGCAAATTAGTAACACCGTTAGTGAAAAAGGGGGCCGTTGACCAAGTGAAAATGCCGTTAGCGAAAAAAGGGGCCATTAGCGAAATATAATGCTGTTGGCCAAATCAAAACGTCGTTGGCCACATGGAAAATCTCATTGGCGAAAAAGAAGCCCGCCGAACGAAATGGTAGAGATAACATCGGCGTTCTGACTCTGCTCGCCGCCACGCAACGCCGTGCTCGCGCTCCAATTCATCAACTGCAGGTCCACCAGCCAAGCCATGGTACCATTCGCGCCAAAGCATATCAAGCGTTACAGTATGGCGTGACATTTTGTACTCTGGTGCAGGCGGTGGATGAACTGATGATGGTGATGCAGATGCGTGCGTCGCGAGTGCGATCCTTTGCACAGGTGGTGGTGGCGGGAAAAAGGGAAGAGAGATGGTTGCAGTATCCTGCAGCGGTTGTTGTTGAAGTTGTTGCTCTGCTGGCTGCTGCTGCTGCTCTGGTTGCTGCTCTGGTTGCTGCTGTTGAGGCTGTTGCTGTGATGGCTGCTGCTGCGGTTGCCGATGTTGTGGTTGCCGTTGTTGTTGCTGAGATGCGTTGCCAAGGTTTAGCGTCAAAGGTTGAAGCAGTTTTACTGATCATTTCCCATTATCAACAGAGACCCTTTATCAACTATTATGGCTCGATCTTTTTACTCTATGAAGCCAGCACACCCTTTCTCAACATTAATTGGTTCATGGTAATGTAAAAAAAGGAAAAAAAAAACCAAGACGAAAGGCCTATGTGTGGCTAACTGCGGGGAAAACTTGGTAAAAATGGCTTATAACAGGACAAGCTGGGCTGGACGGGCAGTAAGCTTCAATTGATCAACGGCGTCATGTTGATTTCGGTGTTCTTCATGGCACGGATCGTATTTGGCTTATCGATGTCCTACTATCTTTGGGGTAATGAACGAATGAATGAGGGTCTTTGTGGTTCTTCATATGAGTAGCGAGTTCTAACATTACATGTCTTTGTTGTAGTGGAGATTTATGCCGTCAGGGAAATGGTGCCCTGGAGCTGTAAGTGGTTTGATAGGATGGGTATATATTGTGTGACATAATTAGCATAAAATATCTCATGCAACCCCTAAACCCCATTTTCTAGATTTCGTAATCTACGGTGTCGCCAATGTAGTGACAAATCTACTCAATATCTACTGGTTCGGCTTGATGCTTCGCATGCTTCGTAAACGATTCCCCTCTTCCAATACCAAGAAGGCATAAGCAACTCTATCCGAAATCCCACTCAAATTTTTGTTTTCACACACACACACACCGCATCATACACGCACGCACAGAATCAAACAACAACAACAACAACAACTACTACTACTACCACGCTTACTACTGCTTGCTGGGCAACACAAATACACCTGTCACTTGAGATTCCTTCTTTGTAACGCATGCCATTCCCGATATAGCAATTCTCCCCCGATATACGTTACCAAGCAACCAATCAACCAACTCATTCTTTTTTCCGCAACAACACCCTGAATAAATACTACTTTGGTTCATCTTCCATAAAGGAGTATAATGTACAATCAAACAAAAGAAAAAAGAGATACTCCCGGGAACAAACCACACAAGCAAGCGTTGGGAGAAGAAAGATAATCATTTCACAAGTATCTGCCATTGTTATTTCTTGATTATAAACTGTAGCGATGACCTGGAATATATGAAACTTTTAAAGCTGTACTACTATGACTATTTCCTTTTTTTTAGCTTGTTGAAAATGAAATCCAACCGATTTGCTGAGTGTCTGTGTGCGACCTTGTTCCTAAATTGGGAACAAAGTGTAAATAAGCTCTTTCAGAGCCCATCTGAAGTACCATTAGTCCCACATTGTCTGACGTTTTGGCTACCTTACCCACACCCTCCAACCTCTATCCAAGGTGCACACTTTATAAAGCCGCCAAGTGCTTGCCTGGTACCCAACGTCAATGTATCCAGCTTTGTCAACCTGTGTGGCTTAGAGTAGAGTCATGTAAAAGTTATTGTTAAATGCGCTTATTCCAGGTCGTTTTGGGTATGACCTCCGGTTCGTCCGGTAAAGGTCCAGCCTACAGATAGTGTTTCGGCACTCATGCTCAAATTCGGCTGGCATCAGGACACATACAATAGCTAGCATATAAGCACTAGTAATTACGGTTCGGCAGTGCCTCCTCCTTATACTCATTTTTTAATACGTTACTGAGTGTTCATGAGTGATTTTCTCTTTCAGAAATAGCTTGGTGGGATCCGAATACATGGCATGGGGTATGTAACAATGACGACATGAGAGATGTCAAAAGCATGCAGAAGCCCTGAAAGGTTGCTGCCACTAAGCAGTAACGCTATTCGGCTCGACCTTATATATAAAAAGCATGTTCTTTTCAGCAGGATCAGCAGCCTGCAACGGCATGTCATAGGGTGTTGTAACGAAATCCGATGTATGCAACTCTTTCTTTCCACAAAACTATTACTACTAATTACATCCTCTTCACGTTGTCGTTCATTTGTTGCTTGATAATAATTAACAATGGTGATAGCCAGTACTCTTTCGCTTACTATGGCTATGTGCGCTGTAGATTGGGGTACCATCCAATTGACACGGAGGTGAACGAAAATCTTGACAGGGCAGACCGCTTGTTGACGCGTTGTAAATTTTTTCTTTTTTTTGGTTCAACACCAATAAAACCCAATAAAACAATCTCGCGTCGTTTTCGCGTTCTTTTTTCCTTTCCTTTCTCAACTCTCCCACATACACCTGAATCCAACCCCAATAAACTTTTTTTTCCTCCACTTTCCATTATGGAAGCTGATCCTATGAATCTAGCAACTCTCATTGATGAATTGATTCAAGAACAGGACGACATTACTGGTATACTTTTCTTTGTGTTTAATGAGAGTGAGACAGAATAAAAAAAAGGTGGGGGGGGGGTTACAGCTGGTTTTTTTTTGTGTTTCTCTTTGATCGGTCCTAGGATGGATCTCATTCATCGTTTTTCTTTTTTCTACGCGTCCAATCGGGGTATACAGCAATCAATGAAATTTTGGTTACTTGTGCTGAAGCGGATCTCGATCTAAAGTATTGTCAAGAGTTGGTCCAGCGGTTACTGGTCTTTGCTACAAAGCTCGAAAAGACCATCAAACACGCCGACTTTGGCAACACGTTGGAGCAGACGTTTACAAGAATCGCCACCAAAGCGCCGAATAGGGGTGTTCAACGGCTTTGTAAAGAACTCAAGAGAATCCTCAAAGGTAGCGCAGCGTACCTTTTTTTTTTATTTATTTTCTATGCAAACTAACAGATGGATGATTTAGAATTGTTGCACGTGGACCCGATCGAGGATCCTAATAAAACCTATCGAGTACGTATTTCTTTACCCACTCCTACGGCTATGAGTAGTCTTTTCTGTCTTTAGCATGGATTTAATTGAACAAGAGAATTCATATCCTCATCCAGCGTGACACCTTACTGATCCAACAAAGCGTCCTTTATTAGATCACATCTCTGTCCGACACTGTTATTCCAAGCAGCAAATTAATTCATCTTATAGCCATCGTGTGGGGTGCTCAACAGCGCTTGTTGTTGATAGACCCAAACTACACCAGATTGGCCCACCCTGCCGTTTGGTCGTACACATCCGCCGTGCTTGAAGCTGCCTGCCATGCCAAAGACCGCCTAGCCCAAACATATATACTTCAGGTACCTTATCCTACAACGAATTGCACTTCCTTTGTAACCCTTCCGTTTGACTCCATGTGATGTTTCTAGACGACTTCAATCTACTGGCAGTGCTTTGCAAAAAAACTAGCTGCCCCTGGAGATCCCACATCAAGTCAACACATATGTGATCTGCTCGAGGGGGTGAAACAGACGTTGCAATTGCAATCGTCGTAAGTATTTCCCCTCACCCCCTCTTATTCTGAATAGGGCGCAATTATACAACAAGAGTGCTGAAGCAATATTTGAAATAGGTTTGAAGAGGAAATGATGGACAACTTTGCGAAAAGTATCAGGTCGTGGTTGAAAATGTTCACACCTTCCAAATTATCATGCCTCTATGACATTGCTGAATTGCTCGAGGAAATATGCATGTACCCTTCGGCGCAAACACTACATAGCCTCATTGTAAGTTCCTTCCAGAGATAGCCGTTCCTTCTCTCTAGCTACGTGTTGCTTACCGAGTAAAAAAACCTGTTGTATAAACACCACCCTTATTTTTGTTAGGACATCATCCTGCTCGTTTCAAATCTCTTGTTCGACAATAATGTACCCTTGTCTTGCTTCCAGAATTACACTTCCGCTTTGGGAAAGGCTCGAAAACTGACGCCGTTCCACCAAGCCATTGTCATGAAATACGACGCGTTGTTCAACAAAGAAGAAGACCAATCTCTATCGGTAACGTCTGCTTTATCTTTGTGGCTTTGGCAACAGGTATACGTGTCCTATGAACAGAGATACTGACAAAGTAAGCACAATTATATAATAGACATCATTACGAAAGCGAATTCGACTACAAAGTGCTGATGACATGGACGTTTGCGAAGGCAGCCAGTAAGAACTTACTTTGAAAAACGATAAAAGAAATTGCGAAAGAGTTGCTTTGAGTATGTGGAACTATGTTTTTATAGAGTCACTCACTTCTGTTATTGTTGTCCTTGGATAGGATGCAGGCACTACAAGAAAGAATTCAAAAGCGACATGGAGGCACTGTGGTAAATACACACATGAGTTGAAGAGAGCTAACGCAGCATGTTTATCGTCCTTGGGCACACTCATTGAATATTGATACTTCTTTTTTTTTAAAAGCAAAAGACATGGTACCTAAAGACAATGCTGACTCTTGTCACTAGCGCAGAGCAAGATGAGACCGAGGCATCGATCATGAAGACGTTAGACGATGTAAAGCTGTTTTTTTGTCTCACAAAATCGATATATGATTATGACTGACACCATTATGAAACTAACTCGCTAAATATGCCTACGTATTCTACCCTCCCCATCCGATGCATAAAAACCCAATAGATCAGATACTTGGGAATTCGCCAGTCAGAAGGTCTTTTTGATGAAAGCTTGACGCGAATCGCCTTGTCACATGTCCAGCAACGCTCAAATGACAGTAGCAACACTACTGGTAGCGTGACACAGCTATCAGACAAGATTGCAGCAATGTATGACATGTTGCTACCATATTACTTGCGGGCTTACATGTGCTACGCCCTACCATATGCCGTGGGCGCGAGCGATGAAACCCTGCTGGAAACACTTGCCCAGATGGTCACGTCCGACACAAAGTCTCTATGCGAAACTGGTGGACATCATTTAATCATCAGCTATTTCATGTCCAGCGACACAGCTTTCACCAACCAGGGTTTCGCTCGTCTACGAAGCATATTTCTCGACGATGAAGCGCCTGAAAAATTACTGAGATCGCATCAAACGAAAATTGTGTCGTCCTTGGCAATGCGATTAGCGGACGATGATTATGATAGGGTAAAGTTTTGTTTCTGTTTTTTTTTCTCTTAGTAACTAGTCGTGTGCTATGCTATTTGCTATTAAATGGTAGCTTCTCACCCTTGATTTACTGACGATGGATCATAGGCAGAGGTCGCTCTTAACGAGGTGATTGAATGGCTCCATATCACATCAGCGACAACACTGGGTGAATTCTTGCAGAGTTATTACCTCGCTATTCTCTCTCACGTATCAAAGTTCATCACTGAAATCCGCGAAAAAAACCGGTGCTGACACATCCGAACGCATTAGCAGCCCTGGATAAAATATTGAAGCTAATGGACACGGTGTACAAACACATGCATCCAGGTACGCGTATCCCCTAATCCCTTTTTCTGCTTTGTTGAACATTTTGATGCACTCGAATCATGTATTTGCTGTTGTTTACTTTCCAAGTCTTTTTAATCGACTATTTTCTATAATTACATACAACAGACAATGGCTTTATTTCAGACCATCGGTGAGCTACCACGGATGCAGCACGAAGTGTACAACCTATGGAAAAGATTTGCCCATGCTTTGCCGTTCACTGTACTGTCTGACTGCATTGGACCCATTGTTCGCGGTGTCCTGTCAATATTCCCGCGGTGCTCGGATGAAATCAAACAGGATATCGGCCGATTCTTGGAGGAGATCCTGCACGCGTGTAATTTGACCATGGACCGTCTACTAGAGCTCCCCAGTATCCAGCCCTTTGAAGAGCTCGATAAGGTCCGCGAACTCATTGATCAAAAGCGGGACGACCTATCGATCGAACAAAGCATCTTTGCCATATGCAAACGAGCTCGTAACGACGCTGCGTCAGACATCTTGACATTGGTCGAAGAACTCTTACGGATCCTCAAGAAACACGGCGCGCTTCATCCTGTCATTGTACGCCAACATTCCATGCTCTACACGGTACTGCTGTATCTGTCCAGGAAAACCGGTGATATCCAAAACATCCGCAACCTTGCTGCTGAATGTCTTGGCCTACTTGGCGCGACCGACCCGAGCCGACTCCAAGTCAGAGTGGTACAAAACGACATGATTGTACTCAAGAACTATACGAATCCAGAAGAGAACCGAAACTTTGTGTGCCACATCATTATTAAGCACTTGGTGCCAGCGTTCCGAAAAGCCAACAACGAAGAAACCCAGCAGTTTGTCCAGTATGCTATGCAAACCTTGCTGCGATTTGCAGGCTTTAAACACAGCACTGTCGTTGGCAGCGAAAGCCTTGCCATCCAAGAACGCTGGAAAAAGATGCCCACGAATGTTCAAAACATGCTCTATCCACTGCTCGCGTCCTCTTTCACAGGCAACATGCAGATCCCTATGCCTCATTACCCGATCTATCCAAGTGCTGACAGTTACGAGACGTGGATAAAACGTTGGTACTACCTATTGACCAAGTCAGCAAGCGACGACAGTGTGAGAGACCTGTTTGCTGTGTTCACCTCCTTGGTGCAACGGGAATTCTTTGGCTTGGCCTTGGACCTGATCCCTCGTCTAGTCTTACATGTTGCGCTGACAGGATCAAAAGAAAAAAGCGCCGACGTTATTGGTGAAATACTATGCGTGCTCAACGGCGAAAGTCACACGCCAATGCATACTGAAAAAATGCAAAGAGATGCGTTACAGGTGAAAAAGTCAAACCAGAAATAAGCAAAACCCTCAAAAGAAGGATTACTGTGCACTAATATCCACCTGGATACATTCATTCTCTTTTTTTTTGCGGCTATTCTTAGGTGATTGTATTGACCACAGAGCATTGCAGAAAATGGATCCGTGGCGCGCAGGAAAACCATGTCAACATGGATAACGGAGACATAATTAAAGTTCGAAACTTTTTGGAGCAGATTCCTAACGACAAGATGGCCACAGCATCATTCCGTTGCAAGGCGTATCCGCAAGCGCTGATGCATCTTGAGCTCTACTTGAAAGAAACTATGTGGGAGCACGGCGGTCAATTCACATCTGATGTTTGGGACAGTTTGCGCCAAATATACGTTCATATTAAAATCCCGATGGCGTGGTTGCCGTTTACTCCCTGTTTCAACGGACGCTGTGCATGGATGAGGAGATCATGTTGTGTGAGCACATGGGTGATTGGAATACTGCCAGCGTGATGTACCGAAGTGTATTGGACTCACCGGAGCAAGAGGCGACGGAAGACAGCAGAATGCTATCTGGCTACTTTAACTGCTTGAGAGCAGGTGGAAATATCGGTAAGACTTACATGCGGAAGGGACAGCAGTGAGCAAATACATCCTCTGCTCCAAAAATACGTTATTAAAGATAATGCCATTCACGTCCGCGTTTTCCAGAGATCATGCAAAGCGCAGCGACACGGCTTATGCGATTGTATCCACAGTTTCTCTCGCGATTGAACGCCTACCGCGCTGAAGCATCTTGGAAACTTGAAGATTGGGATACCTTGGATGCCTCTCTTAATCAACCGATCGAACAATCCTTTGATGGTTCGCTAGCTACTGCCATTGCACATTTCCGTCAAGGTAACAATCTGGCTGGACTTGTGAGTATCGACAAAGCCCAAAATTACCTCATGGATCATATGTTGTCAGCAAGTCACGACTCCTACCAACAGTCGTACGATCATATCCTTGGCCTCCAGATGATCCATGAGTTGAAACAAAGTCGGTTCATATGGGAAGAAGCTACGCGCAGTGAAAACTGTGCACCCATCACTGAACTACGAAGCAAGTGGGAGCAGCAGTTCAAGTTTGTAGCGCCCTCGCATTGCTATCAAATGAAGCTTCTGGAGCTTCGACAAGCAGCTTTGTTCAGTATGATGTATGTATTTCTCCAACGTATCTCTATTGTTGCATGATAGAAACTTTATACAAGACTAATGGCATCATGTCATCAGCCCCCAAGGAATCTCACTTTCAGCGCCTATCGATGACGGTAGCATCTGGTTGACAAAAGCCAAAGTAGCAAGAAAAGCAGGCGATATGAACACTGCTTTATATGCAATTCTCAGGGCAGAAAAATTTGGCGCCCCTTTTGTTTACCTGGAACGTGCCAAGTGGTATTGGGCAAACGAAAAAAAGCAAAAGCCATCAAATATCTGCAAAGTCAAGCGAATCCATGTGCGAAGGTAAACATATCTCGAAAGACTTGGATTCGATTCATTGTATTGCGGAAGAGGGAGCAATCTAATTTGTTCTGCTTGATAATTTATGTATTCAGGCCGCCCTACTTCAAGCAAAATACTCGGAAGAGTTTGAAAAGTTTGACCGTACCACGATGCTAAGCTTATATAAAAGAGCCCAGAGGTTGGACCAAAAGTAAGTACCTTGCTGATCATGTGGGCTTGTGCTTCTGTCTGAAATGAAAAAAAGTGTACTTATTACACTCGCTATCTAGCTGGGAGAAGGCCATGTACTATGTGGGTCGATATTACGACAAGAATATATCGGACAAGGATGCCAAGCATGTCATGCAAATGAGTGAGAAGGAGTAAGTTGAAATCCCGTACGTATGTTAGAAGGTATTTGTAAATAATTGGACGAAATTCTGTTGTCCTCTTTCCTCGTTCTAGAATGAAGATAGCCAGCTGTGCAGTAACAAGCTATATTCGAGCTCTCCACCTTGGCTCAAAATACTTTTATTACACAATGCCACGATTCCTGACGCTCTGGCTGGAGTTTGGCGATGTTGTCGAAGTCTAAACCTCATGTAAGCTCTTGTATAATTAGATATGAAAGGGGGAGGAGAGAGTCTATATGTGTATAAACATATACTCATAATTAACCTACAATATATATATCTTATGCAGAACCGATACCCAAACACGTACCACTGCCTTTGAAGTGTTCAAAAGCATCAATACAAGTATTCGAAACCATTTGGATGGGATTCACCCTCGCCAGGTACGGAATACATACCCATAAGGTTGAGCAGGAAAAAATCAGCATTTGCACACTCACTCAAAACAACAACTGGGTAAATATATAGTTCGCTATGGTACTTCCACGGCTGGTATCCCGTTTATCCCACCCCAATGAAGAAGTTGGTAATATTCTTATGAAAATCATTGGCAAAGTACTGGCCGCATATCCAAGAACAACAATCTGGGCGTTGTTGCCACCTGACGAATCAAGAAATGGCAAGATACGAGACCGTGCGCAAATGATATGTGATAAAGCCGAGGTAAGATTCTTTTTATAGGAACAAAGGATGTTTGGTCGAGACAAGTTGGATAGCTGTACTTTATTAAACTAGACTAAAACCATTACTTACAACTATCTTTAGAACGATCCAACAAACGGCCGGCTACTTGCTAGCATCATTTCGGTTAGTAGCAGCAGTAATAGGGCGCCAGATATCAAGATGTGGTGGTTAGCATGGGTTACTCAAACTTTGCTGGATTTTTTATGTGTATAGCAAGCCAGGAAGTTTACGCGTGTGTTTAAAGCACTTGCAATGGAAGAGCCAATCACGGAGCAAACACACTACAGCACCAAGACGATTCCAGGATTATCGGAGATTGCGAACCTGGAGCTATGCATCCCATCGCAAAAAGCCCTGCTTCCAGAATTGCCAGAGGTGTCGACCGTTCCTTACCAAGGAATTGAAACTGAGGATTTGCCACGGATCAAAGGTTTATAGATATAAAAGAGAGGGAAAGAGCAGGATCCAAAATATTGATGTATTTGCTACTTATCCTGTTGTTTAGGCGTTTCTTCAAGCTATGAAGTGATGAGGTCGTTGATGAAACCGAAGAAAATTGCACTTATTGGCACAGACGGCAATACGTATACTTTCCTGGTCAAAAAAGCTGATGATCTCCGAAAAGATGCGCGTATGATGGAGTTCAATCATATGATCAACACATTCTTGCAAAAGGACGCAAACGCTCGAGAACGAAATTTATGTGAGTTATCGTCACCTGTTATTTGATGTATTGGTCAGATTTTGGGTAATGGTGCTAACATAAGATATATATGAACGATGTCTTTTCTCTGTCTCTTAGATATCCGAACATATGGCATTATTCCGCTTGGCGAGAAGTGGGGTCTAATCGAATGGATTAACAACTTGAACCCTCTCAAAGCAATCGTCGCTCAAGAATGGGCGTTACTTGGCAAAGACATCAGGGTAAAGACATAATTAGATATGTAGATATACTACAAAGATGAAGCATAAAAGACATGATATACGATGATCGTGTACACTAAAAAAGGTCTGCATACTTTTGTTCATGCCTTTAGCAAATTGCCACCCACGCTGGTTCTCTTTTGGTTAATGCAAAAACACCTGAAGAGAAGGAAAAAGTTTTCACGAATACTATCTTGCCTCGGTAAGCATACATTAGGTCAAGACGTATTGGAAAAGCAAAATAACTTTTATTAATATCCCTTTTCTTGTTTTTCATTCAGATGTCCCAAAGTATTTCACAAGTGGTTCCTTGTACACTTTCCTGAACCTTCAGAATGGTTCGCCAGTCGTTCACGATACATACGAACTCTGGCAGTTATGTCCATTGTCGGATATATCCTTGGGTAAGGAAAAATCAGGATAGCTTTGGCCAGCATAAACAAAATATTAAGTTACAAAATGCAATCATTACACAGTCTCGGAGACCGACATGCTGAGAACATTCTCTTTGATCAAACAAACGGCGACTGTGTTCATGTCGACGTCAATATGCTTTTCGACAAGGTGAGTTATTGCCAGATCCATATTTTGTTTTCTCATACAAGCTATTGCTATCACAGATAAATGATGATGACTGACGATTCTCAATTATGATATACAACACTAGGGTGCCAATTTGACCGTTCCTGAGCTTGTCCCCTTCCGACTCACTCAAAACTTAATTGATGCAATGGGCATACTGAAAGTCGAGGGTAAAACAATAACCTCTTAGGTACAAAAAATTCAGTAAAAGGAAAAGGTTTATTGATGTTAGAATGCGTTGGGCTGGGGAATATAGGCATGTTTCGGAAGACCTGCGAGGTGACGCTAGACGTGATGAGGAAAAACAAGACCCAACTTCTATCAGTATTTGAGACATTGGGTCATGATCCTCTCGCAGACTGGCAAAAGAAGGCTCCCGGAAGAGCTAAGGTATAGTAATATCATTAATTATATCAGTAAACAGTACCAGGAGAGGGGTGGTGAAACCAAACTTCTTTAATCAAAAATTCCCTTCTACAAAATAATTAGGAGGTCACCCGCGAACACCTAAAAAGAATCGATAACAAGATTCACAACGGCCGCACCATTGAAAGTGAAGTGAAGAGACTCATTGCTCTAGCCTCCTCCAATGAGAACCTCAGTCAAATGTTTGTCGGTAAAGTATAGATACACGTCTCCCATCTGTTTCTGATCTATTGACCTTATGATGACTAACATTGTTTACCGTCTGTATATGTTATATACATAAATAGGTTGGGAACCATACATATAAAATCCAATAAAGTATAATTGCAAATATAATATGTTCCTAGCATATACATGTATATGCATAACTCCTCTATTATCAGAAAAGTGATTCCATAGCATATCTAACAAACAAACCACCTAAGTACAATTGCCTGGGCGCAAGTATTCTGTTCTTCGTTGTCATTGCTTTCAGTATTGTATATACTTTAAGTACGTTAAGCTTTTTGTTACACTCTTATTATTCCCGTTCCAAAGACCTTGTTCATCTCGAACAATGACGCCCGAGCTATTTTTTTGCAAAAGTAAATATACTCGTCCGTAGAGCAAGTTAAACGATAAGGGCTCTCGAAAAGCGCTATGGCGTAGTTATCCGATAGGTTTTGTTAACGTCAGTAAGCCTGTATCGCCCAGTTCATGCATACCTGTGATCTGCAGCAACATAAAGCTTCTATCCAACTTCTGGCACGGGCTTTGGAAACTGTTGGTTGTAACACGCCGATCACTTTTTACTACCCTATGTAGCAATGAATCAACAGATACCGGGACAGCCAAAGTTAAGTAGTGTTGATACAGAATTGCTAGCATACTTGGGTATGTGATGGTGCTCCATTCATGTGTATATGTACGTAATTGTTGTATTATATATGTATGTGGGTTACAGTAGTACAGTCAATAATGAGAACGTTCGCTATATTGAAGCAAAGTGTGTATCTTTCGAAATTTTTAAATCCAAAATTATGCAACATATATACGTTATCAAAAGCTGCAGATCGAAAATACGATATGGACAAAGATTGCGTTTGTCGATTTTTAAGGATGAAACACAATGGGATCGCAACATAGCTCACTTATTAGTGGGAAATCAACACAATGAAGACAATGTGATATACTGCTGCCTGTATGCCCAAAGCTGTACTACTGTATGTAAATTTATATAAATGTTCCCTTGACATCTGATTACCTATCAACATTATAGGCTACTCCCACTTCTTTCTTTACTTAACTTACTCAACTACAACTACAGTACCCTTAGCCTCCTCCTCATACGTACATATTCAGTGCGATTTTAAGCCGCCATTAATCAACTTTCGTTGCTAACCACCTGCAACTTATGTATACGAGCTGGTCAATAGAAGATACCATTGTCAGTTCGGAGCTGAAATGGTATCGCGTCAGTGACCTGATCGATTATATATACACGGTACAAGAATAGTTATTTACCATTGACTACCAAGGCGAGAAGTTCAAGGCGCCTTTGTTGGAGCACTTGTCTCCTGCGACAGAACAGCGCAGATTCGAAAAAGGAGATACTCTGATATGCGAAAGCGTCGCACCTTGGTCCAGATGTCTTCCCCAATTGTTTTACACGGCAAGTCTAGTAGCAAAGACGGTCCAGGGGAAGTATCCTACATTCGGCGCTGCTGCTGTTGATGAAGACGGTAACCATCCTAAAATGGTCTTGCTTGAACATCTTGCACAAGCTCTCCAATATATCGAATCTTGGCAGGGCGTCTTTGACCGAACGGCTTTTGAGAAACGGTACAAACTTGACTGGATTGATGATGATGATGTGGCCTGTGATGTTGACTATCACGACGAAAGCGACGCCAAGCCAAAATTTTCAAAGCTATCTAGGAGTGGTGACGCATTGAAGGACCAGAGACGAAAAAATGGTGGTCAGCATATCGTGCCCATTGTAAAGCCCATTGAAGGAACGAAGCAAGAAGACAGAAAAGAAGAAAAACACAATGGTGAAACCAGAGCGGATTTCAACGATCCAGTCGAGTCGACAAGAATGGGAAAAGGAAAATTCATCTGCAACGAACAACCTCACACCCGACCAAGATAATCCACCGGAAGATATGCAGCACTGTAGCAAAAGTACAGAATTTTGCACTGTATTGAAGTAAAATGTTCCAAATTAGCGATTCCTCATAACCTTTCTTAACTGGCTTGTTATGATACAATAGTACTCCTCTTTTTAGTTTCATTTCTGAAAAAAAAAGTCTTTGAGCGCTGACACTTCTTTTATCTGTTAAACAGTTTATAGCACATCATACACTTCTTTAGCTGATATTATTTCTGGTAACAATATAACGATTTACATGAGACGGCAAATTAAAAATTGTTCAGCTATTTATAAAAGACAGCAACGTCTGCAGTATTTTCTACATCCAAGAGATGTGACTATAAGCAAGAAATCTTTTTAAGAAGAGCACGCACACAAAATACAGATTCAGGACATGATATAGACAATAAGAGAATGGCATTGAATACGCATCAATCACTCTAGCAGGAATACTGCTCAATTAGATAGCATCGAACGTGTAGCATCCCAAAACAGTACAGCAGGTCAAAGCGACAGTACGATCTCGTCGAAAGAATCAATCATACACTCGGTTGCCTCTTTTTCAGGCACACGCAAGGAAACTCAGCTTTGCTCTTTTTTTTTTTCTTTCTTCGACATAATATAAAAAGTATAGAATGGATAATTCGGCATCACCGATTCCACTGGACGTGGCAAAAGCTATAAATATGAAACTATAATTATACGCTGTAACAAAGCACCTTTGCTTGAATAAGTGAAAGGCGTAGGCACCAAAAAGCAAAGACTAATGGTTAAACACTGCCTCTTTTTTTTCTGGTGCGACGATTGGCTGTCAGACAGTGTGAGAAAAGGAGGAGGGGGAGAGAGTGATCCTGCCTTCTTTTTTTCCGTTTAAAAACCTTGCTTCCATGGAAACAAACGCTCCCTCACGTTTCACCCTTTGTAATAACGACCAATGTTGCAACAAGTTCAACTTTATTGATGTTGCCACGGTGCATTCCGTTGTGGATGGCCCGGATCCTCGCGATCACTATGCCAATGAACGAAACTTGCTGACCTGGTTGCGTACTGGCATGGTACTTGTATCAATAGGTAAAGTCAATTCAATTTACTTCTCCACACAACAACCCCCACATGATTATACACTCGTCGTGGAGAAGCAACACTCTAGTTAGACAGTTCGCACAACACAGAGAGACACCCATGCTCATATGTATGTAAACGGTGTGAAGGCTTTATGACGCTGTTGGACCTGCCAACCAAAGTATTCGCACCCTCTAATTCAATACCTTGGACAGACGATCCAGCATCGATCCAAGTTCAGGTTGTGTCGTACATTTTCGTGGCACTTGGGCTTGCGAGTATATGGCAGAGCTAACCTTGCCTGGTCTCTTTACGGAAAGAGATACACACTCACTTACGTCAACAACAATGGGCTAACAGCAAATAAAATCCATGCATAATTGATATAAACAGTGATAGATCAACGAAAAAAAAAATCAACATGCTGTTGTGGCTAGAAACCATATAAATGGTACAATATGACAAGGATCTCATCTACCCGTGCAGTAATTACAACAGACATCTCTTTCTTCTACACAGTAGTATGTAGCCACCACTATCACATACGTATGATGAGAAAGGAACAAGGAACAAGTCGAGTGATTACATTTAAACTCATAAAGGTGGATCAGTTGGGTGATGATTGACGATAAAGATGTTGAGGGATTGAGTAGAGGTCAACGAATAGTCATGACAGGAAGTGGGTTAAAGCGATGCAAGCGAAATCTGAAAATTGACCTACAAGTCGCTTCAATATGCACACTGCCACGAAAAAAATATCTCTCAACGAATTGGATGCGGTGACAGTTGGCAGTGGAGTTCCAACTGCGCGCGTGCTTTCCGGGCTATCACCGGGTTGACATCGTGCTTCTACTTTTCCAAGTAGGAGTGGGGAGCTGAAAGTTCTATAGTTGAATGATCAGTTTCTTTTCCCAATTTTTACAAAAAAAAAGAAAATGACAATAATATAGCATCTAGAGCAAGTCCAGCTTTTACTCGCTAAATTCTCCCAATTAATTTATTTTTTGGGCGAGTCCAACTTTTTGCAAGCCGGGGACCAGCTATTGCTAGAGGACTCACCTACCATTTCGTTCGGCGGGCTTCTTTTTCGCCAATGAGATTTTCCATGTGGCCAACGACGTTTTGATTTGGCCAACAGCATTTTATTTCGCTAATGGCCCCTTTTTTCGCTAACGGCATTTTCACTTGGTCAACGGCCCCCTTTTTTCACTAACGGCGTTACTAATTTGCTTGCAGCAATTTATTTCGTCAACGGCATCGTCACTTGGGCAACGGTACCTCATTTGGCTTACAGCATTATTGTTTCGCCCATGTTACTGTCGCTTGGCTAGCAGCATTTTTAACCATTAGTCTTTGCTTTTTGGTGCCTACGCCTTTCACTTATTCAAGCAAAGGTGCTTTGTTACAGCGTATAATTATAGTTTCATATTTATAGCTTTTGCCACGTCCAGTGGAATCGGTGATGCCGAATTATCCATTCTATACTTTTTATATTATGTCGAAGAAAGAAAAAAAAAAGAGCAAAGCTGAGTTTCCTTGCGTGTGCCTGAAAAAGAGGCAACCGAGTGTATGATTGATTCTTTCGACGAGATCGTACTGTCGCTTTGACCTGCTGTACTGTTTTGGGATGCTACACGTTCGATGCTATCTAATTGAGCAGTATTCCTGCTAGAGTGATTGATGCGTATTCAATGCCATTCTCTTATTGTCTATATCATGTCCTGAATCTGTATTTTGTGTGCGTGCTCTTCTTAAAAAGATTTCTTGCTTATAGTCACATCTCTTGGATGTAGAAAATACTGCAGACGTTGCTGTCTTTTATAAATAGCTGAACAATTTTTAATTTGCCGTCTCATGTAAATCGTTATATTGTTACCAGAAATAATATCAGCTAAAGAAGTGTATGATGTGCTATAAACTGTTTAACAGATAAAAGAAGTGTCAGCGCTCAAAGACTTTTTTTCTCAGAAATGAAACTAAAAAGAGGAGTACTATTGTATCATAACAAGCCAGTTAAGAAAGATTATGAGGAATCGCTAATTTGGATTCTTATTGGAACATTTTACTTCAATACAGGGCAAAGTTCTGTACTTTTGCTACAGTGCTGCATATCTTCCGGTGGATTATCTTGGTCGGGTGTGAGGTTGTTCGTTGCAGATGAATTTTCCTTTTCCATTCTTGTCGACTCGACTGGATCGTTGAAATCCGCTCTGGTTTCACCATTGTGTTTTTCTTCTTTTCTGTCTTCTTGCTTCGTTCCTTCAATGGGCTTTACAATGGGCACGATATGCTGACCACCATTTTTTCGTCTCTGGTCCTTCGATGCGTCACCACTCCTAGATAGCTTTGAAAATTTTGGCTTGGCGTCGCTTTCGTCGTGATAGTCAACATCACAGGCCACATCATCATCATCAATCCAGTCAAGTTTGTACCGTTTCTCAAAAGCCGTTCGGTCAAAGACGCCCTGCCAAGATTCGATATATTGGAGAGCTTGTGCAAGATGTTCAAGCAAGACCATTTTAGGATGGTTACCGTCTTCATCAACAGCAGCAGCGCCGAATGTAGGATACTTCCCCTGGACCGTCTTTGCTACTAGACTTGCCGTGTAAAACAATTGGGGAAGACATCTGGACCAAGGTGCGACGCTTTCGCATATCAGAGTATCTCCTTTTTCGAATCTGCGCTGTTCTGTCGCAGGAGACAAGTGCTCCAACAAAGGCGCCTTGAACTTCTCGCCTTGGTAGTCAATGGTAAATAACTATTCTTGTACCGTGTATATATAATCGATCAGGTCACTGACGCGATACCATTTCAGCTCCGAACTGACAATGGTATCTTCTATTGACCAGCTCGTATACATAAGTTGCAGGTGGTTAGCAACGAAAGTTGATTAATGGCGGCTTAAAATCGCACTGAATATGTACGTATGAGGAGGAGGCTAAGGGTACTGTAGTTGTAGTTGAGTAAGTTAAGTAAAGAAAGAAGTGGGAGTAGCCTATAATGTTGATAGGTAATCAGATGTCAAGGGAACATTTATATAAATTTACATACAGTAGTACAGCTTTGGGCATACAGGCAGCAGTATATCACATTGTCTTCATTGTGTTGATTTCCCACTAATAAGTGAGCTATGTTGCGATCCCATTGTGTTTCATCCTTAAAAATCGACAAACGCAATCTTTGTCCATATCGTATTTTCGATCTGCAGCTTTTGATAACGTATATATGTTGCATAATTTTGGATTTAAAAATTTCGAAAGATACACACTTTGCTTCAATATAGCGAACGTTCTCATTATTGACTGTACTACTGTAACCCACATACATATATAATACAACAATTACGTACATATACACATGAATGGAGCACCATCACATACCCAAGTATGCTAGCAATTCTGTATCAACACTACTTAACTTTGGCTGTCCCGGTATCTGTTGATTCATTGCTACATAGGGTAGTAAAAAGTGATCGGCGTGTTACAACCAACAGTTTACAAAGCCCGTGCCAGAAGTTGGATAGAAGCTTTATGTTGGTGCAGATCACAGGTATGCATGAACTGGGCGATACAGGCTTACTGACGTTAACAAAACCTATCGGATAACTACGCCATAGCGCTTTTCGAGAGCCCTTATAGTTTAACTTGCTCTACGGACGAGTATATTTACTTTTGCAAAAAAATAGCTCGGGCGTCATTGTTCGAGATGAACAAGGTCTTTGGAACGGGAATAATAAGAGTGTAACAAAAAGCTTAACGTACTTAAAGTATATACAATACTGAAAGAAATGACAACGAAGAACAGAATACTTGCGCCCAGGCAATTGTACTTAGGTGGTTTGTTTGTTAGATATGCTATGGAATCACTTTTCTGATAATAGAGGAGTTATGCATATACATGTATATGCTAGGAACATATTATATTTGCAATTATACTTTATTGGATTTTATATGTATGGTTCCCAACCTATTTATGTATATAACATATACAGACGGTAAACAATGTTAGTCATCATAAGGTCAATAGATCAGAAACAGATGGGAGACGTGTATCTATACTTTACCGACAAACATTTGACTCAGGTTCGCGTTGGAGGAGGCTGAGGCGATGAGTCTCTTGACTTCATGGTTGACGGAGCGGCCGTTGAAAATCTTGTTGTCTATTCTTCTTAGGTGTTCGCGGGTGACCTCCTAATTATTTTGTAGAAGGGAATTTTTGGTTAAAGAAGTTTGGTTTCACCACCCCTCTCCTGGTACTGTTTACTGATATAATTAATGATATTACTATACCTTAGCCCTTCCGGGAGCCTTCTTTTGCCAGTCCGCGAGAGGATCATGACCCAATGTCTCAAATACTGATATGAGTTGGGTCTTGTTTTTTCTCATCACGTCTAGTCTCTTGACTTCTTCATGAATGGAGCGGCCGTTGTAAATCTTGTTATCGATTCTTTTGAAATGTTCGCGGGTGACCTCCTAATTATTTTGTAGAAGGGAATTTTTGGTTAAGGCTCGATCGTGAGTAATCAATAGCACAGTCATCATCATCTTTGACACACACCATGTACACTCTTGCTTCTCTCCTCCTTTAAAGCAGTAACCGGGCGAGGCCGAGGAGGAGACGGCTATAGAAATGAAAGAAAGCAAGAGATTTGATCGTGAGTCGTCGTGATAATTCTTGACAGACATGCACACTACCACACGCACGGCCATGCGATGGATCCCGTTTCCCAAGAGTTATACGTACAGTTGGTGACGAGGAGGAGAAGGAGAGGGAGAAAGAAGCGGAAGATAAGAGTCCATAGAACTATGGATGGGTGGGAACGCGTACCTTTTTATATAAGATTCGTTGTGAATAATTGGAACAATCGATTAGATTCTTTGGCAATTGCGTGATTCGTCTGTTGTCCAATAGCCAAACGAGCGCATATGCGATGAGGTCAACATTAAGAAAGAGCACAATGCATGTTTCAGTCAACAGTGCGGCAGAGAAACGATCGTTTTTCATTGACCATTCTACATTATTAGCTATAGTGTCGTCGTTTATAATTCGAGGATTGTATCAATATTGGCATCATTCTATAGCCACGGCTCTGCTCTACATGAATATTTCTTTGCTGAATGACGAACATAGTCAGTTTATTTGAAAAGGAAGGAAGAAGAGGGCATTGTCGCAACTGAGTTTCAGACTCGATTGTTGGAGAAACAAGTTTTAGACACGGTGTAGGGGAACCTGGCATCGTCTTTTTAAGACTAGGCAAGTTCCAAAGCAATATTCCGCCGCAATTATCGTCGTAACTGTACATGATATTAGTATCATGTTAAAGCTAAAGACCTGCCCTTTCTTTTGATAACCTATTGCTAATGTGTCATGAATGGATAAAGAATGAACGGGAAGGAGTAAAGAGTTCGTACAGGACTCGTGGGAAGGCAAGTTCCCGATGCATGAATTTTCTGCAATTGCTTCCGCTGCACACAAGTACGGGAAAACATTGACGCGTTTGTAGTATAGAAAATGATCGTGCTATTTTGTGCGCTGTAGCATTCAAGCCAAAATTAATGAGAGTGTTATCCTCCCAGTAAGGAGGATAAAGGTACCCGACGAAGGGTTATGGTGTCGCATCAAAAGTTGAGAGGCTAAATCAATATGAAGTCACTGCGCTCAATTTAATAGTAACACTGCTCAAAAGAAAGAGTGTGTAGCAATTTGAGGTATACTACGCTAATATTTCCCTGGGACAAAAAGACTTTATATAAGCTTAGTTGTATGTCATGGTTGTTGAGGGACCAACCCTAAGCTTTTGCCTCTCAATGTGACACTTGATTATATAGACGTGGAATATCATGCGTAAAAAAGGTACATCTCGGATTTTGCGTATGACTATTGCAATTGCGCTACCGTCGACAGTGACGATAATGAAGTCCACCAAGTCATCGCTGAAAGATCAATTCTCTGACGCGTTCGTTCTGTGTGATTAGTTTTAAAGTTATAAAAGCTAGTTGATGTGGACGTTTTTTCCAAGTACAGCAAGTTGGAATTTTTAATTTTTGTCCATGTGGGTCTTAAGCTCAACCAAATTGTTAAGACTTCTCTCCAAATACCCACTAGATATTCACAAAATTGTACGCAGGTTGAAAAGCTTTTAATTTCATGCAAATAAGGTCGCATTATAAATTATTAATGCCCCCTATACGAATTCGAGATAAATTATTGCAGCTTGCAAACTGTCTGCACTATAGCGACTATAAGCTGCACCTTATATGGTTTTCAGTGATATCATGAGCATGGCTGAAAAAAGAACAAGGTGAAATTGCTTCGATAGATTTGTTTGTTGAACAATAAAATATAGCAAGCCAGATGAGAAGTGCCGTTGTTGCGCTGTTGTTGTTTGTCGCAATGAGTTTATCTTGCTATACAAAGCATGGACTGCATGAATATAGCACATTACCTTTGAAAATACATATGTTGACTTCAAATATGAGAAATACACAAAAAGACTGCCTAATGCATATGTATCATGCCCTGATGCTCAAACTATCGCCTCGATAAGAAATATGAACATTATGCTACAAAACTTGTAAGTCAGAAATAGCCGAGGTATTTCTGTTCGCAATCTTTCGGTCCATAGTTGTTATCGGGATCAGGTCGCTATCCGCTTAACTGTTGTCATGGTGACATGCGCACCATGGTAACGTACGTGTATATTCAGGTTCCCCACATCTCTTTATGGAAATTCTTAATTCACAACCCACACCGCTTTCGCGCTTGAACCTGATTTTCTTTTCCGTCCCGCTCTAACAATACAACCCAAATGTCGACAAATATCCCACCACGTCCATCAACTACGTCGACAATGTATAGCGAGCAACGTATGGCTCGTGCGAAAAGCATTCTAGAAAGAAACCTCAACAAAACCCGAGGCACTGAGGTATGCTATTTCAGTAGACTGCATCACTGTGTGCTTCAAAAATAAAATCAGCTAACGACAAGTCATTAAGGTCAGTTTAAGTGCACAGACTTTCTTGTTTTCTGAGATGCTTCAGTATACACAAAAACGAGTCAACGGAATTCAAGATTTGGAACGCAAGTAAGTTGGTAGCTGTGGCAGTCTGTTCTGTGTAGTAGTAATTCGATAACTGAATCTTTTATCGGTAAAGGCTCAACGAGTTTGGATACCGCGTCGGCACACGAATGCTCGAACTGCTTGTTTGGCGCGAGAAAAGCGCAAAGCGAGAAACACGAGTACTGGGAGTACTATATTTCATCCATAGCGTTGTATGGAAGGCATTATTTGGAAAACAGGCTGATTCATTGGAGAAGAGTACCGAGAACGAAGACGAATGTATGTATTGGATGCTCAAATTTTTAAATGTTTTAAGGATACTAATCAACCTGGGTTTAGATATGATTTCCGATAACGATCCCATTCTCAGTCGATATATCTCTGTTCCCAAAGAGTTGTCACAACTGAACTGCAATGCATTTGTTGCTGGTATCGTCGAAGCAGTGTTGGACGGATGTCAATTTGTAAGTGGTTTATGTACACATACACTCCTATATTGTGTATGTTTAAGCAGGAACTAGTCGAGTATGGTCATCTCATTTTGCATACTCTTTCCAGCCTTCCAGAGTCACGGCACACACTGTCCCAATCGATGGATTTCCGCAACGAACAACAGTATTAATCAAATTAGACAAAGAAGTGTTGCAGCGCGAAGAGCTATTAAAGTAGACTACATTTATTTTTTGCCCTTGCCCTTTTTTGCCGTTTTATCTTCTATGACGATCAATCGCTTTGGAACACCTTTGTTGGACAAAATGGTAGAGACATTCTTGATCTGGGGACCTTGTACCATGATTTCCTGTACAGGATTTTTCGGGCTCGAACCAGCCAGTGGATTATCTACAATAATGATCGTTAGTTATCGTTCCATAAGCAATTAATGCACAACTGGATGCTCTCAACTACGTACGCGTTGCACTGCTAGCACACAGCTTTGTCAGCTCTTTGCACAAGTCAACAACGTCAAGATCAAAGCGCTCCACGCCCACCAGTTTTGTCATTGTCTTGCGCCCCTGCCGTATTTCTTGTGTGACCTGGATGGGAGTAGGGGTGCCTTTACGCAGTACAGGTTCCTTGCCAGGCAAAGTGACATAATGAAATGGCTGCATCTTTTCGCGCAATCTACGGCGCACGTTTCATTTTGTGAATTCTCTCTGTAGGTTTTAGTGCCTATTCCCGCATTCAACTTTTACCTATCGACAATAACTTCACGCGTAAGTTCTTCCTTATTTTCATTGTTTTTAAGAATTGCATCCTTCAAGATAGCATCGAGCAGAACCATCCTAAACATATTTCAAGCTATTAAAACAAACACAGGGACTGCTAGCTTTCAAGGGAGAGAAAGATATCTGGAACTTACTTTTGATTTCGAGGGTTTGAGAGATTGTTTTCCTTGACATATTGCATCACGGCGTTTCGAATCTCTATAGATGTATATAATTCCTCCTTGCTTAGTTTTGCCGCTTCAAAGAAGACGTGCACAGGGCTTCCATGCGGCCTGAATACATCTTCCACGTTAATTTGGCCCTCCCTCGCAGAAGAGGGTGTGCTGTGGTTTGGTGATTTGGCAGTGGTGCTGTTATTTGTGGTATTGGCAGTGGTTTTCTGCTGCTGTTGCTGTTGTTGCTGTGTTGCCGAACTTGTTCCCACTGTCTTGTATGAATCGAGACCCTGGAAGCTAATAGAGATAGTATTAAGTCGCGATCATCTTACAGCCAGTTATTTTACTATAGTACCTTTCATGCATCCAGTTCACTGAAGTGACCATCATCTCACCCCGCTGCTCCTTCACTTTCAAGAGCTTGGTTTTTTCCATGGCCTTCAAAAACTTTTGCACCTTTTTCCAGCTCGAACCTTTGATATCGGCATCAGATCCTCGTCCGCGGGGTCTACAAGGTAAAATGTACGTCGAGTACAATGTTGATGCCGAGATGGGTAAATGACTTTGTGAATTTTCTGACGTAATCTTGAATTTGAGCGCTTGCAATAAGGCTGCATGCAGGACACTATCGACCTCTGTAGATATAATAAAAAATGAGGGAGCGATTAATCACAAACCCACTCATTCATTTGATGAAAATATACTGTTTGGCCTTACCCTTCACTGGCAACTGTGGTTTCGCCTCCTCTTGCTCGTCGTGCTCTTTTGGCTCAGATGTTTCATCTACAGGCACAGTTTTTGCATCATCCTTGATTTGTAGTTCATTTGGCTTGCTTTCTCCGCCATCGTCTTCCACGTATTCATCATCACCATCGTCCGATATATCAACTGTTTCAGGCGGGTCGGATTTATCACCCATAGCCCACAAGTGGTCGCGATACACATGAATGAGATGTACAGCCTTTCCTTTCATGCCGGAACGAACGCGTATCTCGCTTGTTGGTAAAGCCATTGTTCCTACAGCTAATGGATAGCTGTATACATTTTTTAGTGGATCTGATATTTGCAACTAACGCTAACGCATATAAAAAAACCAACAACGTACGGATATCCTTTGATAGTAATTGCCACCAGATCACCTTTTCCCAGATCGGGAAGCTTCCCTTCAGGTCCAAGCACCAATCCAGGAATCATCAAATCTAAGATACACAAACAGCTAAAACGTCAATTTTCTTGAAGAGAAACGCAGAGTTTACACAAGTTCTTATTCAAATTACCTGCTCCCTCTGTCAGTCTATGAATAACCGGGCCCCAGGTATACAACAGTGGTAAAGTATCAGGATGTTGCCAAAGCGTGTAAACTTTAGATAGTCCAATGTTTAGCGTATTCCTGCAAATGAAAAAGTAACGATCGCGTTTGCAATTTTACCTGTAGGCACGACAGGTTGCTTGAGACCCTCGAGTTTCATCCATAATGGTTTTCCATCGGCAACGTAAAGCACACCATTCTCGTTAATGTGTGACCGAAACTTTGCAGACTGCAACGGATCGGGCATAAGTGGCGATGCACCTTCTTGTGTGCACCTTTCCTTCAAGTGCGGAAAGGCTTCATAAGCTTCGTTCTGGAACCGTCGTCGATCGGAGGATCGTAACGGGCTGAATGATTTGACTGTCGAAGGTGGCTTTTTGAACATTTTGATATGGTACAAAAGGAAAAGATCGAGAAAGAGCAACGGCGGCGGCCTTGCTGGTATATATGCGCAACGCTTTACCAAGTGACTTTGTGTAATCGCATATACAAACTCAACAAATGTCATGATATCATAGTAACAATTTACATATCAACTTGCCAGACAGTAAAGATGGCAGAAATATCGCGTCAAAAGTAGAATATTAGCTTTAGTCGTTATAAGCATGTTGTATGTAAGGCTCCTAACCGTGTTTGCTGATGATATTTGAGAGAATGAAATCAATATACGGGTATTCTATACATACATGAAGAATAAATACATTGTGGCAAGCCTGATCAGCGGGACGGTCGGTGAACAAAGGCACTTCAGTAATCTTGCAAGGTTGCCATACGGTAACATGCAATAAACCAGATATGCCATATTCATGATAAGGTTATACGTACCTGATTTTATAGCAAATTATTTTATATTCTGTAAACAACGGATAGCTAACAGCAGAATGCCTGACTTCGAGCTCCTCAAACATGTACTTTAGAGCACTTGCTCGGTCAACCAACTTTACTATACATGCACAGGACTTTTCGATGCAGTACAAATACTTGTGATGAAGTTTCAAGGATATAGTTGTTTGTACCTACTAACGATGAAGATGAGGGCTCCAAACAGATTTCTGGTCCAAAAAGTCCGTTGCTGTACATTTTTACAGACGCGTTTTCGTTTTTTTTTTTTCAAAAAAGCGCGATCTTTTTTATTATACCATGAAAACTTCCCAATTCGTCTCTACCACTGTGGAGCATTTTCCTGAAAACGGCATATGTCATAATGTAGCATATGAAAAGCAGAAAACAGACAAGGATTATACGATCGAACCACGAATAGCGCTGCACTTGTGCAAAGATCTGTTAATTCATGCACAACTGGCTGAAAACAACACCACGCTTGAACTGCGGCCACATACTTTGACGGATTCTTTACAAACAACATTGCCTGTCAAGATCGTTTACTCTTCTCCGATTGTTTCTACCATTGTATTGAATGACGATGGCGACAATGCTTTATACTGCTGGCTGATTTCTCAGGACAACCAAATCATTCGACATCGATTCGCGTTAAACACGCTCTTTACAGACGAATCGGCCGAGCCTCAAGTTATCGTGCGACGATTGACAAACAAATACATTTCACTTTCGGCAACTCCACACGGATTGGCAACAGTATCCTTCAGCGACGGTTCTATTGTTCACTATCAGGAAGATAAACCTCCTTCCTCCTCGTATGAGCTGGATATTGTAGACAAAGGTAAGAAGCAAACACATGTATGAGAGATAATTTGTGGGCTGGTATGCGAGAGACTTGCTAAATTACCTAAACTCTATTTATTGAAAAGATCCAAAGCTTTGCTCATACATGATGCATGGATCGACAAGTTTCCCATTACTGAAATATCTCAACATTGCAACGCGTCGCCTATTAAACTGGAACATCGACGTAGAAGGATCCAGCACTCAGGCACGCACCACAGTATTAGCATCATCACCTAAGGCTGATATAATAGCTGGAGTACGAAGAGATCATAGAATAGTCACATGGACATGGGCGAATGGCGGATTGGACCGAACCTTACTGGAGTTGCCACAGTTTAACAACAATGGCAAGTTGGTTGATCCAGAAGATCAGGACATGACTTACCAACTACCAGGCAGTTTTACACCCAAGCACCTGGCAAAGAAGGGAGAATTTCAGCAAAAAGATGATCACTCGTACGATGTAAAGATACTATCACAAAGTGATGACACCAAGAGCCACAAGGCAATTGCCTACGTCGATACACAGAGCGAACCATTCTTTGCACTATATGATGTCAAGGAATCCAACGTGGCAGTACTATCGAATGTGATCATGACACCAAGGCACCTTGCAGGAGAGTTTCTCGGATTTGACGCTTCGCTAGAAAAGAAGAACAAACTTCGATTATGGACAATCTGGCAAGAAGCAAAAACGGTGTTCGTCATGTCCTCCACCATCGAGCTCGTCGCGGGCGACCAGGCTCCACATATTAGCCGACCAAATTGGACAACGGACTCATTCAGCTCAACAACAAATCACCGTGCTACAATCGCAACATATATTGTGGATAAAAAGGATCTTTTGGTTGGTATATCAAACGAATTACGAACTGTGCGTCACCTTGATAAGCTGGAGGATGTGTATTTTCACCATGGAGAAGCAACAGCTGGTGACAATGACGACGATCGGGTTGCCAAAGCTCTGGCGACACTTAGTAGTATGTTGATCAGCATTTATCCGCATGCGCGATCAAATCTGGAAACAGCCTTGCGTGACAGCTTTTCCAAACCGTACAATGCGGCCAACTTTTACAAAACACACTTCGAAAGCAACCAAGCACTTAATGTCCTGACAACATTTCCTGAAATTGACAAGCCGACAGCAGCATCTCTTGTCCAGTTAATAAACGAAAATCAACCTGATTTCCAGCATACCCGTGCAGGAAAAACGACAAGCGCATTAGTAATTGAAGCCGTTGCCAACATTATCACCAATCGATACGATCTGTTTTTCAGCTTATTCCTGGTCTTGTGTGGAGACAAAGCCTTTCAATCCGAAGCGTCAACAACTTGGGAACTGTTACGTAATTTGGACTCACTACGATGGATGCCACGGCATGTATTTGAACGCCTGGTTGAACCAATAGTCGTTCCAACAGACGCACGCTTGGACATCGGTTCTGCAGCATACTATGCATTATCGAAAACAGGCGACGTGATTGAAAACTGTGATGCGTTGGCTAAAACTGGTGAGGCCGGTGTAGCTTTGGATATGGCACGGATATTCCTGGACATGGAAGGTGGCGATGGACAAGGCGAAAAGGCTGAGATGCTTCGAGCTGTCAAATTTCGCAGCTCGCTTGCCAGTCAAGATTTCGATAACGCAATCAGTATTCTCTCGCGAATGACCGAAGATAATGAAAAAGACACCCTGATTGAATGTTTACTTGATGCAGCATACAATGAGGAAAAGTATCAAGTTATTAGCAAGCTGTCATTACGCCCTACAATAGTGGGAAAGATCATTCGTGATCGTGCCAACAAGCAACAATCACCAATATCCAAAAGATTAAGCTGGTGGCAAGTTGGATACTCGTATTTTACATTTGCGAAGGATGATGAATCAGGTTTGTAAATATTATCTACTTCATCATGACAACGATAGCTAAAAGTAAATTGTGGTGTTTTCTTTTTATAGCAAAAGAATGTATGCGGGAACATTTAAAACTGGTTGGATCCACGGATGAATTGTTGAAACAGTTCTTTGCCTAATTAGTTGTATAAAGATTTAGCTTGTATACCTTAAACTAGCATCGATAATAAATATGAAAAATATGCACATAATCACTGATGGGGTTGATCCTTCTTTTATCCTTGAAAAAGTATAAATTATGTACCAGTTTTAATCTTTCCTTTGGCTGATAAAGCCGTTCTTATATGTAGAAATAGTTATGGTTGTAATCTAACAATTTACAAATTAAATTATTGGACAAGGGGTTTATTGATTCTTGGAACAGGTGGGCTGTCGTGGTCCGTTTGGATACTGCGCAGCAGATCTTCTGCCATGACAGCCACTGATTCGCTTCGTTGTAAACGGCGATCCCGTGTTGTACCTCGCTCGCCACGTCGCTTCGTGCCAGTATCCAAGTCACCAGCTCGCAGTCGATCCAATAAATTGTCCATGATGTTCTTCTCTTCGTCTGCTCCAGCAGAATTTGGTTCCACGCTCGTATCGACACCACGATGACGCTGTGTCTTGATACGTTCGCGGCGTTCCGCATCCATACGGCGGGCACGCTCCATTTGCTCCAATTTCTTTTTAGCTGTCTTATTATCACTCATGGCACGCTAATACAGACCTCCAATAAGTCAAACGGTTCTTTGTTTTTTTTTCAAAAAAAATAAAAATAGAAAAGATCATACCTCCCAACTGGATGTGAATGTCTTGAATATGCCAAAGAAGGCGTCAGGTTTCATCTCGGTCGGATTTTCGCCATAGAAGCTTACAGCATCCTTGTATGCCACATCCATGGATGTGTATCGAACCTCGAGCTCTTCAAACTTGCCCAATGCCGTATCTCTGAAATCAGTCATAATTTCGGCAAAATTATCCCCTTCAGGAGCTTCATAATCTGGACCATAATGTGTCTCTAACTCTTCCATCAGCTTTTGCAGACCGCTTCGTAACTCGTTGTACTCTTTGACAACATCCTGTAAGGTCACTTTTTTGAAAGGAAATGCGGTTAGCAAATATAAGATAGTGCAGTTTTGATATGCAAAAAAGAAGGAAATACGAATAGCATACCACGACATGCTTGACCAGTTTCTTTGAGATCGTCCAAAAAACGATGAAGACGAGGGAACTTGGATTCCACTGTATCTACCAAAAAATGCAGCAAGGTGGTACCTCCTTCAGTTCCCTTGGTATCTACAAGCTAATTGTTTCTCTCAGGTGGTTAGTTGAAAATTGTATTGCGCCATCTGCTATGCACCCAAGATTTATACCTTATTGATACTAGCAATGCGAATACCGAATGCACCTCCTTGGAAGGTGGTGCCATTCATGTAGTTTCCGAGTGTCAAGATAAGCTACATAACTGCGGATTAAAAATATGTAAGTTATACAGATCTGTTATGCTGTATTACCTTGAGCAACTCCTTGAACGATTTAGAATCTTTAACCGCAGTAGAAGCCTCGAGAACAGATGTCATATTCTTTTTTTATATGTGATGTTAATACTTCATGCTTATGAAATCAGATAGTTTGGGCCTTTGCTTTGATCCATACCTTACTAAGCTGCTGGTGCTTTTCGAAGAAGGTCTTTCTGAATAACATGTTGTCAACACGCTCCTTGTATCGATCAATTTTCATAACCTAGAAGAACAATACCATATCATTCAGCAAATCGATTACAATCCTATTTATAAGATCAATCATGCTTCGCTTTTACCTCATATGAAAAGGTATCTGGTTTGGACAGCTGTGCAAGATCTTCTTCAGACGCACTCTTGACGAAAACGGATAGTTTACCCATTTCATCGAATGTTGGTACATTTTCTTGTAAGCTCTTCAAGAGATTTTCCGTGAAAATAGGGTCTTCCACTGCGTATATCTTCTTTACAACGGTAGGGAAAGGAACATGTTTGAGTTTTGCCAAAATTGAAATGTCTAGTAAAAAAATTGCAACGGGTTAATCAAAGTACAAGAGGCCAACTCATTCAATCTTAGCATTCAAGGCACTTACTGATGCTGTTGATTTTTTTAGGGTCAAGAATGAAAATTTCTTGCTTTTTGGCCTCCATGGCTCGTCGTTTGCGTTCGATCTGTTTTTGAGCAAACAGTTCCTGGATAGAGTCAAAGACACCAAGCTCGTTCATTTCGTCTTCCAGAGCATCCTCGTCAACATCTTCATCACCCCAAATGGTCTTTCCAACAACCTGGTTATGCATTTTGGTCCACTGAAGAGCACGCGTCTTGACATCTGGATAATAACGCATGATTTTTCGCATTGGTGCACCTGGTGGCGGAGGAGCAGCTGGACCACCATTTCCAGGAGGCGGTGGCGGTGGAGGAGGAGGCGGTGGTCCACCTGCTTGTCCACTCTGAGGAGCTCCTGATGTTGGTGGCGGTGGTGGAGGCACTGGTATTGAGCTTCCTGGAGGAGGAGGTGGTGGTGGCGGGGGCGGAGGCGGTGGTGGAGGTCCGCCTGCTTGTCCACTTTGAGGAGCTCCTGATGTTGGTGGCTGTGGTGAAGACACTGGTATTGAGCTCCCCGCAGGAGGAGGAGGAGGTGGTGGCGGCGGGGGTATACTTGGATCTGAATGTGGTTGATGCTTTGTTGTGGCAGTTGCTGTGCTAGAAGGTTGTGTATGTGCTCCTCCTACTGGTGGAGGTGGTGGTGGTGGTGGAGGAGGAGGAGGAGGCACATCTGCAGCATTTGTTGTTGCTATCGAGCTGCTTCGCTCATTTGCTTTGAGTGCTATTTCGGCAGCTGTCGATACAGTCGTTGGAGGAGCAGTTGACATTGGTAACGTCATTGGTGGAGCAGGTGGTGGCGGTGGCGGGTGCGGAGCATCATCGACTGCAGTCGTTGTAGTTTGTAATCCAGTAGCTACACTAGCACCACTTATTGCTTGTGTGCTGATGTTATATAACTGCTCTTTGTTAGTAGATATGGATGCTGCTAGTTGCGATGCAGATGGTGTCGTGCTATCTTCCTCTTTTGTAGGCAGTGATGAAGCCACCGACTTGACATCAGGAGCTTCCTTGATAACGTTCTCTGCTTCGACCTTCTTTCGCAGCTGATGTTCCAGGTCCGCTGCCATAGATTTGATGGGATGGCGACTGCGACGCTCAGAAGCGTCATTCGTTTTGTAATAATCAAATCCTTTGAGCTGCTCTATGTTCATTGTTTCACCGACAGTGGGCCTGCTTTCAGCATTTGAACCAGTGGTATCTTCCAAAGTATACAAATCTATACCAGGAGCTGTACTTGCTCCTCGCCGACGAGTCGATCCAATCAATGGCAAAGTCCCCGGAATAACAAATCCAGTTGGAGCGCTGGAACCGAGCTGATCACCAAGTGAAAGCTTGAAGCTTTCGGACAAGCCTTCGGCCTTGGGTATATTCTAAATTGTAATATGTTAATATTGGTACCACCCAGTAGGATTGGAGAAATTATAGCCACATACCTGATTTTCAGATTCTTTTTCTAGTATAGCTTGTGCACGTAATCTATCATAGATTGTGCCCTTTGGTGCCTCCCCATCACGACTCTCTTCTGACTGCCCGTATGGACTATTGACAATGGCTGCTGTTTGATACATTTCGCGCAATTGTTTGTCCATAATTGTGAGGTTCTTGTCATAATCTTGTTGCAAGGCTTTCACCTTGGCCTGAAGTGTTGAAATTGTTTTTCGTGACATGCGCAGCAAATCCTCTAGTGAATTGGTCTTTTCCCGTAGCTGTCCCACCAATCCATCTATTTCCGAAATTCAAAATGTTAGCCGAGCAGCCCAACAGTCCACAGTGATTGTTCACAGCGATTACTTGCCTCCTTGTAAATTGATTTCTAACTCTAACTCTTGTTTTTCTTTGATCGCCTGTTCGAACTTCGCCTTTGCATCCTTTGCTTCGGCAATCGCAACAGCCAACTGATCTTGTTCAGCAAATTTGTCAATAAGTGACGCAACAGACCAGCCAAATCCACCAGAAAAGTCCTCCGCTGTTAATCCTTTACGATCCAGGACAATTTGTGTGATCATGTTGTCTAGTAATTGATAATATCGTACTCTAAAAACGAATTGCAAAAATTTAGTAAATGGGGATACTTGTCATCATAATAATGGTTACTCACTGGACGTCTCTTTGGTCATTGATGAGCAACAAATGTTGCAGTGCACTTAGCAAAAAATCGTATCCGCGAGTTCCTTCGACTCGACTCAGGATTGATTCAAACACATCGCGCGGATCGTTCATGTCGCTTAGAATGTTGTCGTTTTGAATTTCAATAACAACCTCATAGTCATTGTCGCTCATTTGTTTATAGATACTAATATGTCGTCGCAGATGCTCGCTATTGAACTCCAGCATTCTGTCGGTGATAGCTTGTAGACCACAGGCATTCATCTGATTTCGGAGATGGACACGGACCTCAACATCCTCCACAACACTGATAAGGGAATTGACTAACATCATATTTGACAGCTATATGTTAAAGAAGCGGTAACATCCTGTCAGCAACCTCTACGTTTAAGATTATTATTGGAAAATAAGAACTTACCGCATAATCACTCAAATGACTATCAGGCGCACCTTGACCACCAAGTCTCCGTACATCCTCACTTGCACCGACAAGACTGCCCATCCGACCTCTTCCGTCCAATGTTGCATCCAAGAGTTTAAACCATGCGTCGAACCGACCGAATTCCCGACGATATTCACGCAACTTGTCCATTCCTTTCAAGACCGTTTCTTGACCTTTCGGAAGGTCGACGTGACACAGGAATGCAAGAACTTCACAGACAAGCTTACGGGTCTGGATGGGAGGCGATACTAGCGACAGGACAATCTGATAAATGCACTCTGGATGGGATACCGCTTCCCTTGCACCCCACTAATAATATCATTTATAAGTTATTCTGCTCTCATATAATTTATCTCCATCCAACTAACCCGATTGTTGATCAAGGACTTGAAGCACTTTAGAATCTCGGCTTCCATTTGTAAATCTTCTTCGGTTCTAGCAAAGCATAGTATCAACTAAGTGAGCGCTCTGCATAATAGCTGATTGCGATATACCATTGTGTATGCTACGTACTTTGTCTCCCGTCTATTTAGAATACCAATCACATTCGTAATAACTTGTAAACCTCTCGCTTCGATAAATTGGCGGACCCAGCTAATTAGGATGGTGTCAGTTACTGTACATATCAACAATTGTGTCAATCTGTATCGATTGGAGAACTTCGATCATACCTTAGCGGCATTGTCCGTAAACTGACAGCCAGATGTGCCACGAGTCTTGGCGTAACTCCTTGCATATCCGGTGCTAAAAACTGCTTAATGTAGAATTCAGGTGTACTTTTGTCTGGTTCGCGCGAATCATTTGTACTTTTCTTGCTGGACGCTGAGACAGATGCTGCTGGCAGCATTGTTTCAGCATGCTTGTCTTGCGATACCATGAGCCACTTTTTGTCTGTTGGGAAAGAAAGCATAGCAGATCGAGAGGCAGGATCATGAATACCTCGTCGCGTCTTCAAACAGTAAAAGTTGGAGAGCATGATTGTTTCAGCAAGCAAATAACGGCTCAGTAATCTTCTCTGCTGTCACTGCCTTGTTCTACTTACCAGCATTTTATCGAAAAGATCTTCCACTTGTCTTTCCGTGTATCCATCATATTTGCTCCCTTGCTCGTCACCTCCTCCTGCGGTGGAAATGGAGTTGGCTCTAGACGATCGCGAACTGGCTACCGACAAAGTATCTACCCACGTTTGCAGCAAGAAACGAAGTAACCACAAAATAAGGTAAATCTTTCCTGCTCTCAATGAGTACTTTCGGTTTGATGAAGTCCTATACTACCTTGGTAGTAGCTGTCTAGCGTGTAGCCGGTAGATTGGTCCACTGATGATGTTGACCAAGATTGCTGGGTGGTGCTGGAATGGCCACTGCTGTGGCGCGGTATTGCGGGTGATGGAGGCACATCAGCACCCGCTTGAACATTGCGACGTTGCTTAGATTTGGGCTTGATCCCAAACATTGTCGTCTAAAGTAAAAAACCCAAAACCCTTCGTTTTCAACAAGGCTTTTTTCTTGTGGAGCAGGAACGCTTATTTCAGGGACATTAAGCGGCGCTAAAATACACCAAGTACGTGTGTAACACGACGCATTTCTCCTTTCTTGGTGCATGTCATTACCATTTGTACGATATTGAAATCGTATCACTTTTGTTCCTTCGATATATTGCATCTGCGTTATCTTTTGAAAGTACAAACTGATTGATCCCAAAACATTGAAGTTTATTACACTCACGCGACTGCTATATGAACGATTTCATGCAACTGCCAAAGGGACTATTGGCTTATAATGACAGCCGATGCCAAAATTTGTTGCTAATTACCAAGAATCCTTTTCTGTTACACTTGTTGGTAGGGATCCCGCTAAACATAGGCGTTCTTTTCTTTTCTATTGCTAAGCTACGATATTCTTGTTGCTTTACCGGATGGTACAGCAATTTATAAATAGTAGTAGTAACAACTTTGAAAATAAAGGGTGTGTGCGAGATCAACAATATGCAGTGCGCAAGTATGCGACGCTAAAGAAAATTCAAAACTGATCGAGCCCTTATCCGGGTGCGAGGATTTTCTGGATCAGCCTATTTCCGCTCTCATACGCGCCTGAGTCCGCTTACAATCCCATATTTGCATAACAACTAGCAACCGACCGAAAGGAGAGCAGCAGCTGTAGCTCGGTGGTAATCATGACTATAAATTAAAATACATGTTATTAATGGAAAGCTCATCCTCTGCTATCTATCACTAAGATTGTTTTCAGGGACAATTACCACGTATAGGTCAGTCATAGCTCCAACATAAGACAAATTATTACTCCTTTTTCTTTTTGTAAATATGTACCTGGCCTGCTTAAACTTGCGGGCGTCCTTTTTCCGGAGAAAAAGGCCTAGGCAAATCGTACAGTATTACGTATTGTAATATTATATAAATAGAGCATCGTCAAGCTCAAGAAGACAGAGTCTGTAGGCTTTCACCAACAACGACCCCAACTGTGAAAACACTATTATGTAAAACACTATTGGTATGTAGTAGTTCGTAGAGTTTCTACAAGCAAGTTTATTTTTCAACTAATAGAAGCTTGACTTCAAACACACCGAGCTTTTTGCTGAAAGTGTATTCTTTGACGAACACTGGGAGACAATGGAAAATTAGGTATCTAGGAGGAAAGGTTCCATAGGTAATATAGCGAGGGAAACACTTTCTCAAGAGTCTATCCGCAACGTGTGCTGCGAAGACATGGGCAGATGTAGAAAACGAATCTTGTGGCATGGTTGCTCGAAGGTAAATATATACAGCTACCGACTTGTAGCATGTATTTGTTGAGCAACATAGTGTATGTTAATTAAGGGCATGCAGGATCCGTCATCTTTGCGTTGTTCAAATATCCCCTCCTCACTCGAGATACTCCAAATTTACTAACCACTTAACGCACCTTTAGGTATGTACATCGACCAAGTTGCTTGCATTTGTGGCAAAATTTGATCTGATTGCACCAGGAGCGTTCACGGTAACATTGATGTCAAATGGAGCCAGCATCATACGCAGCGTATCCATCAGAAAATGTACCGCGGCTTTGGGCATATAAAAGATGCCTCCCCAAGGAGCCGATGCATAGGCAGACACCAAACCGATAGTAGCAATTTTACCGGGTCCTCGCTTGGCCATATGCTTAGCCACTGTACGGCTCACTGCAAAAACATTGACATCCAAGCATTTGCGTGCAGTTTCCACTGCAACATCCAATAACGTGCTTATAACAGACACATTAATTTTTTATTAAATGTCAACTATTACAATATATTGGCTTTCCGCAATGATTTGGATACTTCATCCAGCAAATCCCACATGGATTCTTCAGCCATATACTCGTCATATCGCTGGCTCATCGGCTTCCACTCTTCGTCCAGCTTCGGTGGATATTGAAAATTAGGGCCGAAATTGCAAGTTACCATGCCACCCTTGTAGACGCTCACAGCAGGATAGTAGCCGAGCGTGCCGTCATCGTCTATGGGTGGGTCTTGAGACCACTGCTGATGTCGGACCCCACTTTCAAACTCTTCTTCGTTTTCTGTTCGCAATCGAGGTGTATCTTCACCTTTCTTTTGTTTCTTCCGCTTTTTCGTCCGCCGAGCTGTCACAGTTTCTGGTAATCGCCCAAAGTCTTCATAATCAAACAGATCTGTAAACATTTCGCCTTGGCACACACCGTTTTTGAATACAACGATAGAGGATCCTGGTATAATTTTCGGTTGATAGTCGAGATCGGAAGGTTTGTTGTACGGATCTGCAAGAGCTTCCATCTCTTTGCTCGCACGGAAATCCTTCTCTTCAAACCACAAATGCTCCTTGAAAACAATAGGAATTCGCTTCCGTGCAGGGCTTTTGAATGCCGTGTTTTGTTTGTGCGGTAATCGGATATAGAGGCCAATGACATCGCCTGTTTCAAACGATTCACCAAACTTTTGTGCGCGTGAACAAAACATTTTTTCACCGGTTCGGTCGCGGTATCCATATCCATACGCATCGTATCCCACTGGCGCATTCAGACAAGCTGCATCATAGTCATTATTGATGGTGAGTATGCGAAAAGCAACGTAGTATATAAAAAACTTAGTATTTCTTCACACACGCACTTGAACGCATATGGATTTACCTTCACGTCTAACCCAACCAATGCGGACATGAGGACCATCCGCGTTTTTGCTTCCTTGTGCGTTCTGTACAACCGCCTCCCAATACCAGTTTCCTTCCTTGACCCCGACATTGGCACGGCACATCCGAAAGCCCTTTTCCGTAGCGACCGTCAATCCATCCTTGGCAACTGAGACGTAAGGACTCTTGTCTGTAATACTGATACAACACCCTTGATCGTCATTGTCAGTTTGTTGGTAAGCCACATGTGGGAGCACAGAGGCTCTGCACGGGATATATTTGAAGCCGAAGCGATTGAAAGGATGATCGGTAATTGTTGAAGAGGAGCTGGGGAATGCGGATGCCAATGTGTTGCTAGGTATTATGGGTGAATTTCCACGTGGTGATGGTGTTGTCGTAGGTGTCGTTGACCGTCGTCGGATGTCCGTGCGCGGTGCAGCTCGAGCAGGTGTGACCGGATCGCCATCAGATTTTCGTTTCTCTTTGGATACTCGAGGAGTTGATACAGGCGCTTTACCACTAGCCTATAACATTCAAACATTGTTACTCGACAATTTTGCATTCTTTTGTCTTTGGTATTTTGGTCCTCCGTCCCTATCTATGTTTTCACTCCTTACCTGTGTTGTACTAGGTCGGAAATGCCATAAATTGGCATCAGCGAGACAAAAATCAGATGCAGCTGATCGCTGTCGCTCGTCTCGGGCCGTGAACGTTTCTTTGGATGAATAAAGACAGCTACCAAGGGTTGCCCACCTGGGAAAATTTGATAAAAGAAAAATAAGAAGCTGCATACCATTACACTTATTGCACACATATCTATAACCCACCCTATCTTGGTTCGCCTTCCTTACCAAGTTGGTGTACGTGCTCGCTCGGTGCATATACTTTTCCAATGCTTATCGACATATGGAATAATTTCCTTTTTGTTGAAAAAAAACTGTTCCGGATTCCACTGCAACATTAGCGCCGCATTCTTACTTTCGAAAAGCTCTTTGTCATTGGTGCCGACACGATACAGAATCTGCTCTAAAATTAAGTTTGCAATAGTCGTCGAGCAAATATCTTTCCAACCAGCAGTTGTTCGTTCGAATGTCTCACTGTTATTGTTGCAATTGGCGCACGCAAACACGTAATTGGTTGTAAAGAGTAGATCCGGCGGATCGCTGACAGACGTACATTCGGCGTGAAACCAATTTCTGCAGTCTGAGCATATACGGTAATAGTGTTAAACATGCCGCCCTTTTTTTGTGAGTAATGTGCACACACAAAGAACAAAAAATTGAAAAGACGCGAACAACTCACATCGGCACTGGAGAGAGATCTCCAGCAGATTTCTGTCTTGTCCACAATAACAGTATTGATGTTCAAGATTCACCGTGTATGTATCGTTCCATGTCAAGCTCATTTTGCTTCTCTGTTTCAGTAGATCACTGATCTTATGCCACTGTCTAGGTTGCTGAACCAGGTCGCCGTTGTAATAAGGCACAAGAATGCAGGCGAGCACTTCAAACCACATTTGAATTATCAAAAGAACTCCGCTATCACTGTATGCCACGTTATGATACTCCTCGTGGTTATTTTAAACTGCAAAGAGCAGCTCGCGAAATAGGAGGAAAGCACTTGCAGTATATCCTTCAAGGATGTATCTCCAGCTAGCAACGACACTTCTTGTGGTTAATTTCGAGCTCTAAGAGAAAAACATAGTATGAGATCGCTTGCGCTATAAAATGTGCAACACGGTATGCTGAACGACAAAAGTATACACATGTCAAACAAATCAAAAAAATGAAACCCGCTGGGTATAAAGGATAGTCATGCGACCATGTCTTTTTTTCATTAGTGCTTTGACAAACCACAAAACGTCGTTCATTCGATACTTATCATGTGCTTTCTAACGAAGCAGACACCAATGAATAGCATAGAACGTGTTTCAGTGATTAAAGATTTCGAGACCTCACGAATAAATGGCCAAACAATGCAAGAAGTACAACAAAGGTTCTGGACCGGAATTTAAAATCAGCGCGTACTGTCTGTTTATTTGGGAGAATTTTGAGTTTATTTTCTTTTGTTTATCTTTTTTTAATCTTTACGCACAATGCTTTTACGAACATGCCAACGATCAATACCTAGAGGAATCGCTCGGACTTTTTACTCCAGCCGAGTGATTCTCAACAACGACAGTCAATCGTCATTGACTCGCTCGGGGCTTATGCGATTGCGCAAAGTTCAGCTCGAAGACATGGCACGACAACAAAAATTGAGCACGGGCGGTACGAAATCCGATATTGTCGAACGTCTGTTGCAACACCCTCAGGCCGAGGAAACCGTGGAGCGACGCATTCATGCTGTTCTGGCGGAGCAAGCTAGCAAAGAAAAGGGACAACCGGGAAGCAAGCAAACATTGCTGGATAGCTTATCCGAAGATGTCAACGACCACGTTGAAACGCAGCCTGGCAGGAGCAGTAGCAACAGCGATGATGCTAATGCAGAAGCACAACACCGACAACATGAAAAAGAAGACGTTGCAAAAAAGTTGGAGGCCGAACGATGGGTAGAAGCTTTCGAACTCAAGCTTGGCAACAGTCGTGTACGACAATCGCCTAAACAGCCCAGTATGTTCTCCTCGACATTAAGACCGTCACGACCACCGCGATCTGATGAAGCATCGCAACAGCAGCAGGCTGCTGATATTAAGACAAACGATATCAAAAATGATGATACACCTATACCGGAAGATGTGGACAAGGCGTGGGTCAAGGCATTTGAACAAAAGACGACTAATCGGGACTTGCGCCAGCGGATGTCAGGAAGAGACACGTTCAAGGCGACATTGGATTCGATAGAACCAAATGTATCGGATCTGATCCAGCCAACCACGACCAAGGCAAAAGAAGGACATCCCGATAAGCCCCACGATCAATTGCAAAAATCGGTGGGAATCGGTGAGCGTGAAAACATTAGTAGTACTGATAGTGGTAGTGGCTCTTCTCGTAATTTCATGATCAACTCACTTGTTGGCTCGGGACTTTTGATATGGATTGTAAGCGGGCAAGACGGATTCTCGAAAATCGCTGCTACATTCTTGACGACCTCCTCCTCTTGAAATAAAGAATTAGCATGTAAATAGTTATCATTTTATTCAAATTCTAGAGGCTCCAGATGGCCCTTTTCTATTAAAAACTTGTAATAAATATCATCCATCATTCTATACACGCGCATTAAATATGCATGTCGTTTCATGGGTATCGCTCAGGAACAATCTTGCGAAGGATGCCTGGTTTATATACATCAAAGTGAATAGGTGTGTAGAAAGAACCCCATGGAAAAACAGATAAATTGATAGTTACCATCTACAATAAATGATGTCAACCCCCATATTTCGCCTTCGCCTTCGATATGCTCGGGGACTTTGAAAACGGGATACTTTTGCTTGGTCCCTCGAAACCCTCGAATCTCTCTGATATCTTTACGGACAAGGTAGTCTATCGGCAAAGTAAACACGGTCGATACCTCGTCCTTGTTAAATGGCAACGCATTAAGATCCAATGGGTTCCGCACCATGCCCAGAAAGGGATGTACGCGTATCGATCCGTCGTAGTTGGGTAGCGGAGAGTAGCTACCAAGAACATCAATTGATGATGGTTGTATCCCAACCTCTTCGAACGTTTCCCTTAAGGCTGTGTACTCTAGCGATTCGTCCTGGGGATCTGTTGTTTACGAGCAGCAGTTGGTCAGTTTGCTTTCTGCTGTTGCCAATTGATACGTGCTGTGATAATAGTTTATACCTGCCTTGCCACCGGGGAAACTAATTAGAAGAGTTAGAACGGCCAGTGTTCGTCGATAAATATATTCATATATGCAAGTACAGAGTACAAGTATACAATACCTTATTTCACCTCGATGGCTTCTCAAGTTGAGATTGCGAACCGTGAATAAAACACTTGGTTGACCATCGACATTACAAAGTGGCATGAGCACGGCCGCATCACGAACGTTGCTCTTGTATTTGAATTTGTATTGTGGACAGTTGAGTAAGCGTCGACTGAAGAGGGACAGCGTTGTTGTATCGAAACTAAGTGCAGTACGAGCTGCTGACATAATGTGTATTTGTTGGTGGTCTGTACTTATAAGGTGCGGTGTATCAGAGGTGCTTGGCACTTAATTTCAATTTACTATGGCGTTGGGTCACTTGTGACAGTGTCTGGAGGTTCCACAATTAGCAACCGGATTACAAATGCATTTAGCACCGTATTTGTTGGAACTCTAATGACAGCTCGAAAATGCGCGTATTTAAGTGCTGGGCACTGATAATAAGACATGATAGAGAACATCTGGTACGTTTAAAATATACGGGTGCTTTGCTGGATTATTCAAATGACGTGGACCCAAGGACTATGTTGCCATCTCTCCTTTACTATTATTTTATTATACTAAACTTTATCATATCGGTGAGAAAGCTAATCTGTGGGTGGGGGTTGGGTTAGTTTACTGTTTCTCAAATAGCAATAATGGTAGGTCGTCGGCCTACTGCCTGAGCCAGAATTCTCGAATCGGAACAAGAAGTAATTATCCAACATTCAAAGATATGTAGAGAGCTCGCCGAACTGCACCTCATACTGTAATACTGGGAGTAATATTACACTTGTAAGCCTGCGGATACAAGCGTAAATCTGTAATATAGACCTTGACCGCCACATTTCCATTCTTTCCTCCTTGTCTGGAAACAACTCTTCGTCTACACTATCCTGGCGACGCTTCCTACTCAAGTATTACAGTGGTGACATGTCTGGAATAGGTGCTGTCGCTCTTGGACTTGTCTATTGTAATTTTTGCCGTTCCAGGCACTCAATGTTGTCGCCAATATAACTCCTGACCTTGTTGATCGCACGTTGTCGAGGCATTTTCTGATCTCTTGTTACGAGTCAATGACTTGTTGCGAATGTGGATGATTTTTTTTGAGCTTTTCAAGCTTTTTCGCCACTAATAGATGGTCACGTAATACTCAGGAGCATCAGCTCCACAGTTTGATTATGCAGCTGTGGTCTAGCATAGTGGTAGATGCGGCCGGTGAGAACATGAAAAGCCAAGTGCATACAAAGGTGCATTGATTTTACATGCCAAGTTATCATGGACAGTCGCAGTACCGGATGGCACGAACCATAAACTTGCATGTTATACGCTTTTAATTCTCGATAATAACAGATGGCAGATAGTTCAAAATGTCGCGGCAGGAGACGTAAAGAACTTTTGCAAAATGCACCATTAGTTAATTCGGTTGATCCGGCAGTGTATGCGTCTTCTGGAGCGTTGACTATGCGATGCGTCAACATATTGATATTGCAGGCGTCCGTGAGCAACCATCTTGCTGAGTGAATCAGACCTGAAAGGTTAGTCATGTACAATGGTATAATGGTCGGTGTTTCGATCATCTTCATCACTGAGTGAATGTTTGCTTTTTGCTGTTGACAGATTGGTTTATATTGCGTCCTCGGGAAGTAAAAGAGGTGAATTTGCGTATCCGCGCCCTGTAGTAGACCAGTACGTACTCGTCGTACTAGTATAACCCAAATTTGGGAAGCTGTTGAAAACAAAGCACTCAATTAGGTTCCCGGTTTGCTTCAATAATAAACTTTGTCTTTTGTTTTTGCATCGGCTCGGCACTTTACCTTTCTTTTTCTTTTTTATTATTTCTCTGTATATAACGCAATCCATAAAAATTATCTCCTTTGATGGATTTCTATCTGTTTCGACCGTATCAAAAGCGAAGAGTTACGCATACGACGAATCAGGCCTTACGAAAGTGTTGTGGGTGTATCCATTTACGAGTGGGTAGCGCGATAGCATGTGTAATTTGGGTCGTAAGTTTCAAAATACATATAAAAGTAAAGTGTAGTAGACGTTTAGCATACTTACTATGGTTCATTAATCAAATAAAAGGGCCTGTCGTTATATTTTGCAATCATTTCGTTCCAAGACAGTAGCCGTAAGTTGCCTGCTAATCACCAAATGCTCGGACAAACGAGACAAGAAGCTAATGCAACAGCGCCCTCAACACAATTGTTACTATTGCGCATATAGCATTCTTTTCACGCTTAGCACACGCTCCTCTGATCGTTTTCGGAGTGGCGAACCTGCTGTTCGCAATAGTGGCCTTACTGGCATTGGGTGCGCTATATCGGGTAAGTAAACTTGACGTAAAACACTATGAAGAGAAAGTATTCATGGTCATTGATTGCATAAGTCATCGAATCACATTTGATAGGATTTACTGGGTTATATCCGCACAGCGCAGCACGCAATTGTTATATGCATATTCATAGTTTTAGTAGACGGCTTCATTAATACTATTTTGTTCATCACACAACGAGGTGACTATATTAACTGGTGTATCTCTGGCGGGTCGCGCGATTTCCAACCAGTTATTGGTGATACCTCGAGTCCGATCAGTGTGGAACGCGATTTCTACAACTGCAGCAGGACCTGGGAAGATGAACTTAAATTCGGCCTGCTGTCGATCTTTATGATGATTGGCTTCTATGTAAACAATAATCCTCTCTCCCCTTTCTGTTTCTTCTCTCTCGATTTTCCCACTCTACCAGTAAACAACTGATACATCTACTTGATATAGGTATACTGGGCAATGTGTTTCCGATCCTACCGCATCAAGAAGGCCATCATCTTGTCCAGCATGGTAGGCGCACCGGTTGATCATGTGGCTCTTCCATCGAGAACGGGAGCAGGAGGCCCTCAACCGCCACTGGGACCACCACATCCATCAAGGATGCCACATGGAGGAGTTGGTGGAGGCATGCCGATGCAAAGAATGGGTCCAAACGGCCGACCTAATATTATCGTTTTGAATAACTCAAAACCATCGTGCAAAGAAACGAGTAGCAAAACGCCTTCTCCTCCACCCTATGGTTCCTGATAGAATCTTCAATAATATAAAAATGTGATAACAGGTCACCCGATCTTATGTACACTGTATATACCCAAATAAAACTTCGACTCATACGCTTGCTGGGTTCTCCCACTTGCAGTCTTTGTGTTCCGTATAAGTGTGTTACACACTACCTATAATTATAATGAAAGTTGCATTTGGGTCTATTTGTTCTTCTTCTCAATTTCTCTCTCCTGCTCCTCTTTCCTCTACGCACCACCAGTACCACCTCCCGGCCAATCCCGGCGAGCCACCATATCTCATTTTGATCACCATTTATCATGTCTTCTTCAGCACCGCCGTATCATCATCATCATCATAATCATCTACTGCACCGACAGACGTTCCACCATTTTCCTCCTTCTCCATCGTCGTCGGACAAACCAAGCAGTGGCGGCTCAAAGCACTACAGTAACAAACGCCATACTTCCCAGCTCGAGCGACTCCTCTCGCGTGCCCCACCACAGGCCAATTTTAACGTCAACTATGATACCTACACTATTTTGATACCTAACTATACATTCGGTAAGCCAACATTGCTTCCAGGATCCGGCGGACTCATGGCCATTGCCATTGGCAAACGGTTCGTACAAACTAGGCAGACTTTGCTTATATACGTTTCCGCTGTTACTAAAACACGTTTGTCTACTTTCTCTTATTGAAATATTATATAATGAAGGCTAAGTGACGGTCTCCCGGTTCTTGTAAAGCTTTCACCATACGCTATTCGACTCGAACGCGAATACTACATTGCTCGACGACTGTATACCCAACCCGATGGCAAACGGTACATTCCTCAGGTGGTTGAATTGCAATCGCTTCCTCAAGACGGACTTACAGCCCTTATTTATGCCGACAAGGGCGCCTCAGAAGACTTGACGTACGCCGAACAACGATACTTTTCTCATTACCGACTATGGGTGACTTCGCCAACAACTGACGACATGAATAAGCAGTTGAAGGAGGAAGTGTCAACAGAAAGTGAAGAAGAAGCAACAACGACGACGACGGATGGAGCTCACAGCGAAAGCAATATCGACGACAACAGCGACAAGTGTAATAATGGCTCTTCGTCATCGCCACTTCTCGATATTGAAACGTTTTTAAACTTCGCTGTCGAGTGCTGTTCTTGCTTACAGCTGCTGCATGCTAACGGAATCATCCATGGCGAGCTCAGACCGTCTGCATTTCACTGGCACAAGAATAGTTCGATGACAGTGAAGATCTGGAACTTTGGCGCAGGGCTAAAGTCATTCGAGGATATTTTGCTAACAAGCTCAGGCTGGCGTCGTGCAGTGATGGCTGCGGCGGCGCATGACGACCTCTTGGATGATCCAACCATTGTGGACCCACTGAGTGCTTCGTTTACGAGATCTTCCCCTCGTGGATTTCAAAACGCACTGGCCTATGTTAGCCCAGTAAGTTACACTTTCTGTATGAATGATGAGAGTGTGAGAGAGACCAGAGTATTTTCGGTCGCAGAAAGGTTATTCGACTCACATTGTTACTAAAAAATGTTAAAAATGTGAAAAATAGGAACAAACGGGCCGGACATCTAATGTTCTAGATCATAGAACCGACCTGTATTCACTGGGTATCATGTTCTTTGTAATACTCACTGGGTCCCCACCCTTTGATGGATCTCCGATGTCCGTCATCCAAGCAGCCTTGTCCCAAAATGTACCCTTAGTGCACACCATTCGGCCAGACGTTCCACCTGTTGTCAGCCTTATCATTGATAAGTTAACGCGAAAGGTACAGATATATCTTCATTGCATTGGACATATAGTTAAAAGATTGATAACACTGTTCTCATTTTCTGTTGTTTGTTCGGGATAGGCTGTGGATGAACGATACAACAGTGCATATGGTGTACGGGAAGATCTAATCGAATGTCTTCGACGTTTCAAGAGAGGAGGATGTGAGGTAAATCATGGCTACTGATAGTACGGTGGGAGGAGGTTTATTTTCATCCAAACGGCGGTGTAATAGAAGAACACGGCGAGATGCTCAGTATTGTATCTGGTTTTGCCGCGGAAAAGCAGTCTCTTGTCTTTTTTCCTTTAGGCCTACATGACATCAATTCAGTATTCCAGTTTCCAAACAGCATGTATGGCAGAGATCAAGAAATTGAGCTTTTACGCGCTGCAACTCGCCGATCTGCAAATGATAACAACCATGTACAGCAGCAACGCTATGACGATGAAGATGACGAAGATAGCTCTCCCACACGCATGGCTTCGCCCTCAGATAGAGCTGCTTGTGAGGTTGTAGTGATCACCGGACCAGGAGGCATAGGTATGAGCTTAATTTTTGGGATTCATGTGGGAAAAGTAAAAGTAAGAGTTCCCAGAATTTTTCGGACAGATATGTTAAAGATTGTGCAAATCACAAGGAAAATCGACTCTTGTATCTTCAATCCACAATTATGCACGGCAATATGGTTACCTTGGTTCATCAAAGTTCGATTCCAATCAAAAACGACCCTACAATGGCCTTTTGCGTTGCTTATCCTCGATCTTGCGCCAGCTTTTAACCGAGCCTGAGGCTGTTATCCATGATTTCTATGAAGATTTAAAGAGACGGCTCGGCCCCCATTTCAGTAATGTCCGTTTGATGGTAGATATGGTGCCTGAATTGAAGCCCATCCTTAGTGACCATGGACGGAATACCATTTACGATGACATGCTACCGAATATCAGTACCGAATCAAGATTCCATGCTGTAAGTGATAAAGTTGTTATGGTACTTTCAGCGGCAAACGTGCTTACATGCATGTGGTTCATTGATAGGTATTTCTAAATGTGATCAAGACCATAATGCGCAAAAAGACGATCACACTGGTGAGTAGCTTGTATTCCATTCGATGACTATCCCACCAGCTGATATACATAAACCACATGGCTAACTCTTCACTTTAATTTGTTGTCTATTGTATCATAGTGTCTAGATGATCTACATGAAGCAGGTGAATACTTTTCATCGTTTAGAGTGTTCTACAATAGATTTTTTTTTCGTTGCTCTCTTGTTTCTGTCGTTACTTTATATACTAACACAGTGAGGAAAACTAACAACATTAGATGAACCATCGCTCCATTTGATATCCAACCTAATTTCCGCCCGTATCAAAATGCTTATTGTTCTTACATGTCGTGATAAGATTCCCGACTGCATCCAAGAAGAAATCGACCCAGAGGACAACCCAGACGCACGAGTGACATCTATTAGGCTTACCCCACTTGCTGCAGACGCCATCCTTCAACTTGTCAGTCAGACGCTACACCAAACGCCCGAAGCCGTGCAGCAGTTAGCAGATATTGTGTTTCAACGAACGCACGGGAACCCATTCTACGCCAAGCAATTGATGCTGATGATGAAACGCAAGGGTGACATTTGGCTCGACTGGGACGAAAAGCAATGGAAGTTTCGGTTAGACAATGCAAACCAAATGCTGTTCCCTCCCGCCCAGCAACAGCAACAACAGAGTGCAACAAGCAGTAGTAGCAGCAGTAGTAATAAAGATAGTATTGGCGGTGGTACAGGTGGTGGCGGCTCCATGATAGACGGGGTACTTGACGTCCGCTACTTGGTCTCCCATCTCAGAGATCTAGATCATCACACACAAGCGTTCCTAATGTGGGCTAGTCTCATTGGCAGTGTCTTCGATTTTCGACAAATCAAATGGCTGATGATGGCCACAGACCTCGTATCCAGTCTAGAGGATTCATGCAGTGACCTTAGCGACAATGTCAGCATTGTCAGCGGTGATGCAGCAGACTTTGTGGATGCGCTGGAACACGCGCCAACGGACGCATATCATACACCACCGGCTAATGACGACCACAAGCTACGGGATAGCCAAGCGATGGCCGGACTGCAGACTGCTTTGCAAGAAGGCATTATCCAGCCTAAAGTAGGCAACAATGAATACCAGTTCTGCCACGACCGGTACTGCCAAGCCTCATCAATGCTTGTAGACGACAAGGACCGCGAAAAGATGCATTTACGGATCGGGCAAATGCTTATGATCGATAATGACAGCTCAGACGTGTTCTTGACAGCCGATCATTTTGTTAAAAGCGCTGATTTGATCAAACGATTCCGCGCGAGGGCCAAGTATCGTCATATACTTGTCAAGGCAGGCGAAGAAGCACTCAATTCCGGCGCGCTGCAGATCGCGCGGATCTACTATGAATGTGCAATGTCTTTGTTGGCTCTGAATCCTTGGGATGAAGAAAGCATGCCAGATGTGTCGTACCGAGAGACACTCGACTTGCACATGCGGATGGCGGAGCTGGATTGGTGGAGCAACAAGCGTGAAGAAGCCAATGCGCTTTTGGACACGATCATGGCTCATACGCAAGGTCGACCTGTAGAACGTGCACAGGCGTGGCGCGTACAAGCGCGCATGTACTTTCAATTGCAACAAAACGATCGTGGAATAGAAGCGATTATTGATGCGTTACGCGAGTTGGGCATGGATGATATACGCTCGCAACTGCATTCGCCAATGGCCCTTCCTGCTGACCATGAAACGTGCGCAGCCGAGGCGTATCCGCTGTACAGCAAAGTGAAGAAGCGCATCCTCGAGATTGGCTTTGATAGGCTAATTGCGATGGAGCGTTGTCGAGACCGACGAATACTGGCAATTATGACGCTGTTGAACGAAGCATGCACAGGTGCAATTTGGCTAAGCCCAACTTTGGTGGATACAATTGCTATTAAACTGGTTGAATTGTCACTTGAGCACGGATATGGTGTGACCAGTGGGAGCGGCTTTATCTGGCTGGGCTGTACAGCCGCGCGCTTGAAAGAGTATAAGTTTGGTGCCCAGCTTGGTGAACTTGGCTTGCAAATTAGCGAAAAGTATGCCGGTAATCCAGAAATCGCCCAGTCAATCGTGGTTCACTATGGTATGCTGGCACAGTGGTCATCTAATTGCCATTTTCGGGATTGCATTAAACACTTTCAGCGAGCTTACAAATATGCCGTAGCTGGAGGGGATAAGGTAATGCCTACAGTTGATATTTTCTCTATGCATGAACGTTCCCAGGGTTTCGATGTTTATAATCGTTTGATGAAACTCTATAGATATTTTCATCGATGGCGCTATTCCATATATCGACGACGCTCTTTTATACTGGCTGCAACTTGTCCGAGCTGCAAACATATCTGAGTGACATGATTGAGGAGTACGAAGAGGACGACATGAAGAAAGACACAATATTCAACTTGAACGTATCCTTATGGCGCTCTGTGCTGGCACTTCAGGGCAAGACATCCACGGACTCAGGTACGACACTCGACGATCCGAATCAAGACGAAAACGGTTTTACGGAGAGTAGACGCAGCAGAGCTCTCAATCCAAGCAGCCCCTTCCACTGGCATTGGAGCTTGAATATCATAACACTGGTACATTTTGATCGTCATTGTGAAGCAGCTCGGCTAGGCTTCCATCTCTTTGAAACGTCCTTAAACCATCCAGAACATCGTCATATCGGCATTGCTATATTCTATCACAGCATTGCCATGATTGCCTGCATCCGCGATACAAACCTGGATGATGCTACTCGGGAAAACTACCGTGCTCAAGTTGAAAGGAACCAACAGACACTCGATGAATGGGCTACGCAATCCGAGATCAATTATCGAATGTATTACAAGCTCGTGGTAAGTTCCACTTTGTGTTTTGAGCTTGTTTGTCATGAAGCACAAACATGCCATATTGTTTACAAACATTTAATATATTCTGCATTCGTGTTTTATAGGAAGCCGAACTGTCAACACTTGACGGCTCGTGGTCTACGCCCAATTTGTACAACGATGCCATTGAGTTGGGCACTCAGGGTCAATGGCATCCATTCCTTGCGCTTGCATATCAGCTCACGGCCGAGCACTATATACGCAGCAACATGAAAATGCTTGCCCTGCCGATGCTTCAACAATCACTCGAAATATATAATGCATGGGATGCGTGGGGAACGGCCCGCCATTTGTCGGAGAAGCACAGCAGCATTCTAGATAAGCAAACCATCATAGGCAAACCAGTTGATGCATCCACGCAAACAGCTGACGAGTTACCCAATGACGTTGTACCTGCGATGGAGCAAGGTATTATTTGGGAAGATATTATGCCAGAACCATCTATCCGCGAGTTGTATGGCGAAGAGGAAGCCACGTCGTGTACATCCGAAACGGCCATCCTATCACTCGATATCGTCGACCTGACATCCATTATCAAGAGCTCCCAAGTGATATCGAATGAAATGAACTCATTTGACGAACTGTTAAAGAAAATGATGCAGATCATTATGACAAATTCGGCAGCAGAGTCAGGTGCGATTATTATCAAAGAGGGCAGCTTTGGCATAGCGGCTCACTCGAGTCGTTTAACGGGCTGTGAAACATTTGACCCGCCCAAACTTTTGACTGACGACGGCAAGGACGGAGAAGATCTGATCTCAACGCTCGTTGTACATTACGTAATTCATACACAAACAATCCTATTTATCCCAAATATCATGGAGGACACGCGGTTTGCGACCGGCACATGGTTCGCAAGATCAGGTCCCAAATCCGTCATATGTATGCCGTGTATCCACAAAAACACCTTGGTTGGTGTCCTGTACCTACAGGCGAATCTCAACACGTTTACACACAAACACGTCACTGTACTTCATATCCTGTGTCATCAAATTGGTATATCCATCACAAATGCACTGTTGTTCAAGTCTGTCCAAAAGGCAACTATGGCGAATACACGGATGATAGCAAAGCAGCGAGAAGCCCTGGAAGAAGCGCGATCAAGTCGCGAACAAGCGTTGAAAGCTGCAGAGCTTAAGTCTAATTTTCTTGCAAACATGTGTAAGTAAACGCTTATAATTACTGTGTCTTGAAGAGTACATAATACATTACTGACATCATGTATGCCTTTGTAATTTGTTTTAGCGCACGAACTGCGAACGCCTTTTTCTGGTTTCTATGGCATGATCGAGTTACTAAGCGACACTCGATTGGACCCCGAGCAAAAAGAATTTGTGTTTATTGCCAAGCAGAGCTGTGAGATGCTACTGCAAATAATAGGTAGGAAAATTATTATGAGCTGTGTGATTATGGAAAGAAGTTAACATATTCTCTGTTGCTAGATGATTTACTTGACTTTAGCAAACTTGAAGCACATAAAGTCAAGTTGCATCATGGATTGTTTTATGTGGAGGATCTAATCGAGGATCGCGTTGAATTGCTTATTACATTGGCTTCCAACAAAAACTTGGAGCTGACTTGTTTCACGGATCCGGATGTCCCTCTTATGATTTATGCGGACGGCAATCGAATTGGCCAGTAAGTTTATGTTAAAGCAAGAGCACTGGATTGGAGTAATTCTGTTGCTAAGTGCTATTTATAACATTATGTGATACTAGAATACTTATGAACTTGATCGGTAATGCCATCAAGTTTACGATGCAGGGCGAAGTGGTTGTACGCTGTAGCGTGGAAAAGGAGACGGATCAACTCAGCCCACCTTTAAACGAGGATGAGATAATGCTTAGATTCTCTGTACAAGATACTGGTATCGGAATGACAAAAGAACAAACCAAGAGTCTATTTGTGCCTTTTAGTCAGGTCGATGGCTCGACCACACGGTAAGTTCAGAAGTACCATTTACATTGAAAACGTGGAATATAGTAGGAGACTAATCATATGTTACATATTGTATACTGCAGTAACTTTGGCGGCACCGGACTTGGCCTCTCAATCTGCCTTGAACTCGTTCGTTTGATGGGAGGCGACGTGTGGGTAGAATCAGATATCAATACTGGATCCACATTCTATTTTAGAGTTCGGGTCATGAAATCGTCGTCAGCTGTAGAACCTGGAATAGACTCGGATCGTCGAAGCCGCGAAATTGATCGACTTGCTAAATTATTGGGTCAGCCCAGACTCCTCCTTAGCACATCTCCTCGTCAAGGTGCCATGATACGCTCCTTACTGCCATCTACCGTCACAACGACATGCGTTCCTTCAGTACAGCACGTAATTGAATGTGCGCGTGCTAGTGCTCAACAAGGCGAGCCGTACAACTGCATTCTCATCGACGCACCACCTCATGAAACCTTACGCTGTCTACTCGATGCTACCGAGCAGGATCCAGACCTTCGCAATCTCCAAATTATTGTTATTTATGCGCCAGCCATGGAGAGTATACGCCATCAACTCGCCAGTAACAAATTCATCAAAAATGAAAGTACACGCATCACACGAATTACCAAGCCTATCCGTCGAGCCAAACTTTTCCACACTTTGCTCCAGGTCCTAGGACTTGAAGCCCCTGCAGCAACAGCGTTTACTGCTGCTGAATCAACACCAATGTCACAGACATTGACTTCACGGATACCCACTGCATTAGCTCGACATATTCACGAAAGCATCAGTGGTGATGATATGGGCGACAGCAAAAAGCAACATCCTAAGGAGTACCATCAGCAACAATTGAGCCATCCGCTTGATACTACTGCACCACCAACCCCGATTGCACATAACGAACCTCACGAGATCAAGCCATCCTTTTCAAGTCCATATACCAACCAAGGCTTTACACCCGAAGAGCTGGCTATGTTCAAGGATCAACGGATACTGGTGGCTGAAGATAACTTTGTTGCCCAAAAGCTGATACGAAGACAACTCGAAAAGTTTGGCTTTACTGTTGAGAGCGTCGGTAATGGAGTGAAAGCAGTGGAAGCGTGGTGCAACCATTCAGCGGACTATTACACAATGGCTCTATTTGATCACCATATGCCAACCGTTCGTTATCCCTTTTTTTTCGTTTTTCTTTGATTTTTATATTGGGCTGTAGAGAAGTTTCCAAATCTAACCATACCCAATGATGTAATTTGTATAGTGCGATGGAGTGGAAGCAGCTAAAAAAATACGAAAGATAGAGGCTAGTAGGAAAGGAGATACACGTCTAACAATTCTCGCACTTACAGCTGATATTCAAAAAAGCGCATGTGACAATGCAATAAGGGCGGGTATGGATGGGTAAGCATATACGAGATAAGCAGCCTGATATCACACATGTAGTTGTTACAAATACTAACTTATACGGATGTAGATATCTTACCAAACCTCTGAATCAGACATTACTCATAGAAGTGATTCGTCGATATTGTACAGATATACAAAATTAGTTTGTTGTTTCTTTACAAATCAATTTTCATGTAAATCCTACATATAACATATTATCAACTTGGAGGACCCCTCGAACTTTCCATGAGCACTTCGCTCAACGATGTGCTATTTAATCCAAGACTGTATTATAGATATGCGTGTTATTCATATGCTACGATTTCTCTCCCTCTTGATCCCGTGTATTTTTCGCTCTTGTTACGTACGATTTATGCAAACAATTTCGGTACACTTAAGTCTGATGTTACTTTTAATATCAGATACACTACCGGGAAGACTTTTGCTCTTTAATTTTTTTGATGACGGTCTACAACTATAGTAATGTATTAATGCTTTTTACTGGGCACCAAGTCATCAGAGCCAGAATATGAAGTTCAATTAAGATACAAATGTATACAAATTGCGTATATAACACTCCCGGCCACTACTTGAAAGCTGTTATGATATACAGCAAAACCATGATACATTCAAATATTCATGACTACAGTAAAAGCAACCGATATGTATTACGTCAGTTCAGCTTTAAATAAATACCATTGCATAGGTTACATGATAAAATCACTCTTATTCTCACACATACTCTCTTTTGAATTATTTCACCAGCGATTTGACCATTACCTATGTTGTAAGAGTCATGGGTTCCGATAGCGTCCACTTATTTTTCGGCTTTTTATTTGAAGTTCAAATAGGACGTTACGTTTACATCCACTCAGTTGATTAGCAAATAGGCTAGAAGATACATAATCTTGAGGCTGCGAATCGTCACCAAACATTTTCCGTACAAGCGCTGTACATGTATTATGTGGCACATATTCAAGGACGCATTTGACGACATCGCCTTAAACAGTCTGAAGATGAAGCACCACGAGCACTTCTCATACCAAATGAAAGCAATTCCAATAGACTGGTCATGATTTTTTTTTCATTTCGTCTCAAACCGAAGAGACGACGACTAAGGCGTTAAGATTGAGTTGGTATTCAACCTCTTCCTAATTTCCGTCCCTATCATAGAATACAACTGGTGCTATGCCTTTGGGGCAAGCAGAGGCAGATGCTCGAGTGTTCGAACAAAGAGGCCGGCTTGGTTATGGGACCGTCTTTTGCGGAATGGCGTAATACTCGACATGGTACGTTGACAACATTGGGTACAATGTGATCGTTCCTATGTATATACCGCCAGTCAACCCTCCGCCCATCCCCCAACTAGTTCAGCAACAACAGCAACATGAACAGGAGCATTAGCAAGAGCAGCCGTTTCAACCTCGATCTTCATCACAACGACGTCCACGACGACAGCAACAACAGCTTCTGCTACCGCAGCGTCGACGTTAGCGTTGATATTAATTTAAAGAACCAGCTAAAGCTCAAGAGGCGCCATCCCGTTCACCAACACCTTTTAGAACGCCTCACACGCGCCATAGCCTCAGACTAATGCACTCAAAAAAAACCTTTCTGCTGGCAACTTTATATTTTTTATGATTAAGCATCTTCTCGCACAGTACAATGCCGTCACAGAATTGGAGCAACCAAGAAGATAGAAAAGTGAGATAGAGAGAGAGTGTGTGTGTGTAACGGATGTGACCCAAATCATGCCTATCATCGCACTTACCAGTAAATATCATGATTTACTATTTTCTTCATTGATCTCAAACCATTGATGCAAAAAGGTCTAACCGCTGTACTGCGTCGCTACTGTCTCTCTCCATTGCAAATATCTCATATACGTATGTACATTGTTGTTGTTTTATTAGTCTCGTGCTATTTATATTAAATCAATGTCGTTTGGGATTGCGTACAAGTGTTGAACGCCGTAATCTTTTAGATGGAGGATTATGTTGAGATGGTGGCTGTATAGAAGAGGAAGGTGCAAGGGTATGTCGTCTCATTGCTGTTGTTGTAGTACGTTTTAGGTTTTGTTGTTGCTGTTGTGGATGGCTGTGGTGAAGATGCAGCTGTTGTAACTGTTGTAATCCCGGTGGCAAAGAGGAGGTCGATGAATGCGTGTGCGTTGTGTTAGTGGTACTATTATGCGAACCTTGGTATTGTGGATCCTCGAGTCGTTGTTTTGTACGCTCTGACTGTGAGAGTAGGTTTGTCCATAGATCGAGCAAATGATCTGTTTGATCTACCGTGGCCTCGAAGGCCTATATACAGTTCACGCTCATTTAGTACCAAGATTCTACCATTCTTTCATCATCACTGCAAGTATCGATGCTGTGTTTTCAAGAAGCTTCTAAATACCTCAAAATTACCGCGAGTTTGTTCGAGCTTTTCAGTTAATGCTTGTGCTATTTGATTCAATTTTTGTAACTGTTCATAATCCTTCCTGAGTTGTGCGTTCACTTCGTTTGGAATTGAGGGATTATCGATCGGTGGTTCAGGATCAGACGTGCTGTTACTGCTGTACAAATTGGTGACCCAACGTTGTGATGATGGTAATAAGCTTTCACGAGGCGGTCGTGGTGTTGTTGGTGGTAAATCTTCATTACTCATTTTATATTGTGAAGGGTAATGGTGATGAAAAACGCGTGTGTGACCGTGTGACACAGGAAAACGCTACTCTATTACCTTGTTTGGTACACCGCATAAATTTTATCACAGTCTATCTTTCTGCCTTACACTGCTCAGTGAGGCTATAGGTGGAGGTGTATCCGTTGCCAACGAGTTTACATATATGAGCACCAGTATGCTTGACGCCAACATTTTCAGAGTGTACAAGAGATACTGTAACGCATAATGGATTCCACCCTACGTCATGTGCTAGACTTGAGTGCAAACATTCTATTGGACAAGTTTACTGTTTATATAATATGGCTACTGATGTTGCTGTTTGGTCTATAGTTGACTTTTTTAATTAGAACGTACCGCAGTATCTATTACTGTTGCTGCTCGCTGTATAGCACCTGAAAGTGGGTAAGTCACCAAAGTGCTAAAGTAAGGCATGTTCTGTTCATGGATATGATACATTTAGCTTTATCTCTCTTCCGGTCCCATAATCCGTTCCTCGAGCCCAAAGCGGCAATACATTTCTCGTCCATAGACCTTGCATATTAGTAGCAGGCCAGCGACTGAAAAGCAACTGAGAAAAGTAAGAAACACGGTGACATATCGAATTCCAACCGATTGAATCATGGGCTCTGTCCCAATCATAAGTCGCATGATATAATCATAATCATACAGTTTGCTGCTGCCAATACTGATGAAGATTGCTGGCCAGGTGCGATATCCAGAAAATAACCGGTTACCGATAAAGTTACTTGATTTAAGCCGAACATATGTATCCCATAACCGAGAAGTCCCGTCCAATATGGCATGTTGTTTTCTATACCGCATCCAAAAAGGAGCAGACCAAGAGGCATAACGATCAAGCAACATGGCCAGATATTGAATGTCAAACGGTCTTATATTTTGGTCTCGCCGCCGCGCTTGGCTCTAGAACGCAATAGTAGGCGATGTGATAGGCATACTTGCATCACAGCACCTATAATACTGCCAATTCCCGGGTACAAATTGGAGACACCTGTGGCAGAAAGTTGGACAATTTTAGTATGTATTGTATTCATTCTCAGTAATAAAAGTTCGATAGTGCTTTGCATGTACGAACCTATTTGCCACGCATTCAATCCATACTTCTCATTGAATAAAGTGGGTATAGCTGCCACTGCTACGAACGTAGATGCGTATGCAAATCCATTTGCCAATGAGCATAGAAAGATGTTAGGATTACGGATCAGTAGTAGCGGTCGTATCGGGTTAAACGTATTTCGATTTTTATGTTGCTTCATTTTCGTGTCTGTCTTAGTTTTTGGCATTTTACTGGCCGTTATGCTAGACCCGCTGTCACTGATACTGTTCTTACTGATTTCAATCGAGTCATCCGCAATAGCAGAGCGTGATATATATGTTTTGTCTTGTATGATAGTCGGTTCCACGTTGCCAGTTTTAGGATTATCGTGAGGGTTAAGTCTCTGGTACAAAGAATGAAACGATGACCGAAAATGCACCTCCGATAGCAGCACATAACTAAAACACTGCACGCCAGTTCCAATCTGTGACCAAAAAACCGCCAATTACGGGTCCTACGAATAAAATGGTTATTTTTGCTGCTACTGATCGACCGCTTCAAGCTAGTTTCATTATATGAGCTTACCAATGTTAGGACCAATAATCATTCCCAATACCTATGGGTGGGCCTGCTTTACCGCGCTGTTCAAGAGGGTAAATATCCGTAATGATGCAGCCCGCAATCACGTACGTTGGCGATGCTCTGAACGCCTGAATACATCGAAGTAGAACTAAGCACCATATGTTTCTGGCTATCGCACATCCAATAGATGCAACAGCGAATACAAAGAGTGAGATAATTAGTACGAATCGCCGGCTTAGATACGATTCTGACACGGTTCCCCAGAACAATGGCCCAATGCCCATGAACAAAATAAACAAGGCGGCCCCCAACTTCGTTGATATGATAGAGGCATGTAAATCGTTGCCAATATCTAACATAACTTATATCGCTGTTATTAGTCCCATCACCTTTTTAGATTCCTTTAAAGCTTAAAAAAAGAGTACACCCTACTTGGGTAATAATCGCTCATTGCGAAACCGGGTATCATAGACGCTAGTGCTATTATAGGAAGGATGACGGTATTCTTCAACGTCGAATGGAAACATCGTGGATCGTCATTGATGAACGATTTTTTTGAGGGCCCGTACTTGAGAAAACGCTTGATGTGCGGATTGGCAATTGCTTTCATGACCTTGGTAACGTGTACTCTGTTACTTTGCTTAGCTGTCACTGCATAGTACCATTTTGCTACCTTTAGCTTACTTGAAGGTTCTATCTCACACTGTATGCCAGTTCGCAGCAGAAGAAGCAAGAAAGTACAAAAAACCAGATACTCATTGCATTTAACAACTTGTACCCTTCCGTCATGCAATATTGTAGAAGCCCAAGCAAGGGGGTACATAAATCTTTGCATCTAGTATACATCATATCGCTCTCTCCTGCTCATCTTGCGAACAACTTAATCATTTCTCCGGTTTTTTTATTCAACAAAGGGTTTTTTATATTGTCCCACTACCTCTCTCTGTAACACTACCAATCATGTAAAATTCCGTACCTCAAGGAAGCGGCCCTACGCCTATGGCGTTGGTCAATCCAGTCTTCCATAACTAAAACAATCATTCAATTAAATACTTTTTGTAGCACCTGACAGGTTTACGTATAGCCCTGCTCGCCAATCAACATTACTGCTCTTGTAACCTTAGGATTAAGAAGAGAGTGATACGCACCGCTCTAAACATATCGCAATCAAAACGTTTATACCATGTATAGGTAAGGGACATAAACTCACTAGAAGGTAGCTGTTTGAAAATTCCCGCACATAGTTGCATTAGAGCCCATGGTTTGTGCAGGATATACATTTGCATGTTGCCCCTGCATAATGGCAGCGCCATCCTACAGTTGAGCGGTATAAACGTATTGTTCCTCTGAAGTTTATTATTACACAGCTAACCTTGAAATTGATCGTGCAGTGCGCAATGACTGGGTGGAGGGACTTGTGCTGAGTTGTTGAGATTAGTACGGCTGTGTGTATGTGCTATGTGCATCGATGTCTCAAAACTCCTTTTCCGCCCACGTCGAACACTGTCTGTACTTTGTTACGTTTGTGAGAAATAAAATTGACACTTTTACGACGGCTCTACATACATACGAAACTCGCAATAAGACGAACAAATGAGTTTCGATGAAGGATGCTCATCAGTGTAGGTCAATTGATCTCATTTTCCGTGAAGCTCTTGATACAGCAGCATTTCCTTCCTTGTCAAAAATATGAACTGATGTCGACCTTTATTCTGCGAGATAATAGTGCTGCAGCTGCATCATACCCGATGACCCTGCCACCACTGTTAATAGCAGCAACTTTAGGGCTAATATTTTTTTCGAGAAACCTTATCGGTTATTAGAAACAAGATGGATGATGATGGACTTTTTTTGTGTTACAATGAAAGAACAGGTTTGCAATAACCATTGCGTGCGGTGTGCGCAGATTGAATCATAAACGTAGCAGGGAGCGAAAAACGAACTTATAATGGCACTACACAGAAGCAGTAATAAATACCTCGACGATTTAACTCATCAACATCCTCACCTGTACACCCATCGCACGTCCAGGCCAATATCACAGATGCCACAGCACACCGTAGAGTGCTATTGCTACACAATTATACAAGATAACTTCTGTAAAGGAAACAAATACCTCCTGAAATTTTACATGCCTTGTGGCCAGCTAAGGCAACTCTCGTATCACATCTACCCAAGCTAAATTCGCTATCAGCAGTACAATTATGCAGCCACCAGTACGGGAACTTGCATCATTGCAAACCGCTTTCCCATAGCTACAGTTTTTCGCCATGACACAGCCTGTTGTTTTGGTAACTGGTTGTACTGAAGGCGGTATCGGTATGCAACAGTCATATAAAACAAAATCTTGAAAAAGCAGATTGTCGTTGTTTGGTTCCGATGGATCCATATGTCTAGCTAATTTCTTGTTATTCTGAACTTTAGGTTATACGCTTTGCCAAGAATTTCTAAAACGAGATTGCAGGGTATATGCAACTGCGAGGCGAATCGAGAGCATGAACGCACTACAAGGTACAATACAGCAAAGCGTAAAGCAGCACCAGCGTCGTTCGATCTTTTAATCTCACAATGAGAGAATCATTCAGGGTGTGAAAAGTTGGTGCTGGATGTAACTGATGCTGCATCGATCGAATCAGCTGTTGAGGTAAAATTCGTTCTCAAGCTTTGTCTTTGCTTTGAGTGATAAGTTTGTTCTCACGCGTCCGACGGATATACATACGGTAACAATTTAGAAAGTAATTGAGGACGCGGGACATATTGGTAAGTACCTTTTTGATTTCCGAGGATAATGGTGACGAGTCTTTAAGGGGAGCTAAGGTCATTCATAGTGGCATCTTTTATTCTTTTTCTTTTTTGCGACAGATATCTTGATCAACAATGCAGGCGCACCGTAAGACTTTCTCTTATGCGAAGAATAATAAGATGGAAGACTTTGAAAGAAACGATTTGATTTAAAGCATGAGATAGTGCCGTGGGTGCATTATTGGACACCGACATAGACGATGCACGTAGATGCTTTGAGGTCAACGTGTTTGGTTTGCTTGCCATGTGTCGCGCGGTAGCCAAGCATATGGCCAGACGAGGATCAGGCAAGATTGCCAATGTTGGCTCGGTTCTTGGCTATGTTTCCACTCCTTGGGATGGTATCTACGGCATGTCAAAAGCAGCGGTGCATTCATTGTCGGATACGCTACGTATGGAGCTGGCCCCTTTTGGTATTCAAGTTACAGTGGTTGTCCCTGGTGCAATCACATCAAACTTTGCAAAAAACGCCACGACCACGATTAGTGTACCAAAAGGTATGCTTACACAAAAATTGAAATTGAAAGCAAGGAGGGCCAAGACAGATACTATAATGCTTACTACTCTAATGTCTGTTGTCTTCTCTATAGGCTCCTTATACCAATCCGTTGTCAAGTATATTTATGCTAGAGCGAATATATCACAAGATCCACGCTGCATGTCAACGGCTGTGTTTGCAACATATGCTACGAGTAAGTTATTGAAACGATATCCTCCTCGCTATGTAACCTACGGAACGGATTCCTCTATATTTCTATTATTCTATTACCTTCCCGTGTTTATCCGAGAATCATTTATATCCAAAGCATTTGGTCTACGCCAAGTCAAGCCCATCGCAAATGAATAGTTATGTTAGACCCATATAGTAAAACACAAGGTCTCGCTCGTTTCAATCTGTTTTCGTCGTTGTCAAATAATTATCTTTTGCAGCTATATTTCTCTCCGGTCGGGAATAATATTTATAGTTATAGGATATCTACAAGCTAAGACCACGGAACAACTATATCGCGTTATATGTAGGGTTTATTTCGGCATAAATTGGATATTATGCTAACAACTCCAGATATAATGCGGTTCTACCATTGTTACTACCACTACCAAGTGTGTGCTTAAATTTTTCACTTTGCAAATAGCAGCAGTAACAACAATGATTCTGCAGACACCTATCAATTATTACCAATCCTAAATATTATCGACACATCAACTTATACAAGTTTCCCGCAACATGTGCTCAAAACGTTCCTGCCGTGTCTCTAAAGGCCCACTCTTCTACAATATGCATCTTTACAAAAGAATGCTAAGGGAACAGAGTCTCATCGGATGATTGCCATAAAAGGCAAGATGTTATGCAATGTGAACCAATGGCGATCAAGCACCCTACATAACTTCAGAAAGTTAAGGCATAATGGAGCGATACTGCAAGGCAACTGAGATGTACATGAAGCTTGGGATAGCTTCTGTAGACAAGGATGATGCAGGGAGCGTGGAGGTATAATTTTGCGGAAGTAAGGGTTGGCGCACACACACACACAGACATACTTCTTTTAGATCACGGCCGCCATGTTGGGTATTTTTGTTGAGTGCCTGAGCTTATTTGAGTCATTTCGGACTTTCTGGATGTGTCAAAACGTGAAGATAAGGAGCAATATGAAAACTTTTCTACATCTCTCTCTCTCTCTCTCTTTTTTACCCCACTCTTCTCTTTCCCATTTGATAACAACAGCACAGGTATTAAATTAAAACAATCAAATCCGTAGCTCTCTATCATTACTGACATTATCCACTGTAAGAAGATGTTGCGTACTTTTTGCCGTGTCTCGCCTGCTTTGAAAGCAGCTCAACGTCAACCAAGCCTTTATCTTGTTGCGCGACCTGCATCGACTGTTGGCAAAGGTGTGTATACACGTTTTTTTTTAGCTTTCTACTCTTATAAACTACTTTCAAACTAAGGCGTCCTGTCATTCACAGGCAAAGTGTTGACCACTGCCACAATGAACCCACAGATCCGCAATGCCGAGTATGCTGTGCGCGGTGCTTTGCCCATTCGCGCTGAGGCTTTAAACAAGGTAAGTTGCAACACACCGCCAGTGGTGGCTCTTCTACAAACAACCAACAACAATGGTGGCACTGAATGCTGAATGCTGACATGAAACTATTCCATAAGCAATTGCAAACGGACAAACAACTTGGCTTTGATCGCGTTGTCTTTTGCAATATCGGCAACCCTCAACAACTTGCACAGAAGCCGATCACGTATTTCCGCCAGGTCGCCTCTTTGTGTGACAATCCGGATCTGCTGAAGCCGGAGAACCGGGAAACCTTACTGAAACTTTATCCACAAGACGCCATCGACCGTGCCGAACTTTTATTGAAGCATCTTGGCAGCGTCGGTGCTTACTCTCACTCTCAAGGTCTGCCCCATATCCGTGAAAATGTTGCAAAGTTCCTTGAACGTCGTGATGGTTTCTCTGCCAACCCGGAACATATTTACCTTACTCAGGGCGCATCAGCTGGTGTTCAGACCGTGTTGCAGATGCTGACCGAAAATGAAAAGAGCGGTATTATGATGTGAGTGCTATTGTTCATAGGAAGCAGCATCTTCCAATCGACTCATAAGAAAGCTAACGTGTCATTGTTCTCTACTACTGTGTAGTCCCATTCCACAATACCCATTGTACTCTGCCACCTTGTCTTTAGTGAATGCCACGCCTGTGCCATATTATTTGAAGGAGGAGCAAAACTGGGGTTTGAGCGTCGAAGATTTGAAAAAGTCAGTGGACGGCTCGCGTGCCAAGGGTGTGGATGTCCGTGCTTTGGTTATCATCAATCCAGGCAACCCCACTGGGCAATGCCTTTCGGAAGAGAACATGCGTGAAATTATCGATTTCTGTCAAAAGGAAAACGTTGTCTTGCTTGCTGACGAAGTGTACCAAACCAACGTATACATGCCCAAGGAACGCCCATTCCACAGCTTCAAGAAGGTTCTGCGATCGATGGGAGACAAGTATAATGACGTTGAACTGTTTTCCTTCCATTCCACCTCCAAGGGTATGATTGGCGAGTGCGGTCGTCGTGGTGGCTATCTGGAGTGCGTCAATATCGACGAAAAGGTCTTGGAACAGCTGTACAAGATCGCATCCATCTCTTTGTGTCCCAACGTGCACGGCCAGATCATGACGGATTTGATGACCAACCCTCCAGTCGAAGGTGACGCCTCTTTTGAAAACTACAACAAGGAAGTGAACGGTATTTACGAGTCGCTTCGTCGTCGTGCAACCAAGCTATCTACTTGTTTCAATGGCTTAGAGAACGTCACCTGCAACGATGCTGAGGGTGCCATGTACCTGTTCCCGCGTGTCCGACTCCCCAAGAAGGCCATTGATGCTGCTAAGATTGCAAATGTTAGTCCTGATGCTTTCTACGCCCTTCAACTTCTCGAGGCTACTGGCGTGTGTGTGATTCCTGGTAAGTATCTTAATCGATGGTTTGTCAGTAGAAAGGGGATAGCTTTGTGAACTTACATATCCAATGTGATCTAGGCTCTGGATTTGGTCAAGAACCCTACACCTGGCATTTCCGAAGGTAAAATGAGAGGGTGCGCTGGAACGTTTGGTCGAAAAGGAGAAAAAAGTAATGAAAACTAATACCATATAAATTTGTATCTTTTAGCACCTTCCTCCCGGAGGAACATCTGTTTGACGATTTCTGTTCCAACATTGAAAAATTCCACTCGGGTTTCATGGAAAAGTATAGAGATTAGTTAGTTTCTCTCCTCTCTCTCTCTCCAAGAAAACGTGTGGCGATTCTACAATAACTGTACAATTTTTTGACATCTCACATATATAGCATATTCATATCTCTTTTCTGTCCTTTTCTCATTCTATTTTTGTACTAATCCCTACTTGTTCTTTGTAAACTAAAAGCATTTTCAGAAAGACATCTGATAACTATTTGGTTCATTTATAACTACCTATTTGAATTCTTGAATGTTTTACCAACTCTCTCTCTCTCTCTCTATGCTCGGAGGCTCCGTTCAATTCGGCAACAGCAAACAAAGCTTAGCGACATTCAAACACATCCTTGTATATAAAGTGAAAGGATGCGCTTCCCGCGAGTCATGCAGCTGAAAAAAAAACATGGGAAGGAAGACTGCTAGAGCATAACATTGATGGAGGTCGATAGAGAAACAAGCGTAATAACTGCAGTAGTTTTCGAAGAGTGTAACTAAACGTAGTTCCTATCTAATATATAGAGCACCTTATGGAAAGCAGTTGCAATTAACGAAAAGCATACTGTTGTGGCACATCTATTAACGCCATGTGAATGAGACTATGAAATCTATGGGCTCAATAGCCCCGCGACCTGTGATAAACACCTTTTCCGTGTGTATCGTATTCCTGGTAAGGACGACAGTGAAACAAAAAGGATGTCAGGAGGCTGTATACCATCACTTGAAGACTACGTCGAAGCTCGATGTCAGGGTACAGCACACGCAATTCTTCCTGTACACAACAAGGAAGGGATCATAGGATTTGACAAGCTACTAAGCGAATATTTTGAATTACGAGTAAAGATTCAACGACGACGAATATACAAAATGTAGTCGAAGCTAGTCTACAGTATCCCCATTTTCCTGAAACTACCTGAACACCCTCAAAAGCTACTTTAATGCACGGAAAGTATGCGAAGCACAGAACTATAAGTGTAGTTTATGATGCGACTCCGTTTTTAGTAGATTCATGGAAATCGGAACAGTAGTGAGTGGGAAAAACGAAGATCTAGCGTGTACGCGTGGTATGTTATCGTAAGCGATCAACAAAACACGCATAATTTTCGTATTACATACTTCTGTACTTTATAGTGTCGTCAACTACCGGACTTTTAGCATATCTGCTCAACTTTAAAAAATGCATTGATTCGTTCGTACGAACAATAACCGGTAGTAAACTTTTCTCTTCGTTGCCGAGAAGAAGTTGTTGATGCTTCATTGTTTACAGTCATAGTAAAAAGATCTCCAGTTTGCATGATAAATGCGCAGTAATAATCAGTTATAGATTCTGCAGTCTCTTTTTTTCATTTCGGCACCCACTACCATGTGATGTTGAGGTAACGCAAACAAACTTTCTGCGTAACAGCGTTTCATTTCGAGTATTGCACACGCACGCAGTAGCAGCCTCCCACATCATCATCAACCACTGACCTTTTAAAAGTTCGGAAGAAAGATGGCTTTGTTGTCGGTATGGAAAATCGTTCGTCCGTGTGCTATGTTTCAGTAATTCCGCTTTAATGATGACGGTAGTTGGGGTGGAAAGTGTGTGTGAATACAAAGATACCATAGCGATGATGACGGCGACGAGAACAATGTGTGGAGGGCGAGTAAATAGGCATAGCTCAGAACCTTATGCATTGATCGACGAGACTGTGCTTCTGTGGTGGAACAATAGGCAAGGTGACCATGTGCTGCTTACCTTTACAAAAAGAAAATACTCGAGCTCGACAGGATGTAAAGAAACTCAGCAAGAGAAACGATGCCATCCCAATGGCTTCGTTCCTGAAAGGAAAACGCCGCTAAAAAGGTTGCTGGTAAAAAGATATTTTTATTTTTTTCTATAGCTGACCTTGAGCCTTCAAGTTAGCCATCCTCTCTTCTTTCTTCTTCTACTTCTTCTTCCTCACTCCCAGGCTCCTTGTCGGAAGCTCCTACTTCTTTGACTTTTTGCTCTCCTCCATCCCTCCTCTTCCACACCCCTTACTATTGCATAGTTTTCGCTGCGCGCTTTGACGCATAATTCTCTCAATTTAATATCATCATCATCATTATCATCATCCATTATTTAAATCAACCCCCCTCCTCTCTTTCTTTCTCTTTTTTTATTTTCTATCCACTCTTACATATCCTCCTCCAAGCACACTTGCACTGATCTTGATCATTGCGTACGACAACCACTCCTCCCATCAATCACAAGAATTAAGCAAGAAACGAACAACAACAACAACAACATATCCATCACATCATATAAAACATACATACGTCAATATGCCCATGATCTTTAGAAAGCTACAGCGCAAGACCGTTGCTGTCGATTTGGATCAAACGCTAGCACACACGTTGGAGGCCATGGTGCTTTGGCACAACCAAGTGTACAACACAAGTTATACGTTGGCTGATTTCAACACTTACGATTTCCACAAGGTATGGGGCGGATCCGTTCAAGACACACATGCCAAGGTGCGCGAATTCTACGAAAGCAGCCACTTTGAACAAATTCAACCAATACACGATTTTGCGTTGGAAGCTTTGAAAATGCTGAAAAAACGGAAATTCACGTTGGTTATTATTACTTCGCGACAACAGTTTATCGCTGAAGAAACCAAAAAGTTTGTTGATAAGCATTATCCAGGTAATTGACAGATTTTTTTTTGCTGACACTTACTAGAGCAGTCGAAGGGGGACCAGTTACTGGGGCTGCACGTGTGGCAACATTGATCTAACAGCAATAACCGGGGGGATATTAGGCATCTTTGAAAGCATCTATTTTTGCAATCTCGGATTGTCCGATGCGGAACAACTGGAATATGTATCCAAACCAAAGTCGGCCATTTGTCAAGAGATTGGAGTGGATGTGTTGATTGATGACAATTTGGATCATGCTGTGGATTGTGCTGGATTGGAGGATATTGAAGTGCTGTTATACGATCGCAAGGGCCAGTACCGGTGGAACCATACAAGCATTAGTAGTAGTGGTAGCAAAGGCAGTATCAAAAAGGTGGGTGGACACACGTTGACGTCCATGTCGCGGCAGTTGTACCACCACAGCTACCAGCAGCAGCAGCAGCGACAGCAGCAGCAGCATCATGCGCCGCTGCCGTCCAATGTAACACGAGTATCGAGTTGGAAGGAGATAATTGCGTTTTTCCCAAAACCACACAGCCCGCTGCGCAATTGCTATTATCCGCAGGACCTTGCATCGGCTGGTGCATACAGGGATAATGATGATGATGATGATGGTGACGAGGACGAGCACTATGGATACGAGCACCACCATGACATAGAGTACGAGACGATCGAGGTGGAGCACATGGACATGTCGGACGAGGAAGAAACGGTGTGGGTGTAGTAGTAGTAGTAGTAGTAGTAGTAGTAGTAGTAATGATAAAAAAAGAAGCATTATTGTACATTTTTATTTTCCTTTTTCTAGTTTTTTTTTTTTGCATTAATAATAATACCCGCATATTCTCCATCAAGCATTGCGTTAATTGGACATAATGGGCTAGTACATAGCGCAGTAATACTTAGAAGGAAGGAAGGAAGGAAGGTCATGCTGATCTGCTCGCTGCGTTTGCCTTGTGTAACATGTAGCCTGTGAACGCAAAGGCTTCTGTGGCGTTGAAGCAGCGAGAGCCGACCGGTTCGTGTTACGGATTTGGCTCTGTTCTATGTCTTCTACTCCTTAATCGCTGCTAAGTACTAGTACTACTACTACCACTGCCAGCTTCTAACAGTCTCCTGCTTTGCTTTGCACCAAACGAGACACACCTTCTCCATCCCCCAAGTGTTTCTGTTCAACCATCCCCCAATCCTCCCCTCTCTTCTTCTTCTTTCTACACCTCCTCCCCCACCCCTTTCCTCTCTCTCTCTCTCTCTCTCTCTCTCTCTCTCTCTCTCTTCTCTCTTCTCTCTTCTCTCTTCTCTCTTCTCTCAGCAAAAAAGCTTGTCCTCCCTGTCACGTTTTTGGACCGCCTTTTTCAGCTCTTCGTTCGTGCTTGCTGTGCACATTTTCTCTTTTTCTCTTTCTCTTTCAACTTTTTCCTTCTCTCTCCACCCTCTTTCACTTTTCTCATTTCACCAAACACTCATCTTCCATCATGACGATGGTGGTTTCCTCTTCAAACGCCACAGCAGCCGTCGACGGCAGTAGTAGTAGTAGCCAGTCGCCGCCTGCTCCGGCTATTCAGACTCCGAGTGTGTTCTCGCCCAATGTAGGCCCACCACCGTCTCGGTCATACTCGGTGACGGCTCCTACAGAACTACAACGGTCGGTACAGCGACAACACGAGCAGCAGCAACAGCAATCGATCACATCGTCGTCGTCGTCATCGTCTTCTTCTTCTGCAGAGAACATGCCGTGGTGGCAGAACTATTATCACATGTATCACTACCATCCACCTGCTGGTCGGAAGCCCACCGTCTTTGGTCCGTATCTGCTGTTACACACTCTCGGTGAGGGTGAGTTTGGCAAAGTCAAATTAGGCATTCAAATAGAATCCGGGCGAGAGGTAAATAATCCCTTATTTTCATATATATACGAGATCTCTCCGTTTTGTAACCAGCATAGAGAACGACGATGGATAATAAAAAGAATTGCCAAGCGCGGATTTGGAAGGAGATGCATGTGTTGTCCTGTTTTTTTGTTAGTGTATTTATATGTGTTCCCTATTGTATATTTCTATAGGTCGCCATCAAACTGATTAAAAAAGACCACATTGACTCGTCGTCTAGAATGACCAAAGTCGAACGCGAAATATCTGTTCTAAGAGTAAAGTATCAAGCGTTCATTCATCCGTTCAGATGTACTACTACTACTACTATTATGTGGGGACGAGCAACCTAGTCGGGAGGGCAGGGGAGGGGGGAAACATCTGCCAAAGTAGGAGACGAAGATCAATCTATTTCAGCAGGCTCGTATATATGGGGAATAGATGTTGTTTCTTTCCACATCATCTTTTATCATTCCACCGTCATATTGAAGCAACATCCACCAGAAAAGAAGAAGAAGAAGAAGAAGAAGAAGAGGATGTAGCAGATCTCTCGTCCTATTTCGTACATACAACGCAGACATCCTCCCTCCTCCGCACCCTCCAACGGCAGTCCCCCTATCCTTTTAACCATTAATATGTTTATTTCTTGCTCACGCTATGGTTTAAAACTAGACGGTTTGCCACCCCTACATCGTCAAACTCTATGACGTGATCGAGACAGAGAAATACATTGGGATTATCTTGCAATGCGCTTCAGGTAAAACATTTAAATGTAAAACACATAGTGACTATAGCAAAAGTTTACGGAGCCTCCCCCCCGTATTCCCGTTATTAACTCTTTGGCAACCCACAAAAGGCGGCGAGCTGTTTGAGTACATCCTTGCCCATCGATACCTGAAGGAACGCGATGCGTGTCGACTATTTGCACAGCTGATCAGTGGTGTGCATTACATGCATCAAAAGCACATTGTCCATCGAGACTTAAAATTGGTATGTATCTTGCACCCTTCCCAGCTTATTTTCTAATTTCCATTATTTCGTTATCGCTATGACTATGTTCTGGGACAAAAGAACCTCCCCCATGTACGCCATGCAATAATCATAAAAAATAGAAAAAGAACGCTCAATTCGAAATCATTGTTGTTGTTAGGAAAACCTACTGCTCGACCGAGATCGTAACATTATCATCACTGACTTTGGATTTGCAAACCAATTCACTTCTGCCAAAAACGACTTGATGGCCACATCATGTGGCTCGCCCTGCTATGCAGCTCCCGAACTCGTCGTCAGCGAGGGAATGTACGTAGGCTCCGCCGTCGATATCTGGTCCTGCGGTGTGATTCTGTACGCCATGCTGTGTGGCTACCTGCCCTTCGACGACGATCCCGCCAACCCGGAGGGCGACAATATCAACCTGCTGTACAAGTATATTCTGAACACACAGCTTGCATTTCCCGACTATGTCAGCGACGACGCAAGGGATCTGCTGCAAAAGATGCTCGTGCCGGATCCCGCCAAGCGATGTACTATGCAGATCATTATGGAACACAATTGGTTAAGGCCTCATCGCGATTTGTTCGGAAAGAACGCAAAGGATCTTGAAGTACAGGCCATACAACAATCTGATTTACCCATCCATCACCAGCAACGAACCACTGCTCTTGCAACAGCATCACCGCAGCAGCAGCAGCAGCAGCAGAAAAGGGAGGGTGGTACAGTGCAACCCACGGGACCTCTGTTCGACGACGATCATCCTCCAGCAGAACATGCCGCTCAAGAAATCTCGGCAACAAGTTCCGATGACGACCAAGATGACGACGACGACCAAACCGTACCTGCCGCAATACAGTCCATGGAAGTCGATTCCGACGATGCACGTGTGTCAAAAGAGGATGGCAAGAATAACAATCCTAAGAGTCGTGACAGCTCCATCATGATCATGTCCGTTTCGCCTTCTTCGTCTGACAAACAACAACAACAACAACAACAACAGAACGATGGCGATGAAAAATCGACGGCGGTGACACACATGAACGACGAATGCAATGTCAAGGGCACAATGACGGCAACGGATCTTGCATCGTCTGCTCCAGATATTTCGGCATTAGAGTTGCCAGCATCCATGCATACAGAATCTTCGGAATCCACTGCCGAAAAAGTCTCGGACATTCCCGATCCTAGCAACAAGAGCGACACTGCTGTTGTTGTTACTGGTCCTGCTGTTTCAGAACAAGACGTACCTGCCGCCAACGCTGCTGCTGCTGCTGCCACTGCTGCTACGACCGAACTACCACCACCATCCTCCAACAGCACGGCTGCAACCGCCAATGGCTCCATTTTACAAGCCAAATTCTTGTCCAGCATACAACGTCAAAACAATCAACAACAGTCACCCGAACAGCCAACACCTCAACCTGAACAACAATCGTTAATGAGCATGAGCACACCGCAAACGCCTACTACTGCTGCTGCTGCTGCCACTATTACCACCCGCAGCAACAACAAGAACAACAACATTGCATCATCCACGCCATCCCACAACAATAGACGTCAACGTTCACCCTCATCTGCCATTTCTCCACAACCATTTAAGCATCATCACAAGCATACTCATGAAGACACAGAAAACATTACTACTAACAATACACGAGGCACGCGACGGAAGGCACTCAGTCTGTTGGTTAATTCCGTGACCGATCATTTGCAACAGCACGATGCGTCGTCGTCTTCCGGCAGCAGATTTTATGGAAACGGCAATAGCAGTAAGAAGGGTGCAGCTGCTGCCATGTCATTTGCACGCAACAGCAACAACAACAAGACAGGCACACGTGAACGCGCACAGAGCGTTTTGGCTAGCGGCAGCAATGGTCAGCAACAGCAGCGGTACAGCGGATTGAAGCGCGTCGTGGTTGGAAAAGATCGTACGACTCCATCTGAAGCTGCTACTGATGCATTGCCTCGCAGCTCAATGCATGTAATGCCGTCTGTGTCCGAACAGACCGTCATCCATGACAAGGATAAGCACAAGAGTGCTGGCAAAAAGCTGATGGACTGGTTCAAGAAGAAGCCTCTCAGTAAGTCTCCAACACAAATGTCAATTTAAAATATCCATCATTAACACTGAAGAACAAAAAAATGTGTACAGGCACGCGCCATGGACCCCATTATCATCATCATCATCACGGCGGCGGTGGCGATATGCTTACGGATCGGCCCCTCAGCTCATTGCAGCGTGCCATGCCGCTTGGCAAATCTTATGCAGTCGACTTTAATGACAGCAAGCTACGAACGCATCATGGTGCTGTGGATCAAGAAGCACTTACCTCTGGTTCCCCCGTCGACGTTTTGGTAGAAGTCAAGCAAGCATTATTATCGATGGGCATTGATGTGAAGAAAGATGGCGAGTACAAGCTCAAAGGTGTCCGTCAACGTCGAAAACAGCAACAGCGACCGTCGTCACAAGAATCGAGCACGACTTCGTCTTCTTCCAACTCGCGCACAGACAAGAAGCGCCGAATGAGCACCAGTGCCCCGTTCCGTAAACTGTTGAGGCGCAGCGGTGCTAATCAACTTGCAAATAACAACAACAACAATACAGGCGCAGGCGGTGCTACTACTCCTACCTCTTGTGCCGCCGCTGCTGCTACTGCTGCTGCTGCTGCAGAGTTTAATAATAGCACACACGATGTGACGACAACAACAACAACAACAACAACTTTGACCCACCAACAAGTGGGTGAGACAGTGTACGGCGATCCGGTGGTGGATCCGGGTGAAGAAGTCAGATTCAGCGTGGAATTGTGCAAGATCAAGAATCTTCCTGGATTGTACATTGTTGACATTCGACGCATGCGGGGCAACGTTTGGGCGTACAAGTTCTTGTACCACACCTTACTTGACACACTCAATCTGAGCGGCAAAGGAGGGTACATCAAGACACCCACCTCTGCCGTCAACACCACACCACCACCACAACAACAACAGCAGCCTGGTATCGCCACAACCGCATCGTCGTCTTCTTCCTCATCCAAAAGAAACAGTACAAACCGTCACAGCTGTGCAAGCAGCGGTGGTAGTAGTAGCATGCTTGAAGATGTCAAGGAAGAAGAGTAAGCCCCCTTTTCCTTGTTAACCACCAACCCCCAAAGCCGCCCCCTTTTAGATATGATCCAAGTTGCTTAACTTTCCTGCCTCCTCTTAAAAAAAAGCTACTATACCCAGCCCCCACTCCTCTCCTTCCTTTCTAGCTATCCTCCCTTCCCTCATCATCTTTTTTGGTTCTCTCCTCTCTAGCATAACTTCATCTGCATCCTTTTCTCCCTTTTTCCTTGAAAAGAAACTTACTGTTGCTGTAGCACACCACACATACTACAGTAAAAACATTATTCATCATTTTTTACAATAACTTTGTTTTACGACAGCTTATAGAGATATGTGAGAGAGAGAGAGAGAGAGAGAGAGAAACAGATATAAAGGAAAGAGTCTTGGGTCATTTTCTTTTTCAAGCATCATTATCAGTGGATTGCTCATGTTGTTGCTCATTTTCAGGTTGCTGCTGTTGACCATCTTGATTCTGCTGTTGAGAAGCAGCAGCAGCAGCATATTGCTGACCATAATACTGTTGATACCATTGATAGTAGGCTTCCTGTGTCCATTGTCCTTGCTGTTGTTGCTGATCATCTCCAGCTCCATCACCACCAGCAGTAGTGGTACCCTGACCATAATATTGTGCATAATAGTCCGCTTGATCCTTGCTACCTCCTTGTTCTTCAGCTGCTGTTGCTGGATCCTTAGACTCGCGCTCGTCCGTCGTGGTCTTCGTTTCGTCACCGTTTCCTTCAGCCTTATTGCTTGATGGAGCATCGTCTGTTAAAGTTGCTGGGGCTCCTGGCTGGCCGCCGTAGTTGTAGGGATAACCGTTGTACTGATAATTACCTATTCACAGTTGAGCAGCCCAATTCCCTAAAGTTTAAGATAGTACCTTGTGTTAAATCCGTGCCTTGTTCACCGGTGCCTTGCTGTGCAGCCGCCGCTGCCACCTGCTGCTGGTATTGGTCATAGCCACCGTATTGCGCGTAGTACTGTTGATATTGCGAGTAATCGTAACCACTGGCACTACTATCACCACCATTGCCCCTGTCATCTTGATACTGTTGTTGATGATGCTGCTGGTGATAGCGGTTGTTGTTGTGATGGTGACCGCCGTAGCGATCGTTGCCATAGCCACGATATCCACTATATATACATTTAATAGATAGCACCCATTTAGCAAAATTGATTTCAATTTGGTTAAGAATAATGGCAGGAGAGAGACTTACCCGCGTCGACCACCATCATGGCCAAATCGACCACCACCACCGGCATTGCGATCACGGTTAGCCTGTTTACAACAACGCACAAGTAACAAAAAAACGTGGGGAAGGAGGCAAAGAGGGTTAGTCGGTCACAACCCTTCGCAACACGATCCTACCAAAGAAGAAGGAAAAAAAGAAAACGTGCGCCGTTTTTTCTATCGCATGGACGAAACGTATCCTAGAATAACACACACACACGCTTTTTTTTTTCCTATACCCGCTCTTTTCACACATAGCATAATAATAATAAAGTGGAACATAATCATGTACATTTCCTTCCGCGACCTTGTCCTCGATCAGTTGTTTGGCCAGTGCAACAGCATCAGGGTTACCTGTTTGTTCAATCGATAATATAACGTATTTGTTTTTTGTTGTAGGAGGAAGTTACGAAGCAAGATTCACACACAGCACTCATAAACAAGTTCTTCCATACAAAACATGCAAAATCGTAGTGGGCGATCATGTTGTTGCAAAACCACTTACCGAAAATACTAATGGTTCTCTCAGGGGCATTGGGATCACCGTTAGGATCAACCTTGATACGAGCACCGGACTGATCTTGCAACGCACGTACAGTATCACCACCTATATTCATATATTAAAATTTGCTCAAGTAAATTGTAAGTGCTGTCACATATATTTATATGCTCAAAAAATCAACTTACGTTTGCCAATGATAAAACCGACTGCATTTTGTGGAACTTGCACGGATTCTTTTTCACCCTCCTCTTCCTCGTTGTTGTAGTAGTTGTTGAATCGGCCACGTCCATAGCCACGATCTTGAGGAGGTCCGTATGAACTGCGACCTTCGTCGCCGCCGCGAGGGCCGCCGCCGCGACCACCACCACCATAGGCACCATAGCTATCGTCGTCTCCTCCTGGTCCGCCTCGTCCACCACGATCTCCACCATGAGGCTGATAATGCTGCTGACGATAAGCAGTCCAATCACGGCTAGGAGCAACCTTTAAAATTACATAACATAATTAAAAAATCATGGTCAATACCATAATCTCTCATTATTATTATTTTTGCTCTTGATAGTGTGCCAAGTCAAAATAAAAGACTTACACTTGTCGTGGCATGCGCAGGCGCGTCACTAACAATCTCATCAATGAGTGCCTTGGCACGCTGCACAGCAGGTGACTCGCCAGAGATGCTGATGCAACGTTCGCCAGAGCGTTCACCACCATTGTTTTCAGGGATGATAGTGATTTTTGCACCACTACGCTCTTCAAGATCACGAATCGTTTCGCCACCACGGCCAATGATCAATCCGACTTTGCTACCTGGGACCATCATGGTAGTATCATTGCCATTATTACGCGACGCGGGTGGGCCATAACTGCCACCCATAGCACCTCCTGCTCCCGCCGACATTGCATCTCCAGGCGCAGCACCACCGCGCGCACCACCGTAGCGTGTGGATTCGTTGTTACGAGTATCATCAACAATCTGCTGGATCATGTCTCTGGCAATCTTGACTTGATCCTCTTCACCCGTCATATGCACCTTTCGTTCCAATTCACCCATATCTAATACAAAGAAAAAAAGGTCAGCATTTCCAACAATGTCCTTCAACTCTATCAGACGGCCCCTTTCACAATCTCCATAAACTTTTTCTTACCTGGGGCAATTTGCACTTTGGCACCAGACATGCGCTCAATCTTTTTCAAATTGTCGCCACCTTTGCCAATCAATAAGCCGACCATGTGGTTGGGTACAGAGCACTCTTCTTGAATATATGCTTCGTTGGAGCCACCACCAGCAGCAGCAGCAGCACCATAACCACCGTATCCGCCGCCTCCTGACGACATTGATTTTCTTTCCTCTGAACCGAGGCCATACCGAGGTCGCGAAGATGTTGCTTCATCTATTCCCAAAATATTTACTCTTATCAATCATCACCTTCTCACGTGTTTCTTTCTTTTGTGTCAAAGCTACTATTACTATTGCTACTGCTGCTAACTACCGTTTTTACTTACAGCGGTCGTACATGCCACGCTTGGTATCACGCTGGTCGTCATAGTAATCACCACTACGATAAGAAGACTGTGGTTGATATTCGTCATCGTAACCGTCATCACGGTGGCCACGTTTCACACCAGCTAAATGAGCGTTTTATTTTTATATAAAAGTCAGTTCCAAAAGAACATGATCCTGATGATGCGCACTCTCTGTCTCTCTCATCACAAACTCACCAGAAGGTGCAGCAGCTGGTGGCGCCGCTCCTCCAGGATTCTGTTTCTTGAGCTTTTCAGCAATAGCTCTGGCTTTTGACAAGGCATCGTTAAAATTGACAGGGCCACCACCGCTGTTAGTAAGCGATGGTGGGGGCGGTACTGCCGACATGTCTGTTGTAGGTGATCGATTGTCCATTATAAATTTTCTTTTTCTGTAGCGAAAAAAAAAAAAAAAGCTTTCAAATGCGATGGGGAAATAGAGAAAAAGCGAAAGAGCGAAAAAGAAATGTTTTTCGTTTTTGTTGCTGAAACATTTTAACTTTCTCATCCAATGAAAAGTGAAAGAAGCGGGCAACCTTTTTGGATTGTTGCACGAGAGGCAACGCGTTGGTTTAGGGTTTTTTGACCATGCAAACGGATATAGGCTTGGTTATTAAAGCAATCAAAGTTCTATTTTTATTTTCTGTTAGGGATTTTGTTTGGTGTTACTGACGCGACATGTAGCGCACCTCCCTTTGAGAGAAAAAAAAGGCTGGACGAACCGCTAAAGGGGGGGAGGCTGCAGCAACCAAATAAATAAGGGTTCTTCGTGGAAATGCTCAACAGTGATAATACCATTAAGCTTCTACAAAGCGAGGGGGGCGGAAGAGAGAGAAACTTACAATAAGGACATTTTATTTTTTTTCACGATGTTACCTTTTTTTGGGAGGGTATCTACATTACTGTATTGCTTAAGATGTGGGTGTCGTCGTATGTGCATGAACAGAGTAATAGTTATTGACATGAGAGAAACAGTTGCTATCGCTATTGTTGGCTATATAGCTTATTGCGTCATTACTGTATTGTATAAGCTAAAACGGTAAAAAAAAGAACAATGGGAGCCATAATAAGAAAAAGGAACCATATAAAATGAAAGGATGGGGAGGTATATGCACAAGAAGGAAGAAAGATTCATATTGAACGGTGTTGTTATTTACGGCTCAATCCCAGAAAGCGGATAAGTTTGCTTGGAAGTGATGAAGAGCTAGAAATAAGGATAAGTTTTAGATCGCAGGTCAATCCTATCTACTAAGCTTAGAGCGCTGTAGCTGTCAAGTACTTACAGTTTCTTCTTTTTCGAGAATGCGGTTTTTAGCGTAGTAGAGGCAGTGGTAGAAGAAGAAGTAGAGGATAATGAGGATGGTTGCTGCTTATATAGATTTACATAGCGCTGCTGCTGCTGCTTAGCAGGATAGTAGCGATAACGATTATATGGCTGTTGTTGCTGCTGCTGCTGCTGATCTTGATACTGCTGCAACCGTTGCAGTATACTCGTATGTGCCAACTTGAGAGCATCCAGCTCATCTCGTGTTTCCATATATTGCCGTTGAAACGACTCTGCTCGAGCGTCTGCTTCAATCGCATCTTGGGCCAACTGCTTGATCTCCTGCAAGATGAATTGTGTGGTTTCGTGCATCTGCATCAATGAGTTTTCGTCGTCGGTTTCTTCGGATATCTCACATAGCTGTGGTTTACGGGACCATGAGTGTCGATGGCTGTGGGCGTCTCGGTTGCTTATAGGCTGTGGTGATGGCGGAGTAGGAGGTAACGATTGATGATGATGCTGGTACTTGGACATGAGCATGTCGCTATCGTGAGATGGGGGAAGGATAGCGACAGACAAGGCCATTGGAGCAAAGCAGGTGTTAAGGGAAAGGGCTGGGTGTATTTGTTAGAAGGGAACAGAAACGTAAGAAATAACGAATGGCTAAGAAGGAAAAGGACGTCCATTTTATATATGCGCATGGATTAGATCGATAGTAATCACACAACTCCAATATCAGACAATGAGCAAAATTGAACACAAAAGAGAAAAAAAAGTGCATTGTTTTGGGGATGTACATGCTATTTTCGCCACCACGAACAATGATGCCACCTTACAGCGCCATTGAATCCGGGGAATATTATGCATTTCATGTCGTTGATTTAGCCATGAGAAATAGGGAGGCTATACCGCTATTGACAGCCTGCTACTGCTGCCTGTATCGTTTTCAGCTGATAGCTTTTTCAATGATGATGAAGATCAAGAACAGGAGAGAAAAAATGGCGACAAGGGAAAGGATACAAAAAAAAGTACTATACAGAGTGGAAAATAGGGGGTGAGTCGAACCTTGGACTGACACTCTTGATCCTCGCTCCTTCTCTTTTCTTTCCATTTTGCTCTTCTTTTAGAATAAGTACCTTTTTATATTTTTTAATTCAAAACAAAGAGGAAAAAACCATGCTATTAGAATATGCTTTACAGACCATCTTGATTCTACCAAGTGCCGTGGCACTGCTATTGGCAACCTGTCTACTGTCCGCTCAGCTCTTTGTCGTACCTCTACATTTTTTACCCGATGCTGTCGTGACCCGTCTACGGCGATCACCCGCTAGCACTTGCTACGGCAGTGACTCTTCGCTGGTAAAAGCATACGACTTTGTAGTTGTGGGAGGTGTGCAACAGCTTGTTTTTTTTTCATTTGATAAATCTATAAAAGATTCCATAATAAGTAGATTGACCCTCATACTGCTGCTATCATGATTCTATAAAGGAACGTTGTCTAGCCACGTATGGTTTATGCGGCTGCGGAAGCAGCATCCTAAGGCTTCCATCCTCTTGCTCGAGCCACCATTACTCGACTACCGATCATTAATATTCACGTTTTTCGCTGGGTTAGATATAGGCGTGAGCCACAACGTGCCTGTAAGTTATCGTCTAACTCGTACAACAACAGATGACAGCAACATCCGATAATAACGATAATAGATGCTAGTACTTTCGCGCATACCCTTTTTATCGAGCATCTTCGACTGTTGAACTAGCGCAACAAGCAAATCCAAAACTCCCTTACGTACGCCTTGTGGTCAGCACATTTGAAATGCTTATCAACGAGTTGGCCCGAGACTTGGCTGCACACGAAGATCCGGCCATTAAACTACCGTGCTATCGCATCGTCCAGCGAGTGGATCCATCCATGGTTGAAAATGGAGCAATCGGATGCCGTCGTGTGTTCCCTATCCAGTACAGCAGCCTGCGTAACGAGCAAAACCTTAAAGTCCTCCTAGGAGTAGAATCCATTACTTGGCTTGGCAACACCAGAGATCGACGTCTTGCTGTCCAAATCAATATCCAAAACCAGGGTAATTACTCTATTCTCACAACAGAGAAAAAAACAGAGAGAGAGAGAGAGACCCGTTGATGTGATACACATGCTAATATGACTTGTTGTTCTCGATATAAATCCACGAAAAAAGACCAGCCTTTTGTATTTTATGTCAACCGCGACCTACATCTTTTTGATACAATCAATGCGGCAGGCTCTGCAGAGCCATCTATCCAAGAGCATCAGTTCGACCAAGTCACAGATTTTCAACGAGGCGATGTAGACGACGATGATGATGATGATGATGACGACAATGACTTTGGTATCAGTCATGACGGTGAAAAAGTAGGAAACTCACTTCACCAATGTTTTTATGCATTTCGTCGCACCAGTGTGGATGAAGACAGCTGTGCGCTGTGGACATTTGATCTTGCCGAAGAGTTTGACGGTGACCCTTCGTCCGATCCAACCAGTGCTATTGAAATCCTAGTTGGCTTTGCACACGCATCGTCCGCAACAACATCTTGTTCTTCTTCCGTACAGCAACATCATGACAAGGCCGAATTCTTTGAAACTGCCACATCCTTTAAAGTATTGCCTCTCACCCAGGTATCTGAAGGCTGGGTTGGGCTAGAAATCCAACAGACGGTGTATAACGACAGCAAACATCATTTGATGCACTGGGGATACGAAATCATTCAGCGTGTTTTCGACAGCTTGAATTCAGATGGGATTGTGGATATCCATTCGGATACTGCATCAGTTAATACGATTCCACAGTCGCCTGGTCTTTCACCGACAACTGCGACAACGACGGAACAAGAGCCGCTTACACCGACTACTACAACATCGACACGCCACTCGAATATGTTTCCACATTATGCACGTGTGCATCGGCCGACAGTAGATCATCTTGTGGTCAAGGACGACGGTCCTAATGCATACTTTAACAATAAAGACAACGACGATCAACAACATCGCTTACCATCGTATCTGTCCCGCATATGGAACCTCGTTTTCGTCGAACAACAGCACGCCAAGCACAACGTATCGCAATTACTGGCTGACCCATCCATGGCAGAGAAGCAACATCCGTTTTCAGCAACATTTGCTCGGTTATTACAAAGTCGTGCCACTTGCTTTCAACAAAACAATCAAGATGACCATCCTGCCATCTTGCGATCGACGACAGTGGTACAATCTCGCGAGCTCCATCGTCATCAACCATCTGGACAACAACAACAACAACAACAACAAGATCAAGTAATCGTGGACGATGAAGAAGAAGAGGAGGAAAACGATGGTCGGCGTTCGTCCTACGGATCTTTGAGCGATTTAGAAGGCAATTATTATTCTTCTGACCCATACAATTTGGTGCGAGATAACGAAGAAGAAGAGGATGATGACGATGAAGAGGATGACGACGACGATGACAATGACACAGCAACGGCAACAACCAGTGAGGAATACGAAGGCGAGATGGACCAAAGCCAAAGTAGCAGCTCATCATCCTCATCATCTGATAGTTCAAGTGATGAAGCATCGTATGACGACGATAGCGTTGATGTATACAACGAGAACAGTGCCGATGAAGATGAGGAAGAAGAAGTGGAAAGAGGAGGAGAGCAACTGGATAATGATGCCTGCGACGAGGATCGATTGGTGGACATGTCTACAGATGAAGAAGATCATGACCAGAGATATCATCATCCAGAATATGATGATGCTAATGACGACAAGAAAGAACTCGAGTTGGATACACAAGAAGAGGAACTTTACGAAGATCAACAAAAGTATACAGAGCAGCAACAGCATTCGGGACGGGAGAATGGAGAAGGACAATACCTACAAGACAACGAGGTGGAGCAGCAAAACCAAGCAGAAATCGAGGGTATGATAAACACCCAGCAAGCTAGCGACATACAAGAAGACGCGGCTATGGAATTTCATCAACAGCATCAACAAGTGTCGGCTGATGAAGAAGAAGAAGAAGAGGAGGACGATAATATCACAGTAAAAGAGTCGAATGACTCAAAACCTGTGCAACCGGAGCATGATGACACTGTTGCACCAGCCATCGACGAGGCACAATCTGTCAAGGATACGCCAGACGCTAACCAAGAAATGATCGACGACGAGCTGGATGCGGTCATTGAAGGCCTATCCTCTCCTTCTCCACAACAACCTTTAAATACAGCATCGGAACCATATTTCTACGAAGCAAAAGACGAAGTAGCAGTAACACAAGAGGAACAAGAGACAGGAGCAGTCGCTGCCAGGGAGGACGGAACGGACGAACAGTTCTCGGATGCCCCTGCTCAGGAGACTGATATAACGACACCAACGGAAAAAGAAGAAGAAGAAGAAGAAACACCCACACCTCCAAGCACTGCTGCAGAAGATAAAGAAGAGCTGGAAGTAGCAGAAGAAGAGCAACAGCCCATGTCTAATAGCAAGAAAAAGAGAAAGGCGAAAAAAGCAAAGAAGAGGGCATAATAAAAGCCCTTTATTTTACACTGTAATAAATATTTACTCAGAAATATTTATGCAGGCTGGAGAAAACAAGCTTTTTACAGGACGCCTTTTCTCTTATTGCCCCACCTCTCTTTCTCTAATCAATCCACCAATATCGAATTTGAATTCTAATGGAAGATCATCGCGTTCCATCTTTTGTTCAATACCCTCAACAGAAACGAAAGAGAACCCTCTCGGATGCTATCGATGCTTCTCCGTTCCGAGCTCCAAAAAGACAAGGTCACTCCTTTCTTTTTTGTGCTGATTGCAGGAAATGAAGAAGTTTGATCCTCTTTTTTATTGACACAGTGAATGTAATTTTATAATTAATAGAACGAGAGCTGTTTACGGCACGGTCAGGCAGCACTTGTGTTGAAAAAACTGACGCCCTTGTGGTAAGTAATATATCGTGTGAGTTATTTTTGATGAAAGTGCGCTTTCTAACTGATATATTTCTTTATGCATTACACACTGCAGTGTTTTACGACTTTGAAAGACCAAGTGAATACTGTGCCGCACGTGGCAGAAGAGTAAGCCTTCTAACTAATGTGCTCAAGTTGATTACGGTAGAAGCTCCAAAAGTTTCTTCTTCTAAGACCGTGAGTTTAGAATGGATACGGATGAACGTAAAGTGTTGGCGATTGCGGTGGCAACGGCAACAGCAAGTGAAAAGGAGACGGAGAAAGAAGGGAGAAAAGATGCAGCAGCAGAGACAACGCCACTCGCAGCAACAGCAAGAGCAGCCAAGGAGAACGAGCAGAGCATGACTACGACCTCCAAAAACGAAGAGAACACTACAACTACTACAACAACCTTCCAGCAATCCGTTTCCGTCACTGATACCAAGCCATCCACTACCAGCAACGACAATCATAATAGCAAAGATTTGAGCCACATTACCGTCATCACCAACATGGACTCGACCCGAGAGGACGAGGGTGCTGATAGGAACAACATCAAGGATAACACCTTGGATGAAGATGAAGACAATCAGAACGTCCCTGATAAAGAACAGCAACGAGAGCAGTCAGCTGACGCTGTGCCACCGGATTCAACAAAGAAATCAGATGACAAACTGGATGGCGAGCCAGTGGCACATGAAGAGGAAACATCAAAAGAATTTATCAATGATGAACCAACAGCAGAAGAAGCCACCAGCAATGTAATAGTAACAACTCAAGTCAGCAGTACCATGGCGGTTGATTTTGAAATTGACGTCAAAGATGAAGAACCCAAGCAAATCCTTACTACCACCACTACCGCCACTACCAGCAGCAGCAGCTCTGGGCAGACAGCTGATCTGTCGGCAGAAAGTAAAGAAGGAAAGGAAGAAGTTGGCAATGGCGACGAAGAAGGCGCAAGCGTAGCAAGTACGGCTGTCGGCGAGCATCAGCAAACAAATGAAAAGGAAGAAGGAAAGGCAGACGGACAGCCCTGGCTCTCTTCTATCTGGAGTACAATCACATCCTCGTTCAGCTGGCGATCCAAAAAATGATCAACCAACCGTCAATTCTAACCTGCATTCATTTTACTTTTCTTTGTATCTCTCTTTCGCCTTCGCACAATTACTTTACCCGCTCTACACTAATCACCTCATTAAACAACATGGCTCTAGCTGCAACTTTTCACAATCAAAAAAACCGATAAACAGGTATAAGAACAATGTACTGTGTGTGTGTGTGTGTGTTACTGCTGCTGCTATTACTATTGCTCATTGGACATTGGGAAAAACGTACAAAGAAAAGCGATAGAGCGACATAGAACAAGCAAAATGACTAGGTACAGAAATCAAATAGATAATTACAAGTAGAAAAAAAATTAGGCCTAGTATGTGAGATGAAAAGGGCACAAAAAAATGCGGATATACATAGAAAGGGCGGCTTAAGATAAGTAAATAATGTAGAAGAAGCAAGTGCATATAGTAAAGTAGTGTATAGGATGGAAAGAATAAAAAAGTATGTAGTTTAAGCATGAGCTTGATGATGATGATTATCATGATGATGATGGTCGGGTAAGCCAAAGTTTCGATGCAACTTGGCCTTCTTCTTTTGCTCGCGCTTCATGGACCATGCCTTCATGGCAAACATGAAGAAGACATAGCATAGCGTCATTGAGCTCAATGCAACACAGACGTTCATCATGAACATCATGTCGACGTTGTTCCGACGCAGCCAGGTGAGAGTGCCCGAGTTGGATGCCATGAACAAGATGGAGCCGGCAATCAGCAAGAAGGCGCCAATGGCTTCACTTGGAGGACGCGTGGGCTGGTTGGACATGGGAGGAGCGCGGTACAATGTGATGTAGGTCAAGAAGCGGCACATGGCAGCCAAGGCAAGCAACATGCCCCAGAAGTAGTGAATGTTGGTCGAATAGATGGTGTCCTGGTGATGGTTACCCATGGAAATACCAGTGAACAAGACAATCAGGCCAGGGAAGGGGTTCATCGAGTAGGATTGTTGGGGTTCGTGACGAGGGACGTCGAGTGGTGTGTTTAAGATGTTACGTTCCAACAGACGACGCAATGCACGACTTTCGACAATGATGCCCAAAAGACCGCACCACCACCACCTAACAAATCAAACATCCAAGAAAAAGAAGAGTCAGCATCACATCTAAAAACATGTCTGCCTGGAAACAGTTAGCAAACATATTAGAGAAAAACTTACATGAACGCTAAGCTTGCATGCTCCAAGTCCTTGTGGGTCCATTCGGGGTTCTGACCAAAGTGCTCCATCCAGGTATTCGTGATACCATAAATGAAGATAAGGAAGGATTCAATCATTTCAAAACTGAACTTGGCACCGCCGTCCACTCGGTTCCATGCCCAGCCTTGTTCAGCGAATGCGCCAAGATAACGTGCGAATGTCAGGATGCCATAGAAGAAAAAGATGCCTCCCTTGATAAGATGAGCAATACAGCCGAGCACAGTCCAGGATCTATAGTTCGGAAAAAGATTTATGAAATTTGACGGTTAAATATTTTCTTGCCGCTAATCTATCATCATCAACAAACCCTTTGCCCCCCCCCCGGCTGAGATTTTGATATATTTTACCTGCAGACACCATGATATACGACAAGACCGCTCAGTGTTTGAGTAAAGATGAGAATGACAAAGACGCGACCCACAATGGTGTGCCAGTAGCGGCAGACGACGTTGGTGAAGGGATTGTAGGCGGTGGCAACAAAGACCTTTTTCACGATGTTGGGGATATAGGGCAGCAGCTTGTCAAACAAGCGGTTGATCAAGGATGGCTTCTCATTGTGACGCATCATGACAGGGTCTTCTTCCTCAAGGTCGATAGGCGACATGGCGATATTGTCCTCGTCCTCTTCCTCCTTATCGTAGCGGAAACCGTCGCCGTCGCTGCTGTGGCTGTTGTTATGCAACGTTTCTTCAGAATGCTCGCTGTGGTGATCAGATGATGATGATGATGCTGAGCGATTGACCAGGTGAACGCTCTCTAAGCGGTCATAGTGGGCAGCTGCATCTTGTTGAGACCGACCCACAGCATTGGCAATCTTGCGCACAACACCGACTGATAACTGGGCAATCATCAGTAAGAAGATAATCCAGCCCATCGAGTGATGGACATTGCCAGCGTAAAGGTGAGGTACAGAGTGGCCATACAGCTTGCCGAAAAAGTAACCAAACAACGCAACAATGAAGGTTAGGATTTGGACTGGTACATGTAAAGAGGACCGGCCAATGCCAAACATTATGCCTATTGTTATACATGTATGCGAAACGTGTATAATAGTAAATGTTAGATAAGGGTTCGACATGTCAAATATCCATGCGACGATGACTCAAGCACTGTACCTAATGGCATCAAGACCCAGAAAGCAATCACCATGAATACGACGTGCGTGTAGAGATACCCCTTGTTTTCAGGGAATAAGGCATAAGACATAGGTTCGTCACCCGTGGCGTTGAAGGCAGGCATCGGTGGGTCTTCCTCCATGCCGCCCATGCTGTGTGTGTGCTGTTCTTCGGCGGATGCGAGTGCGGCAGCAAGTGCCAGCAGTATGCTGGCAATTGGGAGTAGTGGCGATGACAGTGTTAACTGGGCCATGAGTATGAGGTGAGGAAGAAGATGAAGAACAGTGACAATAATAAAAACAGGAAGAAGAGAAAAAAAAAGAAGAAAGAAGAACTAAAAAAGTAAAGAGACGTCGCGTAAACTTTTTTTAATGTTGTTTCAGCTGGCACAGAGATAATTGCTTACTCAACCCTTGGTTTTGATGAGGTCTCTGATATTTTTCCGACATCGCCTCCTGTTCTTCTTTCGCTTCAGTTCAATTCCTATACAATCATGACAGCTCAAAACCCATCCCTTCTCTTCTACGCGACACGTCACTTTGATGACGATGAAGCAGGAATGGAATTGTTGTTGTACGTGCGTGGTCCAGTTCCCGGCGCCTTGGCCGTAGCTTGCCGCAGTCGACAATTGCTAGATTAATGACAAAAAAGTGGCGTGTCGTAGTAGTACGGGCGGATAAACATCGACCTTGCAAGCTCACGGGGAAACCTGTGCGCCGGGTATGCCGAAGAAGATCCACTGTTACACAAGAGAGCGGCAACAATAAAACAGAAGTCTAGCGAAGTGTTTCTTAAAAATTCTTTCATGGTTCCGACCCGATGGATGCCGATTGAAAAACAAATCTGTTTAGGTCTTTTAATTCAGCGACGGCTGGACCCAAGAAGTCTTTTCAATGTGTTGCTAGGATAAGTAGTTTGGTTACCAAGGTAATCATCTGCCTAATTACAGATTATACAGCAAAGAACAAAGAGACGCCTTTTGTTTCTCTCGTGTTTCGCTGTACGACCTTATGACGTTACACTTTTTTTATTTTGAAGGGTCAACAAGAATTTTGTAAAATGAAAAAAAAAGTCCAGAAGCCGCTGCAGGTATAATTCATGTGACAGGTGCTTATAAGCATACTATAGGCGGTCGCATTGTGCATGAATTATGTACTGCACCCCCCAATTCCAAAGTTGTTTAATTTGAAAAATCCTAGGCTGGCTTAATTTATTTGAATGGGAAGAATTGAAAAAGGTCAACTTCATGATACTAATGGCGGTCATGTTCTGCTTGTGATTGTTTACATTGTTTTTGTGTTGTGTACCTCTTCATCGCCAGCAGAAAAACTTTTTCCTTCGGCGCAAGATTAGCCGATTGAAGAGCTTGCATCGGCCATACAATCTGCCCGTTTGTGAAGGGTGACACCAACTTCCTACGCCCATACTTAAAGGTTCGCTGGCCCATGTCCAGCCTGCTTCTTCTTGACGATGGACTAAGAAAGTGTGATATTGCTGTTGAAACTCAAGTTGTAAGGGCGTGTGTGTGTGTGTAAAGGCAGGAAGTGACGCATTCGGAAGAATAAACATTTTGCGTATAACCGTATAATAATCGCAGCTCTTACGGAGGCAAAATTCAGAACCGCTGTTCTTCTTTTTAAAACAGCCAAAAAAATTCTATGGGCTTCTGTAGATCTGGATGCTTAACTTAAAAAGCAAATGTAACACTCCCGTAAACTAAAAAGTCCTCATTTGCGGTTCTGACAACATCCATGTTTACTAATTGGAAACAAAACTAGCGTAATGTTTAGATTTACCATTTTAGATTGTTTTGGAACTGATAAGAAGAAGAAGAAGGCCCGTTAATGTACGGTACATGCGCATGGGTAGCAATGATGACGATACATAGTGTTCATGGATGATGATGATGATGACGATGAGCAAACGCGCTTAATTAATCATTATCCAGCTCGTACAGTATGTGCATCGTGCCTATAACTTTATTTACAAGTATACCTGATTAATGCGATGGAACTCTTCAACTCGGTAAAGAGATGTGCCGCTTGAGCGAGAATTCGGGTGTACCAGGTGTCTGCTACCGCACCATCAGGGCCGCTTCCCTCCCACCAGCAAGTTTTTCTCCGCTTCACCGCCATAACCATAAATATGGATGGACCGCACCTGGTAAACATACAGTATTCCGCAGTATATCACTATTTGTTAATACTAGAATACCGACGACAATATGTTCTCTTTGTATATAAGTAGAACTTGGCGGGAAGACATTGTACAATGAAAAGGGGATGGGCGCGGACCATCAGGCGTGCACTATGTCATTTGTGAGAAGAGCAAGTCCCACGAAGGATTCGGTTTTAAGAAATACCGATCTTATCGACCCGTGTCCTTATACTACACTTTGTACTAAGTTACAAACACAGAGTTTATAGTAAACTTATTATCCTGGAAGGGTAAGAGGTATAAACGAAAACCAGTGTGGTTTTGTTATCACTTTGGATAAATGAATATTTATGCTGCTATCTGAACTGACCCCCAAATAAATGCATGAGTCTTCTGTATGGGCCCTCCGGCGAGAAACGCGTAATGTATATTACTGTACTACTTTAAAAGCAAAAGAGATGATCAGTCATACATAAGCCCTCATTCTTTCCACAAAAAAAAAACAATCAAGGCGAACGGAAAAACTCTATCCCCGCCCCCGCGGAAGAAAAGAATACTGCGCAGTCTTAGCCTCAGGCATTGCTATTTAATACACTGTAAACATTCTTCAAACTGTGCCGCAAGGTAAGATGATTGAGGAATGGTCATCCACCCATATTCGCTGATAGTTAACTTTGTTTCGCATCAGAACACCAAGTGATCTTAAATAATACCATGACCGTCCCCTTAGTGGTACATTCTTATTCGGGTAAGTACACTATGTAAAGAACATTTATCATCGTTGTCTCGTTTTGCCAAGCAAGCTTTTAACCCGTATGGAGCCGTACGCTTGCTAACAGTAGGTATCTGAAGCTATGTAACACTAGTGCCCAATACTACTAAACATCAAATGCTACTACTGCGGTCGAGAATCGCAACAGCGAAGTGATGTTTTACTGAGCAAACTGAGAGAACGACTACAAAGGTTTGATAAACGCGTTTAGCTAGAGCACGATATCCAACAAAAAATAAGCTAATTTTGATCGAAACGAAAGATATGCGTTAGGATAGAATCGATGCACTAACTACTGTAACAACTACATAGCAAGAGCTTTGAATTTGAAAATTCAGTAATGATTATTACCCTTCTATTTCGTTAACAATGGCACATGTCACCTAGTCTTCAAATATGATACAGCCAAGTATTTTAAACTATTTCGTTGACAAGTCTTACAATAAGGCGAGAGAGACTAAATTCCTGCGATTTTGGATCACATATCCACTACAATTATGGAGAAGACTCTCGCTGAATTACAAGTAATTTCTCTTTGCTCTTTGAATCCGATTCTTCGAGACGGATTCCTCTAGAAGAAGTGTGACCAAGATTAGCAATGACGAGAAGCAACTTATGTACTTGCTGCTGCCTCCGTTGGCCGTACGAATCAAACCATACAGTGTGCTTTGCTCCACATATATACTATAGAGCGTTTTCTACACATGTGTCCATGGTATTGTCGCTGCACCATTCAGTCGTAGACGCTAGAATTTTCTCTCTGATGAACTTCCAACAACAACCATAGTCTATTTATCACATCTGCAAGTACAGCAAGTGTGTCGATGCTTATTACCGAGGCTTCTTTTGCATACTAATAAGTAGTTTTCCTCTATATGTGTCTATGTAACGATTTGATATAAAGCTTCATTAGACAGTACACATCAAACATCCTGAAGCTGCCAAAACTCTTTTGACGACAAGTTCCAATGATATCTTTTCATTTCTATATCATGCGCTATTTCAATTCGAGGTATATAACACAAATCTCATACTTGTGGTACAGTACAGATAAAAGTATATTGCACTATAAGGATGTTTTCTCAAGGCAGAGCCTTATGTAATTAGAGGTGTACATTGGCAGCTCTCTTTGTGATTGGATCTAATGTTCTTTTTACGAACGACGAGCAATGGAAGGAGAAGCGCGGTGCTGATGATCTATGCACCAAGACTATAAGAGACATAGCGTGTACTGATTTACATGCCTGATAGATGATAATGAATACATCTTGGCTCATCCACGGGGTTAAATTCTGCATTCCTACGGACAATACCATTAGAGGTAAATGGTCGGGTAACGCTCGACTGCATTGAGGAGGAAGCTGAGGAAATAATCGACGGACATGACCTTTGCCAAAAGATGAACGTTGGATGCTTTGAGCTGGTCCGCCGCTGGGTTCCGCTTGTATTCATTGGATAATCATAATAGTGAATGATCACACGATACAATAATATTATCCGTTCACTTGAAGGCACCGTTTCTACTGTTTCCGGCCATCGAGCGTCGATTTATTATTCTGAAACACGATGAGTTCGATTGCCGGGCTATAGTATATCAGAAATTTAACACAGCAACAGCGACGGTAATTCAAACTATGCAACAAAGCAGAGAATGATGGTGAAGGCCGTTTATCAGATGAAGAAATTACCATACCCGTTTTATCATTTAGAAGATTGCATAATGTTGAGATCATTCTAGTGCATTGCAACTTTTCGGTTTCTTTGAGGCGCTACATGAGACAGCTACTTTGGCTGTTTGCTTCGCTATCTACTACTGGGCAGTGATACCAGTTAGTGTGACTAATTACAACGATACTCATGATCACGTTTATATGTGTAGTAACCGAAAGAATTTTCTTCTCTGTTTATGTTTGTCTTAACATATACTAGTGAAATATATAGCAACGTTCTCGAGAAGAAGCAATTCGTGTCCTTGGTGACGGATACGCCGTTGCCGACAATCGACCAGGCACGCAGACTGCTTTATCTCAACATGGTTATTATTAAAGAGGTAAAGTTATGCTGTGTCTCCTGGTTGCCGGCTTGTTGTAGTGTAAATTCTCTCAGGACAATTAACGTGGCTAAATCCGATGATGAAGCACTTTGAGCTGTATCCCTTGTAGTACCAGATTGATTGGAAGAGGAGAAATACCGATTTTTTCACCAAAGAATACAACATGGGT